CTGTGATTAAATCTGTACTTGCTTCATGGTACAACTATGTGGTCTGTGCATGTGTATCTACCGCAGGTCACTTCCGGTATCTGATAAGAAGTCACAAGTCAAGTCTTGCGCACTGATAATACCTGAAAGATATTTAGCTTGGGGTAGGCTGGATTTATCGTAGTCCTGGATATTATAACGTGACTGCGGCTCCCGGTGGATATTTCCTCTGTAATATGGATATTCGTGTTCCTTGTATTTCACAGAGGATAACCCGCCGACAAAGAGCCTTCTGTCCTCCTCGAGGAAGCTTCCTGTACGCATGCAGACACAGTAAAAATCAATATTAAGTGCCGTCACGATTCAACGTTTCAGTCTCCTCCTCCTACTACTCCTCCTCCTCCTCCTACTACTCCTCCTCCTCCTCCCTCACCCCTTTCGTTTAAGGGAGGAGTGTACTTTCACTCGGTCGTCGTTTTACAAATAAGGCTGATCAACGCCCTCGCTTTTCTCTGCTCGTGCTTGATCATCTTTTTACCCAAGAAATTATCTTTCTCCGACTATACCTTTTTCTATGTAAATATACGTCTGAAATGGTCCGCTGCGCCATTGGGTTAAACTATATATATATATATATATATATATATATATATATATATATACATCCAGCTGGAGGATGACCTTCCAGACTGTTTCTCGAGGGAATTACTAAATAATCCCACGTAACGTAGCCTCGTTCAATGAAGAATAGATACACGATACAATTGATCATCCGAGATAGGCTGAACTATTAGATTATTATTTTTACTCTAATTTGGCAACGATATATCTTTGGAAGTTGAAGCACAGATAGAGCTATAGGTATATACAAAATATTCGTAATATCGTCAAGAGTTCCACAGAGTATTTTCAAAATAGATTATCTCGGGGTAACCATAAGGCACGTATCACGACTTGACTAAGGTTTTCTTAGTTTACATGAATATGCGAGTACGTCATCGTGCTGCTTGAACCAGGCCCGCTCGTGCTGTGGCCGTCACGTAAAGCTTCCAGGATTCTAAAACAAAAGACAACTAAATTATCAGACAATTATTTACGGTGCTAAAAACGCGTGGGGGATTTTAAATTCTTCTGAGCTCTCTAGATTTGGTACCTATAACTATATATATATTTCTTCATAGTGAACTTCTGTATCTATATACGCACGTGTAAATTTGTCGATCGGCGAGTTCCATGACTTTTTTCGATACGTATTAGCGACTACCAGGATACTTGATCACTTCCAGGACGAGTCTGGAGGTTTTTATGATGCGTGACGTATACTTCCAGGACCATAAAGCGGCACTCACAACGAATTTTCAAAAAAAAAAAAAAATGTTATGCTAGACACTCGGAGTCGTGACGGGCTTAGAAATGTTTCGTTAGGTTAGATTAGGTTAGAACTTCAGTGCTGTGATGTAGTAAGGTAGTAGTTAAAAAAAATCACACCCGCTTGCCGTTGTGAATGCCGCGGGTTCTAGTAGTACACGATTGGCGCAATTATATATGTATATACTATGTATACCTGAAAAATTGTGTCTAGCGAGAATTTCCTGTAACCGTGCTCCGATTGGCTCTCATCGACGTACGACCTCAAGTACATCGATTCTAGATCAATTAGCCCATCCCAGCCAGTGGCCCGAGGATGCTAATGAGCTATAGGTAATGGAGGACCTCTTGACACCTCGATTTAAGAGGCACTCGCATTAAACGCCTCCCTGAGAAACGGCTGAGGAGTAACCTGGGCTGGTTGGGTAGCAGCTCGTGCACCACTGGGTCTATAACCCTAGTTTGAATATATGACGTACATAGGAGACCCGGTGAATTCTTTCGTAGCCGCCTCTCTGCTATGCTGGAATAGTTTGAGGCTACAGTGGGTAGATGACGCTGTTGGAGGTTGGGTCGACCAGGTTGCCGGGGAACGCAGAGGATGGTTTCTAGCTTTGCTAGTTGGAGCGAGAGAGACGGTAGATCGGTAGAGGGTGGCTTCTCGAGTAGGCTGTAGGCAGCTCGTAGCTAGAGAAAAAGGGACGGAGAGCTACCAGTAGGAAGCAGCTAGAGAGTTCAGGGTGGGTTGGGAGCGGTACTAGACTCCTTGACGAGGGCCTGAATTAGTGATGAGTAGAGACGCCCAGAGGACGCCTCTGTATGTTCGACGCTTAAAGACGCGAGGGATATGGCACCCTGGTCGACATTTTTTTTTTTTTTTTTTTTTTTTTTTTTTTTCATTATCTCCCAGACAAGGGTTACGGTTTCTACTTCTCGCTTCCTTGAATCAAATCGAATCATCCCTTTTCAGGTTTTTATTCGTACTTGGCAGAGTCTCTTGTTTTTAAGCTTTCTTTCCCTTTATGTTTACTCGTCATCCTTCTTCTTCTCCTCGTGACCTCATCTACGCGAACCGTATAAATTGTCTAGGTAGAACAGCAAACAATTCTTCAGCCCGTTCGACGTACTCGCGTAATCGTCGTCGGAGAAGTGTCTCACCACCCCTAGATGGTTTCGTTGGGTTTCCACTATCTTGAGATTATGCGTGCAACGTTCTACCCCTACTGGTATACCAAGAACCTGCATTTTTTTAGACTATTTCGTTTTTTTTTTTTTTTTAATTCAAACTGACTGTACTAGTCAGGGGAGGTTATGCATGCGTCAAGAGGTTCACTAGAAGCCGTAATGGGATTTTTGTTCAGGAATCGTTCATCCCTTTTGAATTTTCTAGATGACTGGTCTATAAGGATTCTTGATACATCTGTCTTCTTTTTTCTAATATTCGCTCTTTTTTCGTCTTCGACCTTCCATCCGGAAATCGTATCAGCATTGCTGATCATAGACTCCGGTAAGGGCTGAATTAGAAAAAAAATTTTAAATTAACAAAAAAAAAACTTTTTTGTATAATAAGTAATTATGTCATACTCTTTTACTTTGTTGGATCGAGGGTGGAGGGAACGTGGTGAGGTTCTCATAGACTAGTAAACCGACTATCCGAGCATCGTAAATATTTACCTAGCGAACTAACCTAACTTTTCCTAACGGTGGCTTCAAATTACATGACCTTGATACTGCCGCTTGCGCCAGATGCAACTCAACGTGCGTTCACTGCATCTTGCAGTACCGACGGTGCATGTGTTGACGAGTGCCTGTGTCCAAAGGCACAAGTTGTTAAAGCGGGACGTTAAGTTATTCTTAGTGGAATTCGAAATACGCGGTACTTTGCCTCTTTACAATGGACATAATCCACGGAGCGGATCGGACGCTTGGAAATGGTTGGAGAGGGCGAGCGGAAGTAGCCATATTGTAAAAGCGTCGCTTCGATGTTTAATCGCGTAAATATTAACGAATCGAAAAGAATCGGAGAGAAAGTATCGGGTGGTCGATTAGAATAAAGTGGCAGTAAGATGAATCGGCAACCTATTGTGTAATCTGTTGTGCAATGCGTTGGGAATAGGCGGCCTATTTTCTACGAAACAGTCGTGGGCTGCCGTCAGCCATGTTTTTTTTCTCCTTCGTCAATGGCGCGGAAAAAGTTTGCTTCAATCCAAAGGACTGTCGTTTGTGGTGCTTTGATATTTTTCGAATTTCAATTTGATTTCTAAATTTTTTCTCTCTTTTTTATCGTCCGTATCCAATGCAAAGAGATCGAAATTCATAAGGACGATAAACGGACGCGAGTACAGTCTGTTTTAAAAATTTTTTCAACGTGATCAATATCGTATCTGATAAATACAGCAGGACTGTTATTGGAAATTCATAAAACTAGGTAAAATGTTTCTTCCGGTATGCTTTCACTTTACTAAGTCATACATATATTTTTTCTACCCAGAACCGCTCGTATTCCCATTACTGTTTCAAGCAGTTTCATTTTGTTCTCCAACAGGTAAAATGATACTAGATGTATTCCTCGATTAATTTTTTCAAAATCCTGGGAAAAAAAATGTCATAGATTCCCCGGGAGCCTTTATCGAATATATCGGACACCCTGTATCCATGATTCTTCAAATTCGATAGAACGTAGCATAGTCATAATAGGGCGAGGAAAATAGGTTGGGCGTGGAAACGGCGATATTTTAATGGCACGTGAATGAATACAAGCCTCGATACGTATAGCGTTACGAGGTAGTATATATCGAGAGAGATAAAAAAAAGAGAGAAATATAAACAAAAAGAACGAAGACAATACGATCATTGAGTAACGTAATGACTAATCCTAATTTCAGATCGCTGCCGAAGCTCAGCAGCCAGGACGAGGACGGGACAAATCCCCACACCCAATACACAGGCGTCACACACTTCGAGCCCATACCGCACGATCATGACTTCTGTGAGAGGGTCGTCATCAACGTGAGTAAATAACTAGAATGATTGGAAAGCACAATCTGTTATCTACTATCGACGAGGCCGATCCAATGATAATCACCGGGTCATGCGTTTAAATGCATACGTGATCGTAATCCGGCAAGTATAATAGTAGAGCGAGAAAAATTGACAAGGAGGATATGAAGGAAGAAAAAAAAAAAGAGTATAGAGTTATAGCTGAGTTACGTCGCCATAGTAAATAAACTTAGTTAAGAATGCATATTACTACCCTGTGAATGACAATCTTGACTCGCAGCTGCATCGAGATGAGATTTGAATTTCTAGTGTCTGAGCACGTTGCGAAATTATCCCTTAGGACTTGACGTACTCGGTAGTGACGTAGATGAAGTTGCGAGAGTTCACAGGAAACATGTGACCGAAAAGATTGTTACTGTGAGAATTTTAGTGAGAATCTTTTTTTTTCCGAATCTATCGCTATTACTTTTACTCATTTTGAAGTAAAAATAGGACTCTAATTTGATTATTATTTTCTAGACTTTCGACTGCATTCCTAGCGTTATTCAGACTTTAGGAGTATACGTGTAACTTGTTATCTTTTTTCTTTCTCTCTTGATCCCCCTTCTACTCTCTCCAATCCAATAAAGCGTATCATCCCGATGACCAAACGATGATTTATTGGACTATTGAACTGTGATTCACTGTGGCTCCCGTGAACTTGCACTTGGTCAGCCTATACCTTTGCTCTTGGACGTAGCCAATAATAAATGTCATTCGATACGGTAGAACGATTGGATAGGAAGTCATATATAGGATCTGTAGTTGTATTCTGATCTTGTTTTCTAGGAAAATAAATATTTGACGTTACGTTGAGACTTTCGTAATTTTTTTTTCTTTTTTTTTTTAAATATACAGTCAAGAGATCAAGAGTGGATAACTACCGTACCTGAGGTGGATAAAAGATTTTTACACGATGACTCCCTCTTGCACGGCGTACTAAAATATATTTTATTTTGGTAACGTTACGGCTTGGCCTGTTCGAGTAAGATTATCTCAAGACAAGAGTGACCCAGAGACATCATTTTGGCATTCGTCCAAGTTCACCTTGGAGTCAGGAACGATATAGCACCAAGGTCACGTCTTCGTGCTATACGGCATCCTAAGGAGGATTATCACTTCTCATTGTTGACAAGACCGCATTGCGCCAATTACCTTGCATCGCCACTTCTTTCGTGGAGGATCCTCAAGGAGACCCACCCTGAAGGGATTCCCAGGTGATAGGAAAATTATAACATCCAGGATCACCGGCTGTACTCGAATTATTCTTCCTGGCTAGATGCCATCTGGGGACGTTATGTGACCCTGTATTGTGATGATCTAAGTCAATACCAATTTACATATGAAATTCAATCAGAACTATACTTCTTTTCGTATACACTTGATACCTCACAGATCTGACGGTCCATAGTTTCTCTGTTACCTCCCAGCATCCCTAAAAAAAATGCATCTGTTACTTCGATAATCCCGGTACCAGTTGACCGATAGGACTTGCATGATATGTACAAAATAAAATAAGGTTATGTTATATAGATAGTCACACTTGTACGTAGTCGGTTTCCAAAGTTGATCCTGACTCAGACAAGAGGCACTTCATCTGGTTGATCCGTTTCGGCGCGGTTTAGTTTGCTGAATCAGCCGCTAGCCGTTTAGAATTAGCGACGGCGTCGCGCGACGGATACCAGTCTCCAGAGCCTGTACCGATTGGCTAGAATTGTGTCTTTTTATCTGAAAGAACTTTGCAAAATTTTAGTAACAATTTTTGTTTACTTTTTTTTTTTTTAATACTTTAAGTAGCACGTTCTAGTATTTTTCTCTAGTACTGGACTCGGTCTTTGTTCTGTTTCTAATTTTTTTGAAATGTCCACAGGTGAGCGGGTTACGGTTTGAGACACAGCTACGTACGCTGAACCAGTTTCCGGACACGCTGCTTGGCGATCCGGCAAGGCGGATCCGATACTTTGATCCGCTACGCAACGAATACTTCTTCGATCGGAATCGGCCTTCCTTCGATGCGATTCTCTACTATTATCAGAGCGGCGGTCGACTTCGTCGACCCGTCAATGTACCCCTTGATGTCTTCTCCGAGGAAATCAAGTTCTATGAACTCGGCGAGCTGGCTACTAATAAGTTCAGGTACGACTTGACTGACAAGCTGAGCTTGCAGTTTCTGTATAAGTGGAATTAACGGCGGGGTCGCAAAATGTGCCCTGACTGGCAAGGCACCAGGTCCTAGGGTATCGGAGATAAGATAAAATAGAATAACCTGCATCCTTAGAATATTGGATCCTAGCGGGAATGTACATTCTAATTGGGTTTGAATGCATGATTCTAGAGAATTAGGTCAATTCCTATTGAAGCGACACGGTTCTCTGAAGGATCCAGCATGTGGATACTGTCTTCCTGTAGATGACGTTGTAGAATCTTGATACCACGTACAAGAGTAGGTGCTTTGGTTATTCTCATGTAGCTCGAGGAAAACTACTGGGAATATCGATGAGGACGGACGCGTGCCTTGCCAGTTTGGCGTTCCCATATGTAAATCCAGCACGTGTCCATGGTCGAAGCGATGATGAGGTGTTAATGTCTGTCATCGTAAGCCCTCAAGAAATACGTCATAGATATTTATATCGAGTCATCCGAAATTAGGATAGACGAAGTTGCTGAAAAAAATGTGAATCTGCCCTAGTACAGTGTAGAGGAAAGCTTGAAAAAAAAAAGGGTGTAAAAAAAGGGTACCTCAGAGGGGGGTATCCGGTGAATGTAAGAACGAACGGGTGAGAATACTGTATCTGATTGTTGACAGGGAGGACGAGGGTTTCATCAAGGAGGAAGAAAAACCGCTGCCGACCCATGAACTCCAGAGGAAGGTGTGGCTGCTATTCGAGTACCCGGAGAGCTCGCAGGGCGCGAGAGTCGTCGCGATCATCTCCGTGTTCGTGATCCTCCTGTCGATCGTAATCTTCTGTCTGGAGACCCTTCCCGAGTTCAAACACTACAAGGTGTTCAATACGACGACGAACGGCACGAAGATCGAAGAGGACGAAGTGCCGGACATTACCGACCCGTTCTTCCTAATAGAGACTATTTGTATCATCTGGTTCACGTTCGAGTTATCAGTGCGCTTCCTCGCCTGCCCAAACAAGCTAAATTTCTTCCGTGACGTAATGAACATCATCGACATCATCGCGATCATTCCGTACTTCATCACATTGGCCACGGTGGTGGCTGAAGAGGAGGACACGCTCAACCTGCCGAAGGCTCCGGTCAGCCCGCAGGACAAGAGCACCAATCAGGCAATGTCCCTCGCGATACTCAGGGTCATCAGGCTGGTCAGGGTGTTCCGAATATTTAAGCTGTCCAGGCACAGCAAAGGCCTCCAAATCCTCGGGCGAACTCTAAAGGCCTCCATGCGAGAGCTCGGCCTGCTCATCTTTTTCCTCTTCATCGGTGAGTCCGACTCAGCCACCTACACTTCTTGCCCGCGATCCTCTCTTTGCCTCGCCGGTTACGTGTCCTAATGCGTGCCGGCGTCTGCGAGCACCCACATACTACGAGCGGAAACAACGAAGATTAATACGCCAACTATCCTCCACCCGAGACACCGTCGTCCTCGTCGTCGCTGTCGTAGTCTTTTTTCCTAGTGTAAAAAGTAGATCCGGTAGATCCGTTAGTCGACTTATTGTTGGTCCTCATAGTACTCGCGCTTACTCTTACCGACTTCCGGGTCGTCCTTTCTCGACGGAGCCTCGCAAAGCTTCTCCGAGGAAGGACGGCCCAACACGGGGAACCTGGACCGTGTTTAATCGCCGCCTAGAAGACAGCCCTAGAGTCGAAAGGTAAAGAACAATTAAAAGAAAAGAAAGTTCAGCACGTGGTAGTACGATGCGTCTCAGTTTTAATTTGAAAGAAAGAAAAAAGTAACTAGAGTCTATCCTATTCGCGACGGCGGGGATCTCAGCGAGGAAGAAAACGCGGATCACCAGGAAGTGGAGGATTGAAAAGTAACCGGATCCTGATAGGTGAGACCTGGTGGTGGGACGAGTGAAGGTAAAACACGTTATAACCGCCAAGGATGTGCATGTGGAGAGTCGAGGAGCGAGGACGGTGTCTCGGTAGGAGGAGGATGAGGAGGAGGAGGACGAGGAGGACGAGAAGGAAAGCGAGATCTTTCTAGTATCGATTGTATATCGAGAATCGATCATCAGCCACGAGGATGCGAAGGCAGATCTCGATTTGGTAGGTACCTGATACGAGAACGCCACGTCTGTACGCAACAGTACAGAGATTCAGCAAATTAAAAGAAAAGCAAACAAGAAAAGTGTTTATACAAGCAACAAAGTACCAGAAAGAAGAATCTTAAAGCTGAGAATCCGAAGAAATATTGATAACCAAGAAGCAAAAGCAACCAATCCGTACAGAAGTCCTTCGAAGGTTCGCAAGGCCAATAAAGAGAATACAGGGTAAAGAAAGTAAACAAAAAAAAAAAAAGAGATACGTAACCAAAACTAACCTTCGTACAGATACATAACCTAAAAGGCGAAACGCATGAGAGAGTAAAAGGTATAAGAGAGATGAAGGTATTTTTTTTTTCTTTCGGATGCTTGAGTGGTTGAATGAAAAATGGTGCTTTCGGATAGTAGCGAAGAGGCCGTGTTTCAGGCGTGATCCTGTTCAGCTCGGTGGTGTACTTCGCGGAGGCCGGATCTCAGGAGAGCTTCTTCAAATCGATACCGGACGCGTTCTGGTGGGCGGTGGTCACGATGACAACCGTGGGCTACGGGGACATGAGGTACACTCTACGATTTGATCTCTCTGAACGCCTTTTCTCCGTTCTCTTGCAGGTGTGGTGCTATTCTCCTCGGCGGTTTACTTCGCGGAGGCCGGCTCCGAGAATTCGTTCTTCAAGTCCATTCCGGACGCGTTCTGGTGGGCCGTTGTCACGATGACGACCGTGGGCTATGGTGACATGACGTATGATGTACTCACTTTCATTAACATTTTAGTTAATGCCACAGTATGCTCCTCCCTCCTCATTTATCGTTTACAATTAAAATACCTGTCGTTTAATAAATGGCTCCTACGCTCTACCTCACGCCTCACTGTTCGCAATCAAAATCTTCTTTCTTTCACATCGTATACCAGTATACAAGTCACTTTGACTTACGATCAATCTTTCATTGGCTATCTCACGCTCCGCGACCTCACGTTGATCATTGTAATCGTTATGATCTTTTCTTTTTTCTTTTGTCTACCGGCAATCATCGCCAGTTACCATCCGGTATTGCTCTTTGTTGGTTATTGTTACGTACGCTCAAAGATTTTGGCATTTTGTAGATCTCATGATTTTTAAAGTCGTTTTACCTCGAATTCATTAAATTTACCTCTTCTACGTCCGTTCACCTTCTTCCGGATTAAAATCCTTGGTTTTTCTTTTCACGTCTCCGCTCACGCTATATATATTTATCTCGTTACTAAATTTATCCATTAATCCTTCACGTATCCAGCGGTCTCTGCATTTTTCTCTTGATTTCTCTACTTGGGACTCGAACGTTCATTCACCATGCAACCATACCGATATCGCGCATCTTGAGAATTGCACCGTACACGGGAATTTTCATGGAGGAGAATCGCAAGATCATGTTGAATTTAAAGAAGATGGAAAGAAAAAAGAAAGGAAAAAGATTAAGGGTGCTTTTTTTAAGATGCCCGATCGACGTCTCTTTCGTGAAAATTCTTTGTTCCACGCGTTCGCGACAATAAATAACGATTCGATCTAAACCTTAATCGACAATGACAATTTATCTCCAATGACCGCAATTTTTCTCTCTCTCTCTTGCTGCTGCTGTACAAAATAAATTGTCAGCAACGACATGAACATCAATTTACAAAAGACAAAGAGCAGTGCGACATACAAACGTCATAAATCCAAGCGCCACGAGGATGAGAATTTGGTCTGACGAGTTTATCGAGGATTCTCATATCGGTTATCGTTATCACCCGGTCATCGGTATAATTAGTATTCGGTTAATGAACTTTCTCTCTCTCTCTCTCTCTCTCTCTCTCTCTCTCTCTCTCTCTCTCTCTCTCTCTCTCATTCTCTTTCTCTCTTACTCTCTTACTTTTACCTTATCTAATTTGATTCCTCGACTCGGTCCGACCAATTTTCATGTCGAGACACTTTTCGTTTAAAAACGACCAACCAAGTGCTCTCGGTACTCGGCCAAACAAGGTATATATATATATATATATATATATATATATATACAAATTTTATATATATATGTGTACCAAAGAACAAAATGGCCGAGTCTCATTCTAACCTCAAATGACTAGAGCTACTAATTCGCGCGCGATGAGAGGAGGGAGCCCGCGGATATGCGCATTAAATAAATGAATGAATAAGTAATCGCGAGATACTGGCAATGGCGCCCTCGTTCCTACAAAGAATTTTCCGAGGTTCCGTTTTTTATATTATTGGAGTACATCAGGAGTAGCAATTTGGCTACACGACGTAATGCATGCACCTCGAGTCCAATATATATATACACTATGTACATAGAAAATATTTACATACTATATATATAATATATACACACCATGGAATGCTGAGAGAGGCATGCTGTTGACTATTATCACTGTTTCGTCTTACACACAATTCTACTTTACGCCAATCATAGACTCACGAGAAAGAAAAGAGAGAAAATGAAAATTATTCGGACTCTTCGCAACGAAATTAGTAACAAATGACAATCACAAATTCACATAATGCCCGAGTAACGAACTCATATGCTCTTAACGAAAGGAATGTTGTTTTATATTTTAACTCTGTGCAATGCGCCATTTTTCTTATCACTTACTAACACGGGTTTCTTTGATTTTTCGTTCATTAAATTAGGCGACACGTAGAGGAATGACTATTGCTGATAACAGTGGTATCTCAAACTATTGATGATCAATGCTCTGCACAGAAACATCTCACATGGTACATCACATGGTACATCATACATTGAGCATATACAGGGCTGTTCGGCTCAAATAATTTTATTTGACATGGTTGAGCTGAACAGTCGTGTAGACACGTGGACATTCACGGCTACTGATGGAGATTGACGGTGCTAGGTTAGAGGCAGAATATTGAATGACCAATATGCGAGATAAGTTTTTTAATATTCTTCACGTCTTCAAAAGCTGAACAATTATATGTGGATTTCGTAGCGAACGCAATGGTAATTAATTGGAGGACTTGTTATAAAAATCTTAATAATTATTACAAGGTGCAGGAAACGTGGCCACTTGTGAGAGGAAAAGAAAGGTATAAGACGTTAGCGACTGGACCAAAATGAATTAAGACAAGGTTATGGCTCTAGATCCAGTGTGATTAGGATGGACCAAGAGTGGAAGCTGCAAGCGGCATAGTGCAGGGCGTAAAAGGCTCGCGCATTGGAACAACGATTTGCCTCTAACCAGACATAACGAGTAGTCGTATTGATACCGCGATAGAGCAGCATACCCGAGCCTCTTTAGCGAGTCTAATTTTAGCTTAGTTCCTAGTCTAGTCTAGACTTAGAGAGCACTTGAACTAGACAAGCGGCACTAGTTATATTCACAGATGAGCCTCCCGCAAGTAGAGCCACACTCGACACGGCACACAAAATAGACACCACACCTCGCACAAAGCTGAAAGCCTCGGGTCGAGTCTCGTCCACTGAATCCATTACCGGTATGTTTCAGGCCCGTGGGAGTCTGGGGGAAGATCGTGGGTTCGCTCTGTGCGATTGCTGGTGTCCTGACGATCGCCCTGCCCGTCCCAGTAATCGTCTCCAACTTCAATTACTTCTATCATCGAGAGACTGACCAGGAAGAGATGCAGTCGCAGAACTTCAATCACGTGACTAGCTGTCCATATCTCCCTGGCACTTTAGGTACGTACGTATGCTCTGTCTTCATTTGGATGATCTACTCCGATAAGACTTTTAAAACTCTTCGTACCCATGGCTCATCCATTCTCATTCCTTATGACTCATCCTCGTTTGCAGGTCCAAGCCACCTCAGCTTTATTCATCCGCAAGCGAAAGCGCAGACTCCGCTCGCATCTCACTCCCTGGTCCTCGGCACATAGCTTTGACTACTTTCTCTCCATCCTAAAATCAGCCAGGCAGTTCCTTTCTACCCAAAAGGTGCTCATTGTCTCCAAAACACTTTGGCAGACCAAGTGCCGATTTGTCAATGTGCCAATTTCTCTTCGCAAAGGAGACCCCCTGGGCTCTGTGCCCACCGACACTTCTCTCACCAGGTCCCGGTGTCATCCACTTAGAATCGGAGTTCATTGTGCTGCCAATTGCAAGCCGGATCCGTTACGTTTCTCGGATAAGAGCCTGTCGGATCTTCTCATTTTCTATCCGATAATTTGTGTCCTCGCAGCTTGTCCTCTGAACTCCTTTCGCTAACTGACCCTTCTTCCATCGGATGACCTGGTATCCGTGAGCATACTGAAAGAACAAAATTCACCTGCTTTGTTAAATGGATCCTGGAAAGAATACTTTTACACGTACACGTACCAGCTGAAGGTACTGCCTCCGGTAGCTACGTAAACTGGCATTCCTACTGTAAGAGGGATGCTCTCGTAATTACGTGGTTATCACGACAAAGAAATTTCCTTCATCCCCCTTTGCATAGAATATGAACGACGCCAGTAGAATGCGTACCGCACACAGTCTGAATACTCTTTTCAGTGGCGCGACTAAGTCACCTGGTAAATAGGTTGTGGCGAATGGAGCTTATAATTATCGTTTGACAATTGTTATTCTATCAGGTTCCAATTGGTGATGAGCTACAGAAAAACAAAAATATATTAATAATGAACTAAAAGAAAAAGCTTATAGAGTATCATATATTTTTTTTTCTCGCTGTCTATGCATACATGTATATCCCTGTGCACTTTGTCATTTGTGTCATATCGTTTCTTCCCCTATGAAATCTTTATTCCGGTAAATGGCGCTGACACGATCAGATTAAGTGCAAGGCTACTCGCCACCTAATCCGTTTACTTAGGAAGCCACAAGAGACATGACTACTTGATTCTTCGCCCCGGCTGCCCGTCAAATCGTAACCTTTAACCCCTGTAATACCCACAATGATAGACACGGCTGTAGTATTAGATTGACTAGTGTAAAGGTGGTCCCACAGTAACGATATGAGACAATGCGTATAAGCACTAATAAATTTCCATTAAAATTGCACAGGTCAGCACATGAAGAAGAGCTCGATGTCGGAGTCATCGTCAGACATAATGGAGCTGGAGGAGGGCATTTTGTTGACCCATCCGGAGGACACCAAAAAGTCAAACTCCAACCCCCGACACAACAATAACATCAACCCAGCCTGCATGAGCATTGAGACTGACGTCTGACTACTAGGTATTTATTACGTGCACGACAGTGTCAATGGTTTCTGTCGAGAGAATCAAAATAGCAATGAAAATTAGACAGAATCCAAGGTATCGAAATTTGTAGAAACGATTATAAGGTTGACTGTTAATGGCAATTGCGGTTTATAGAACGAATAGGAGCCATTGGTCTGAAGGTAAACGCGGCGAATCTTGATATCTTTCGGCTAAGGGTTTCGCTTGTGGTTTCAGTGAAGGAGACGGTGGCAGCGTGGTGGCCAGTGCTGAGCAAGTTGTCGAAGAGCAGCAACTCCCTACGGTACCTGGTGTAGGCCTCCTCCACTTTGCACGCTACGTACGGCGCTAGTGTGTCTTTGTCCGTCTATGCCAGGGGTGCGTAAGGGTGGGTTTACCCTACTGCGCCAGTCTTGAGAGAAAGAAAAAAAAGTGGAAAGAATTAATGAAAAAAAAAGGAAGGAAGGAAGGAATAAGAGAATGATTTAGAAAAGGGTTCACGCGATATCTCACGTAGAGACTTTTGGTACGCGCACCCCACGTAGGGACCTACGAGTACTGCTGTACCATTACTCGCGCCCCACAACCACCGACTCCAGTGTTCAACCGCATCTCCGTAGCGCCGTTCTCCCCGTGAAAAAGGGAGCCCCGGCAGTCCGCGGGGATCATACCAGATAATACTAATTAATTATTATTAATAATTAATCGATTAAATAAGCGAGGTAATACGTTTACGCGAGGCTGAGAAATAAAAAAAAATTTTAAGGAAGAGGGACGTGCAAGGGGTGCCACGAAGGAGCGAGGACGGTACAGAGAAATGGAATACGAAGAAGAGGATAGCGAATAAGGACGGAGTAAGGTCCAAAAGGAGGAATCACAAGGAAGATGGCGGAAGGCGGAAAGAGTGAAGACAACAAGGAGAGAGAGAGAGAGAAGAAAACAGTCAAGGATGGATAAAACAGGGGATACCAGAATCAAGGGAAAAGAGCAGTGGGAGAGAGAGGGGGCGGAAAAAAATATTAACAAAAAAAAAAAGAGAATACAAAAAGACTATAGCGCAAGAGCGTTGCGACGTCTTGGCGCCGAGGAGAAATTTTTTAAACAAGTCGTTTTTACGAAGATAGACGCGCTTCGCGCGTCCTAAGCGTCGCGTTTAAGGGTAGCGCTGCGCCGCGTACACGCGTAACGTTCTGCGCGTCTACGCGGTACCATCGCGATACGTAGTGTCTTGTGGGCGCATAACGACAGGTGGCTCTCCCGGTACGTCCCTGTCTCTGCGCGTGCGCGAGACTCGCCTGTCCTATGTGCGCACAGAGACACAGAACCATATAAATATATAAATATTAATATGAAATTAAGGTGTAATGCAATGTTAAGCGTTGCGGCTTAGAGAAGAAAACCGTGGAAGATCTGTCGCGCTTTTGCCGAGTTCCCTACCCCCCTCCCCTAAAAACACACACACAATCACACACAGAGATAATGCCGTACGCGATAGTCTCCCCCACTCCCCTGACAACCACCACTACCACCGCAACCCTTCTTTCACATAATCTTAATCACCCTAATTAATTCCTTCAAGGTAGACCTGATTAATGTGCGCGTGCTCGGGCAATGGCATCGCGACGTCGCGGCGGTGAACGACGCAGAGAGACAAAGAAGAGACGGTTTATGATTCTATGAGCCTTCGCGACGACTGCTAGAGAGAGAGAGAGAGAGAGAGAAATAAAAGAAGGACATGACTTACATTGAGAAAAAGAAAAAGAGATACTATGCAGAAAGTGAGGAAACGAATCACGTAGTGATCGAAGCAGTTTAGAAAATCAAGCGGGAAATTGGAATGTAGGTCACGACTGGTTTGTACCTATGATATTTTAGGGTAGTCAAGCGTGTGTTTGCTCTTGAGACGTCGCAAGGATTTATAGGATTTAAAGGGAAAAAATGGCCATCGTGCACTGTAGTACTCCGATAATGGAAATATCCTTTTATTCGTCGTCACGATTAAGTTCCATCCCGTCCGCGTAACAGAAGGTTCCTCGTGGTGAATCGCGACGATACGTTCACGCGGAGGACGTCGAAGCGATGTTTCTTGACGATTGTCAATTATAAATGATAATTGTTAACGAACGCATCATTCGATTCACTGTATTGGGATTCGCGTATTACCTTTCTCGTCTGACTAAATTTTTTCTGCGTTGCCTAAAAAACAAAATTCTTCTTAATTATCTTACCTACCATTTTTACCTATCTTACACTTTGCCTTTCTTCCTCGACCTACCTACCTTACCTACCCTAATTACTTATCGGCCTGTATATCCTTCATTCGCGATCCTTACTTCTTGCCGATTCCACGTACTAGCTAGCGTCTATTTCTAACTATACTCTATTAACTATACTATTCTATCATCTATGTTACTATCTATGTACAGTATTGCTTTTCTCCTTCCAGCACAGCTGGTGACTGCCTGCCTATATTTAACTTAGACCCCACGATCTACGTGTCCACCGAATTTGATCCCTCCAATAACCGACACTTGGTTAAGAGGTCTAAAGGCTCGTGTTGTTGTGGAATTATTTAAATTTTAAAAAAGGGAAGAAAAAGGCCAATCCGGATGGAGAATTAAGTGCGGTTCAAATCAATGATTGGGAGTCGAGAGCATAGACAATTATGAGTGAACGATTAGCGAGAGCGAATTACTGAACGGAGGAGGAGATTCGCGAGGTGAAGTAAAAAAAGTATTAAGAAGAAATTTAGTGAAAATTTGCGAAAATTTGTAATAACGTACGACTGAAAAAAAAAATTGTGACTTATGAGGAAGTCCAAAGAAAAAAACGTTTTCAATAAATTCAAATTATCTTTTGGAGATTCGACGAAATGTCGTCCTTCGTTTAAAAACGGATAGACTGCTAGTGACAATTTTTGTATGGAGTTGATAGTTAATCTGTCCGATTTGTTAGTCGATACTCAAAGACAATTTTTGTACATTTTTTTTTTCCTTCCGCAGACCGTACCAGCTAAATTTCGCGCATATGCTCGCAGTGCGTGTAAAATCACGAGATACCGGAATGACAAAGAGAAGAGAAAAGAAGTTTGGAATTTCGTCGAGAGCTAATTAAGAAGACAAGCAGGACTCGACAAAGGCAGTAAATTCGCACTAGCTAGATGTCCATTCGATGTCCCTCCAATGTCCATTACCCAACAATCCTAAGATCCCAATGCCTCACGTATGAGATTCCTCGTTCCTTCTTCCCACATGGAGCCAAAAACCTTACATGAACCGATCCTCCCTTGGTATCCACCATCATGATCTCCTCCTCGCAATCCTCCCAATCACCAGCCGCACAGCCTCGAGCTAAGTTATTACAAGTCTGGAAAAAAAGTGTCCCGATCGAACTCCTAGGTGTACGTTAGCGAACCCTAGGTGTAACCCGCATCGTAGCCTTAGTTAGGCTAGTGAACTAGGGATTTGGATATAACTAAAAGAAAATTAATGAATTATGGATTATCCAATTATTATTACCGTTATTATTATCGTTAACCTATTATCATTGCCATTATTATTATCATTATTATCGATTGTTCATTCGTAGTTAATTTAACGAGCGATCGACTCTAAACGAATAAAAAGAATTTGAGGTTAGGTAATGTTATCGAGGAAAATTGGGCTTTAAGGAGGCACTAGGTAAACAGATATAAACGAAGTAACTCAGAAAAAAAAAAGTAAATACCTATAACAATCACACATGTAAACAAAACGTCATCTGTTGACACCTGTCAAAAAAGCACGTGTAACACGATTTCGAAGAATGCTGGTTGCAATCGCCTACAAGTAACGACGGCCACTTGGCTAAAGGGAGATGCGGTAATAATGTTTTTCTGCTGGGCGCGTAGGACAAACATACAAACACATAATCCTATATAATCACAAGCAGTAAAATATACAAAGCGGAGAAAGATCGATCGTTAATCGATCTTTGGCGATCAGATTTTTTTTTTTCGGTATTCGAACGAAATGAGGCTTTTTATCGTGTTGTACATCAGCGAATGGCGTCCGTGCGTATCCTTCCTCCTCTTACTCATTTTATTCGTCCTATTATATCCGTTATCAATTTTATTACTCCTAATCCCCGAGCAATTCGATACTCGTCCTTCCAAATATTGTCACGGTGTCACGAGCGATTACTGCCATTTCGCCAACATCGTTAAGGCTCGTTCCGCGCTGTGCGAGGATCTCTTGGTTTTCTCCTATCAATGAATATAAAACTAATAACCATTATTGATCATTTACGGGGAATGATTTATCGAGCGAGAAAGGAGAAGTTGGGATTGGAGAAAGAGCGATTGGAGGAAACTTCAAGTAAACGAGTGACAAAAAAAGGTCAAAGATCAAGCATTGACTTTCGTTCGATTACCATTGACAAACAATTAATCGTTATGCGAGCAAAAATTTGTGTGCCATTATTTGAAAGACCTGTAGGAGTATAACGCGCCCGTACAGAATCCACACACAGACACAAAAGACACGGAGTTCAATGGACGCCTGTTATGCACTCACCGTACGCTAATCGAAGCCTGACATTGCATAAGAGTAGAATAACTGGACAAGGATGTAAATTCGATTGTTAAGCCTAGAAAGTGAATTTTATTCGAGGACATCGATCCTTTGCTAGAGAAAAAGTTGGAAAGAAGATATGGCGAGGATGAAGAAGGGTGGGAAAAAAGTAATAATAATTAAAAGAAAAAAAAACTTAACCCACCACCATGTCAGAAGGAACAATAAAGAACGTGGAAAGTGATGAGCGTTGAGATGATGAAGAAGAAGAGAAATTGATAAGTAAAGAAGACGGAAGTATACACGGAGGTTTACGTTACACGCTTTGAATACAATACTTGAATCTCTCGCCTCGCTGATGTAGTGAGAAAGAAAAAAAATATATATAAAAAATACGATGCATCAACTACAAGCCTAGCTAATTGAGGGAAAAAAAATATTCTATAAAAGATAAATTTACTACTACTATTACTGCTAAACGAAAGAGAAGCAACTATCGTAAACTATTAAAGAGAAAAAAAAATACTACTCTGCTAGACAGCGTAGATCGTTAGTGGATACACAAGATGAATAGGTAGGGGTAGCGAGTCTGGCCGCGACTCTTAAAGATTTAAAAATAAAAGCCGATCGCGTTTAACGACAACCAAAATTTAACATTGCGAAATGGGTTTCCGTGAGGGAGACTACAGCTGTATCTGAAAGTGGACGTATCACCACTACCACAAAGAAAAACCCAAATACCGATTTTCCCGTTACAGCATAGGCAAAAAGAGGAAAAAAAAAAAGAGTAAAGAAGGAAATATGTCAGAAAAGATAACCCTGGCAATATAAAAAAAAATAGAATTTTACGTTACTTCTTACGTTATCTCGAAAGGGTAGTTTAACAAGAAAAAAAAACCACACGGTGCACAGATACTGTTAACTAAGGGCGAACCTTTACATTGGGAACCTAAGACTCTCCGTATTCTATCATATTACACTACAAGAATCCAATACCAGCCGTAAGATATAATATTCCTGCTGTCTCGACGTACCGTATAAAAATTATATTCTCCCTTACCTCCCCCAAACCCCCAAATCCCATGACGCTACCATCCCCATGGATTCATTTCCGCCAATTGTTCACTCGAAAGTATTAAAGCGGTGCGGTGGCCCGCTATGACTATTTCTCTTATTATGATTATTATTATTCGTGTTAGTTATTATTATCGCTGAATCTCGTTTATCGCCTTCGGATTCACCTTCGACGTAGCGTTCCACCCCTCTTACAAAAAATAACAAATATAAACCTTTATGTATGCATAGCGAGACACGAACACAGTGTTACTAACCTTACAAAGAAACAGACATACACACAAACACAGATCGACCAATAAACAAAACGAAAATTAATAACAATAAAACAATCGGAGAACCGTACCGGTCGATAATATACTCGATACAATCGATATTTACAATACGACTCGTTATACTCGTTGAAATTAAAAAAAAAAATAAATAAAAGATCGAAGCGCCACGATATTACAAAGACCGTCCGACTGTAAACTATCCTTTTCCACTTGAAAAAAAAAAAAATGAAATTACTATACATACGTATGCCACAAAAACTTCTTACATACTATATTCTAGCTGCTATTACTATACATACGACAAAACTTGATCCGTTCTTAATGCGTGCGTTTACGTCATACGTACTCATATGTAATACTGACATAGGGCGAGACACAGAGGACACGTACAGAGATACTTAATTTATTCCTTCAACACCTTTTTTCCCCAGTCTCTTTCCTCCCCTCATCCAGTCAACCAATCTCCCCTCGAAAACCTTCGACGTCTCAAATCATCGGACTTCCATTGTTATACCCTGGTCGAAAAATTGACATTGATAGCTTGTGCGCTCTTGCACCAAAACAGATTGAACCTTATATTTATCTAACTTAATTAATTAACGACTTATTCGATTTAATTCTATCGATCATATTAATTGCTGGATTACTTGAATCACGTGTTATTAAACGTAACAGAGTCTAACCAAGCCATCACGTACACATATGACTCAGAGGACACGTGACACTACAGAGGGCACTGCTTTACCTTCGCCTAGCACTTGTACCGTATAATTCCGTTGGGTAATTATGACGGATCTCTCTCGATTGGATAAAGGAGAATCGATTGATTGGTTATCGATTCGAGTCGTTGACAGGACGATGGTCAATCTTGGGTAGATTTGGGAACTCGGCTATGTTCCCGGTGCTGCCTGATGGTCGCGTTTGAAGTTTCACCTGAAAAAGAATAGCATTATACTTGGAAAATTAAAAAAAAAAAATAATAAAGACTAAATAAAAATCGATCGATCGATTCTCCGAAATTTGCGTAATAATCGGATACTGAGACTTGTTCCGTTATAGTGAATCTAATTGGAACGACGAGGCTTCGATGCGATAAATTACAAAGCGTGCAGGATAAGCGCGTGAAGGGTGAACGGGAAATAATTCAGAATGCATTCCGCCATTTATAAAAAAATATTTTAAAAAAATTAGAAAAAAAAACAAAATAGTTTTGCTACGAGAAAAAATACGTTAATTCGAGCAACACGGCTAACGACGTGATAAGCGATACGAGAAACAAGGGCGAAGCGCAGTGGCAGGATAAATGCTGTAAACAAGAACAAAAATCGCTTTATCGGAAGATTCATGAGGATTTCGCGTGATTATTGCCAAGGGAATGAAATCAAGTGCCGTCGGACATCCCTTATTGAGTTGCGACTCGTTATCGGGCTTGTCGATAATAATAATAATGTTGCACCGATAAGTGACCGGATCCGCGTACTGCTGTTTTACTCATCGAAATTTATTGTTTCGATTAATCCCTTTTTTTTCTTCGATATTTTTCACGTGACCGTAAAAGATTTAATTGTGACAAATAAATCGTACTGAGATAACCTTGATGATGATTGCGATAAGAAACAGACTGAAAATGGATAACGAGGCTTAATTGATAAATAAGGGGAGAAAATAAAAATATATTATCGGGGTACTGAGGGGAGTGAGGGGTGGCTGCGGTGCCAACGAATCGTAAATAGGGGATGTTTGAGTGGGTGCACCTCCGTGCGAGACACGAGGAATCGAGAAATGCGCACGGAAAGCCGTGAGAAGAAAATAGATTGACAACGCGTGCGACCGCTCGTGGATCGAGCTGACCGCTTTCAAGTGATATATATATGTAAATATACTCGGTGCCTACGATATATAAATTTGCGCTGTAGTATATTTACGTGTATATTCGTGTATAGATATTATACGATCGACATTAACATTGAATTAATGTAATTATTAAAATTAACGTTTGTTATTATTGAGGTTTTCAATAATTTGAACCCCTATTGAATACATAATTATTAAATTGTAAGTATTATATATATATATATATGAACAAATATATATATATTATATATATATATTATATGAGAATAATGGTAAACGAGACCGTTTGAGGTGATGATAAACGTAAATATCGCTCACACTAAAAAGAGGGAAAAACAAAAGATCAGTCATTACAAGAGTAAACAAGAAAAAAAGAACCTAATGTTACTATGTATATGAATGACTTTGACTATGACAAAGCTACTTAGTAGGCTTAAAAAATTTGTATGAGGGGTCCCCGCGCGGTGTGGCCCACCGTGCCAAGGGCCCAGTCGATCAGAATCCGTTTCATTAATTAATTAATTAATCGATAACTTATTTATATAGTGTTGAGCACTGTTTTAAGTGCTTTTCATTTTTTGGCTGTGTGAAGCTTCAACTAAATAAAAAGTAATTATTATCATATTGGCTTTGCGTAATCATTCTCAAAATTTCTCTGAGGTAACGTCGTATTAACGGTAATAGGTAAAGTTACAAAAAAAATATTTAGAAGACAGTGAGAGAGAGAGAGAGAGAGAGAGAGAGAGAGAGAGAGAGAGAGAGAGCCAGAATGTAAAAAAAAAGTGAGAAAGAGAATGAGAGAACGTGAGAGAGCATGGAAGAAAAAGAGAGAGTGAGAGGGAGCGTGACGTATTGTGGGAAAGCAGTTATGGAAGAAAGGAAATAAAAATAAAAGTATAATAAAAAAAAAAGTAAATCACGTCGTAAATCGTTCAAAAAAATATGTTATGAATTCCGCGTCTCCGTTTATATGCATTTTAGGGAAAACTTCAGACACTATACTATTAACGGTACTAGCCCAGATAAACATCCTGCCGAGTTGCCCCGGGTTTATGCTAAGAGCCACCTGGCCCGTATTTTTTCAAAAAGAAATACGAGCACGCACGAGCGCGTCCATCTCTTAGTGACGTTTCCTCATCCTCGTCGTCGTCCTAGCCTATGGGGTACACGTACACACGATATTATATACGATATATATAATACATATACATACATACGATACGATAGCTCTATATTTTCGCCTGAAATTGATTGATGATAATGATGATGATTGGGCTGGAAAAAAAATGAACAAAAAACAGAATGAGAAAAAGATACAGAGAGCGAGAGAGAGAGAGAGAGAGAGAGAGAGAGAGAGAAAATAAGAGAACAAAGCACACCCAATGTAAAGAAGCTAATTTTTTAAAGACGTCAAAGCTATGTCGACTTTCTAAACTCGCCGTACGTATTTCTACGGCATGCGGATACGTTCGCTCGATTTGTAATACATGCTTCGTATTAATTTTTGCGGCAGTGCACCGAACCGACTACCTACTAACGATAAGACTTCACCATCATTTATTTCTCGCCCCGTCACTATAACCATCTGATCCAAACAGGGTATCAGTCGACGAATATACGTATTTGAGACGGTAGGGTACCGCGAACACACACCGTAACATTTTCGCCATTTCACTTATCAATAATTAATTATCGAAAAATCGCAAGCAATGTCAATCATCCGACATCTGTTTCTTCTTCAATTAGTTTGACAAAGTTCCACCACCACCCGCCAGCGCCACTTGCTCTAAATGCGTACTCGCTGTTGGCTATCGCTGTTTCTCACTATTTTGAACTAGTTATTTTTTAAACAGTCTCACTCTTGGGGATACATTACTATCTTCCTTACTGATAAACCGCATCCTATTCTTCATTCACTATTTCGCGCGATAACACATCCTCGAAATAACAGAGAGCTCAATTGGCACGCTCCGCCTGTAATTTTCTACGCCATTTTTACCCGGGCGTATCTAGAGAATTCAAAGACGAGAAAAATTTCTTACGTTACAACAAGGCGTTTCGCTTACAATTAATTAAATATAAAGAGACGATTCGACGGGAGTGATACGCGTTGCATAATGACCGCGAGATTTAAGAGGATACATGAAAAATGGCTTTCGTTTTACGCAAGCCAGGTAGTACCAAGGCACTCAGGGCAACGATATATCGATGAATTTATTTGTACGATGATCTAGGTTACTCCGTTGTGTCTCGAGATTAAATTACGTGCGCATTGTACACGCGACAGACATGTATACACTATGAGGGAGAGCGAGAAAAAGAGAAAGAGAGAAAGCGAGTAAGAAAGAGAAAAATTTTAATTACAAGAAGCACAGAGGTGCGGAAGCTACACGCGCGTTACGTATTATATGTAAATTTAAGGAGGATACGTTACTATAATTATGAGAGAGAAAGAGAAAGTGAGTGAGAGAGAGAGAGAGAGAGAGAGAGAGAGAGAGAGAGAGAGAGAGAGTCTGTATATACATGAAAGAATAAGATGAGAGTATCTAATTGCGAGAAAGAGAATAATTCGTTATAGTACCCACGTCGTTTCCTCGTTGCGTACCGTCGTGTACCTATAAGTTCACGAGAGACAAGGAATGAGTCAAAACAACGTTTAACCTGAAATTCGCTAGTTGACAGGCCGTGGAAGTAAATAATGATTCCCTCGGGACTCAATTAATCGTTTCTGATTATTAACGCGATTAAGGAAACGACATAAATTACATGAGAATCTCGCGAGGAGACGTTGGGACGTGTCAACGCGACGCTAAGCGTCCCCGCGGTTTTTGACTGTATGCAACAATGCCAATGTACCTTCCGTACCAAATGAATACTTTGCCGTTTACACTCGCGATGAACACTGAGAATCAGGTAAAGAGGATAAAGATGGTGAAGGAAAAGGAAAGAGTCAGTTAAAAATAGAAATAAAAAAGATAATACGATAATAGGAATTTGATCGCGTGTGCATACGATTTTGCGTGAATGTGATACGGGCGCAGTGCGCGGCAAAATTTAAACGCTTGATAGTTATCGGAAGTCTGTGGGACATTGAGAACGATGAAGTAGGAGAGAATGCGAGAGTGAGAAACAGAACGAGAATATAATAGACGTGTGCATGATGAGAGGATTGTGAGAGAGAGCGTGCTACTGCTGAGCAAAAAAAGCAGCATCGAGCATTTCCAATAATACCAACACCAATAATACTCCTAAAAAAATAAACGTAAAGCTAACTAAATGTTATAAAAGGAATAATTACGTACGTACGAAAACATGCATCGTTAATTATCATTTAATCTAACACGACTAATTCGGGCGTTATACCTTACCTAATATGATTAAATATCAGTTGGATCATTAATTATTACCTATTAATTAGCTATACATTAAGGCAGTCATATAGTAATCGTATAGTCTATTTGTTAATGTTTCAGATATTTTATTAAATGTTGATATAATGTACGACGACATTCCTTATATTGTTTGTGACTAAATGAGAGTAAAAATCCCGCGTATTAGTCATTAACGGCTGCTCCGCTCGTTTCGGCTGACAAACGTAATTAACCATAATTAAAAAAACAATGAAAGGAAAAATCACTGTTGGATCACTCGAACGCGTAAACGATCCAACGATCAATCAAATAATTATCACTGATTCAATTGTATTTCGAATATAGTTCCCTACGATGCCTTCGCACAATCAAATCCGCAATTTGCGCTGAGCGTTGCGCCAAAGAGAAGAAAATTAAAAATATCACACAGGACACACATACACACGCTATACAATTTCGAGGACGTTATAAATATTTTATTATATGCATCTCTTATCAATACCATCGCCACCATCACCCACGACTATCATCACAGATATACCTTGAAGCCAATCAATATAATCAGTAATCCATACAATCCGTCAATCCAAACTTCCACCTACACTTGTCAACGACTATCGACGAAGGATCACCGAAAGTTTTTTTCTGCGGAAAATATAAGGTGTTCATGCGTTCTGCATGCGAAAATACATAAGGTCACAGTGTATGACGCAAGATGCGTGTAGAAAATATTTCTTTTCCCTTTGGCTTGCGCGACTATCGTTTTAAGATCGTTGATGAGAGAAAAATTTGAACTTGACTTGGAATGTTTCTAAGGAACAGAAACGTCGTGGCGGCGAACGTCCTGATTAGAGTCAAAAGGGATTAGAAATTGATTATCGTAAATGGACATCATATCAAAGATCCCACACAATGTTAAGACAATATGTAATTCTCGAGAAAAGAATAATGTCAGCAATATTGTCAACAAAGGATGGTTTTCAATAAATTTGTTAATTGTCGCAACATTGCATAGGATATTGAATCGTCGTATAAAAAGCTTCTCATCCTGTTGTTTGAAGGTGATGGAATGTGTTGTATGTGAGGAGGATTGACTGTTAACGAAAGGAAAGAAAGAATGTGAATAAATGATATAGAAAAGAAGTAAGGATAACGGAGATAATTGTGAGAGAATGAAAATGAGTGCATGAGAGAGAAAGAGAGAAAACGTTGCATGGAAAGAGATAAAAGAGGGTGAAGGTTACGGTAAAGAAGATAGGAAGTGGGAAAATAAGGTGGAAGGGAGCGAAAGAGAAAGAAAGGGGTAAGATAAAATGGGTGAAAAGTGTAAATACGTAAAGTTAAAGTCGTTTTACTGAAATCGATATAATAAAGGACGATATACAAGAATTGATGAGACAGGACGTCGAGTAATTCTAAAGGGAAGTCGAGAGACGCGTAACGATTTGAGATTTGTTCTTCTGCAATTGTAACGCGAAAATTGCTAAAACGGCATTCATCGTTTGTAATGTTTTATAAATAAATTGGCATATCAATTTGAAATCAAGACTTCTCTCGAAAACAAATTCTCATTCTCATCGATGATGATGCTCTGCTGGTTTGGAGCTGTAGTCATATCGTTAGTGTATAAGTCTGTATGTGACGATGTTAATTATTGTAATATAAAACTAATAAGTAGGAGCATATCAAACTGTTTGTCTGGTATTACTGGGCATGCTTCAATAGGTTGTTTTATAATGAGATCTGTTCAACTTTCTTTCGTAATGTTTCAGAATCAATTGTTTGTAAAAAAGGACATTTACTTAAAGAGCAATCGCAGCACGACAAATTTATCTTCATTTCTCACCTCTGCGGAGTGTTTTGGGCCCTTCCGTCCAATACGCCATGTACCACTGTCATTATTCGTTTAATTTTGCAACCTACCTAAAATAAAATTGTTAATGCTGAAACCATAGGAACATATGTACATACCGTGTATTCATCCTTTCAAAACCAAAGTATCCATTTAGTAATATCCTTGATTATCCTATAACCTCCTCTAATGATGAGATAACAGTAAATAAATACTGCCAGCCAAACATATAGTTTATTTATTGAATATTAACTTCCTTAATTACCTGATAATATAAACTGCTGATCTTCACTTCACTTAAGGGCTTGTAATTGTACAATTCAAGATAAGGGTAAGTTAATGAATTCACAAATAGTTATAATACTGTATTTATTATAAAATATTTAAATAATATAACCTTAATATAATATAATTATAATGAGACTCAATTATTTCCTAGCAATATTAGATAACTGTTCACGTATCTTTTTAAAATCTTCCAGAAGGGTATTTAACGTAGCTGGTGGTAGTTCCATAACATAATCTTTTCTTGTAGGCTGTTCATCCTCTTTTGTAGAAGGCTCTTCCACCTGGAATTGAGATTAACAATAAAATATCACAAAACTATTATACTATTCTTTAGTGTTTCATTCAACTCTTCCTTAAAATCAAAACATTTGACACTTCCATTTGTATGGTAGCTACTAGCAGTTACTCACTGTCATACGAAGTAGACATGTTGGAGCTTTCGCCTCAATTGGGTTTGAGCTCAGATTTTCATTAATTTTACATGAAGTTTCGACAAGCCGTGCCGGTGTAACACTGTCCATTATTGTAAGAACAGGTTTTTCAAAGCATTACAAGGATAAATTGTAATAAACTGTACAATAAGTTACAGTATTTTGAGAGGTTATGTTACTACAATGCAATATCAACACCATCTATCGCAATTCAGTGAAATAAATTTTGCGTGAACGATGGCGGCAGTAATAATTAAATTTTTTAAATGCAATTTATTATCGATTACTGGAGTGGATACAGTATGACTTCATCGTACAAGACAATTTTAAGGAAATTTTACGTTCCATATTAAAGGCTTGGAAATGTTTTATTTACACCCACCGAGAGGTCAAACGGCCTTTCATATAATTGAGGATTGCGTATTCACTAGAATTGAATATCTAGCACTTTTGTACCGTAATGATGCTGATAAATTTGATGGTAATTTTGAATACCTCCTAGAAGATTCAGGCTATGACAAATTAGGTCACTTTATCTTGAGGTCAGTAATAGCCGTATATACTATAAATATCTATAATAATTTTGATTGTGGCTAACTATAGTGTCATTACAGACTGCTCTCCACTACCTCCATAGATCTATATTCTTATTGGATTACAAGAGAAACGCTATTGTTTATGCACAGATTAAATCATATAACTGTTAAACAGTTATATAGACTCATGAAAAAAATAGCAGCTGAAATGCTGGAAAAGGAGGAGAAGTCCATACTTGAAAATTCTTTACTTGAAATAAGTAAATTCTTGGTGCAGCCTCAGGTTCTCAATCATATTTTATCCAGTGAGCATACCAGTGATTGTGAAGCTTATCGCTGTAAATGTAAGTATATTATCACAAATAACAAATTATCTTCTGATAATGTGAAAATACTAAATCTTTGTATATTTTTTATAGTGAGATTTGAATCTGTACCAGATTTGGTACAGATGAGACTTTTGTACTTGGAACAAGGTTTCTGCATTGTTCCATGCTCAAAATGGAAAGAAGTATTGCAGTCATTATTTCACAGATTTGTAAAAGATGAAGTGTTCTTTATGAATTCAGAATTATCATCAAATATTATAGAATGTGATTCCCGGTTACATTCATTAAATCAAAGAGTACAGTATCAAGTACTCAGAGAGGGATTTGGTTGTGGGAGAATAACTGTAGGAAACGTAGATGAGGAGGCTAAGAAATTTCCACTGTGCATGTATCATTTGCATAGGACACTAAGAAGTCGACATAGACTTAGTCATTATGCACGGTTTTACTATAGCCTTTTCTTAAAAGAATGTGGCATGAAGCTAAGTGATGCCATACATTATTGGAAAAATGAATATTCAAAGCCACATAGTTGCACTTCTGTTTGTTCACATAACTGGCAATCCAGCGAGAAGAAGTTTCTTTATAGCATTAGACATTTATATGGCTTGGAAGGTTCACGAAAGAGTTACCATGCTCCAAGTTGCAGTGTAATATGTGTATGTGTATTAACAGCTCCCTATTCAATCCTCAATTATGATTATGATAATTTAATCTCTACTTTTTAGAAACAGTCTACAGGATCACGGTACGAAGGAGGCTGTCCTTTCATACACTTCGACAAAGCTGTCCTCAGAAGTATCTTAACAGATCTGCTGACGGAAAAACAAGTTGACAATTATATAAAGAGCCTTAGTAAGCAAGAACCTGAAAAAGCATGCACAGCTTTATTTAAACTGATGCAAATACAAAATGGTGGAGACATAACTATTCGCAGCCCTGTGCAATTTTATTTAAGAATGATAGATCCTAATTAAGTATTAATAATTACCTATACAAGATTTTTATATATTCTGATACCTAACAAAATCACCAAATATTATCACGATTAAATGAATCAATTATTGACTATCAATTCTCATTGATATTGTCTTATTACCTTCACCAAAAAATCTTTTCCTGTCGCAATATTCGAATGTTGCGCCTTACAAAGCGGCGATTGAAATTCTGGTTGGTCGACGTATCTTGCTCCAATGGCGGTGGGAGTTGGTGCGAACGCCCACGTAGCTCCGCACCTGAAGAACGCAAGCAAACACTTTGGTGAGAAACAGATAAAATGGCAAATGGCGAGACAGTTCGAAGCCAGCTCAAATAAATATTATCAGATAATTCGCGTAGCCTGGGTAAATGCGCCCTGGAAATAATGTGAGGTGGACTGTGTGCGATGGCAAGCAAAGAGGGAACCAGCCATCAGCAGCAGTTCGTCGAGGAAATCGACTACAATGAAATTGAAACGGAAGAGGTAATCTGCCGATTGTATCTGCGTCAGAGAATCTTACGTTATGAATATGTTTCTAGCTCATTTTTCGTGCCTTGTACTGTGCCATTACACAACTATTCTTCGCACGTACTGTTCAATATTGTACGAAAGCACATTCTGATATTTTTACTCTGTATTTTAGTTGCTAACCGCAACAGGATTAATGTTGCGAACATAACCTCGAGAAGAATTTAAAATAAATTCAATCATAAATCCATGGACTGTATTCTTAGGTGGTGGGTAAAGGATCCTTTGGAGTGGTATGGAAGGGTCGTTGGCGAGGTCGATACGTCGCCGTGAAACACATCAACTCTGAGGGTGAAAAGAAGGCCTTCACCGTGGAGGTGCGTCAACTGTCTCGTGTAATACATCCCAACATTGTAAAGCTGTATGGTGCTTGTACAAAGAATCCTGTATGCCTGGTGATGGAGTATGCTGAGGGTGGATCACTGTACAATGGTACGTTACTTGGTGAATCGAGTCTCAATCCTTTGGGTGATTTTGATCAAGGATCAGATTCTTTTTGTACGTGGTAGCACGTGGGAATTGCTAGAAATAGTAAGCATGCTGTTGTAGTTCTCCATTGCAATCCACAACCTCACTACACGGCTGGACATGCCATGAGTTGGGCTCTACAATGTGCACGAGGGGTTGCGTATCTTCACAATATGAAGCCGAAGCCATTAATTCACAGGTCGGTATCATATAAAGTTTACTTACATTATAATTCTATAAAATCATTGATCAATCCTTGCTAAAACTAAAAGACGAATAGTTTGTCCCTTGGTATTCATCTTGACGGTATTCACATCCGCCACAGGAAATCTACTGAACGTTCGAACGCTTTATAGGGATCTGAAACCTCCCAATCTACTGTTAATCCTCGGCGGGCAAACCCTTAAAATATGCGACTTCGGTACGGCCTGCGATCTAAATACTTACATGACCAATAACAAGGGTTCTGCCGCCTGGATGGCCCCGGAAGTATTCGAAGGCTCCCGTTACACGGAAAAGTGCGATGTCTTTAGTTGGGGTGTCATCCTCTGGGAGATCTTGTCGCGACGGAAACCATTTGACGACATAGGCGGTTCCGCGTACCGGATTATGTGGGCAGTGCACATGGGACAACGACCTCCTCTGATGGATGGATGTCCAAAACCTATAGAAGACCTAATGATCAGGTAGATCATTCTCGTAGTTCTAGACCCATTCGATCTAAAGTAAAAATTATATTTACAATAATTAAATATGTTCACTGGATTTAGATGCTGGAAGAAAGTGCCTGAAGAGCGACCTTCGATGGATGAGGTCGTCAGGGTAATGACTACCCTTTTCGAGTTTTTCGGCGGCCATCTGGATCCTGTAGAGTACTCCCTAAGTATGTACAGTCGTACTCCCCATTACAAATCCCGTGTTCGTTTGCGTCGCGACGCCTCAAGTGTCACCGAACGATTTATTTAGCGTATCAACGTTACGGCAAACGAAACACTTACACGCTGCTGCTCCAGGTAGTGAGACGGATGAAGAACAAGATCCCAGTGATACGTTGGACATGCCGAGTACCTTGGATTCCCGATTGAACGGCTCCGTATCTAACGGTAGCAATCAGACGCCTACACCTACAACTCCAACACAGGATAGAAACAACGTATCAAAAATGGAAACAAAGGATCAACCTCATTCACCAGGATCAATCAGCGAACCCCGTGGGTCCACAGGCTACCTTACTCCCAAGTTAAATCAAGCTGGCACACAGTTCCTTGGACTGCAAAGTGGTTCAGGACTCTCTGCCAGTTTACGACACCAGGACAAAGTTGAGGAAAACACACAAAGACCACCGAGAGCATCTCCAACAGCACAATGCGGTAGGCAAGCGTTACCACAACGTAGTTTCGATTTCGCACCACTCCACGTCGAATGCGATCCTGTACGTATACCTAAGATGTTATCTACCCATGAAGCGAATTGGATTCATTACATCCGGTTCCCTCTTTTTATTACCATTCTAGAATGCCTGGGAATTTGGCTCAACCAATTCATCCTGGGAAATCCGGAATATGGCAGGTCTGGATAAAATGGTTCCAAAAACAAACAAAGGTATACAAGGTGAGTGATTGAGAAATCAATCCATCTCTATGTACTTCGGTCCTCCATAATTTCTTTGGTGATTATTCCATTCGGATACAAGTTAATGATAGCCGCTTGTCTGATACGATGGTAATGATATGAGATCACACCGGTAAAGAATTACCGGCATTGTAATTCGAATGCCACTCCATTTCGACGTGAAGGAAATAACTTGCACTGACGTACGTGTAGCTTGCAGTGCGCGTCGCCACTGCATTTACGCGTGGACGCACACCCGGGTGTATAAATAGGAGTTAGTAGTAACCGGGAGGTTTGTAGAAATGAATAGAGGAGTAGGGAGAAGTGAGTGAGGCTGGACCCCAGATGTCTACCCACTGAGACACTCGTGGTGCGCTAGCTGCGCGACCTATTTGCACGCCTGCGAAGGCCTAACGTATGTGTCATACGTTAGGCCTATGAATTCGGTGGCATTGTTCCTGGCTTCTTTGGAGCATCTCCAACGCTGTAAAAAGGCGTGTGCAAAGATGCTTTCGCGACAGCTAAGCTCGCAAGCTGTCCAACTTGTGTGTTTGGCGTGCGAAACGCATCCGCAAAATCTCATCAACAGTCAATGCGTCACTGAAAATGTCACCAGGTTCAACGATGACACAATGGAGCATAAGGAACCGGACCAAGGATCAACTATGAATATAGTGATCCCATTTTCCCCAGATCTGTCACGGTAACCTGGACTTCCTGGGAACCAGAAATATCCTTGGAAGAGTTGTAATTCCTAGACTCTGCGATGGCCAAAGTACTTGAAGGAAAAAGGAACGTCGCATGGCTGACACCAAACTGTCTGCCCGCGCTGGCTGGCACGAAGTTACACTTGAGGATCTGTGTAGTCTATTTATACGATACACGTTACCGATTAATTACTACGTTCAGTATACAGTATACATATGACAGGCTTATTTTTTCTCTTCAACTTGGTGCGAAGAATGTCACGTGTCCTTTGTGATATACATTGACTCTCCGACTATCTAGTCTCCTCATGGATGACTAAGAATAACAAAGATATATAAATCCAACATCCAATAGCGACTCATCGGTCCAATCGACACGTTCCCAAGTGAGGGATTCTCCCAGAGCGATATAATATACTCGCACAACGAGGATAGCCAGGAGCTCGCGCAGTTCCGAGTACCGAGTATATTCTCAGCCCGGAATACCAAGCCGTGCTGACTCATCTTGAATCACGTCGGTGCCTTAGGTACACGCGAGACGGATCTGTCAACTGAATAACTACACGGTCTTCGCTTTAATTTCTAAAGTGAAATCCATTTTTCATCCTAGAAAATTCTCAGACCATTTTCGATCCTTTAGTAGGACAGTGTAATACTATTCTATCACCACTTATAAGTATTCACTATACTTATTTACTTATATATCAGCCTTATAATCCACTATGGTTCATCGGGTAGCGCTGTGTTACTATATATATTAAGAAGAATCCCATCTCATGATATCATAACGTTTAAGAAGGTGCCGCGTACCACGTGTGATTCAGAGGCTGCTAAAATAAAAGTAAAGTGCCGTTAATGTCGACCAGGTCGTACTTTCTTGCTACTTTTATTTTCGTGCAGCCATACTTGTCAATCTCTATTATCTCTGATACGTTTTTGATAGTACTATCTATGATCTTAGAAACTGATACTGTGTACGATCGGAGGACATCTTGACATGGAATTCCTGGATCCTCCACCCGCTTCATCTACAAGGAACAGTACAGAACAGTACCAAACGAAGGTGTAAACGCAGTAGACTGACGGAAGACGCTTCTATCTCATCAAGGCAACAAGAAGCGGAACTGGCTCTGAAAGAAGATCGAAGAGATAACAATAATCTAAATCCACTTCCTTCCGGTAATCTGAATGAAGAAGCGGAAGATTGTCGACAGCCGGTTTTTCGAGTCTCTACTAAATTTACTCGGCGACTAATCGAGCGGGCGTGCGACTTATTTCGACGTGCCTCGAAGCGCAGCAAAAGCAGAAAAAAATCGCGAAATTCTTGGGGATGAATCAGGGCGCGGGCGCGTTTTCTTTTTTGGCTCGGTGTACAGCTACGTACTCTAATACCACTACCCCGTGGTTGGTAGTTTCTTCGAGCAAGGGTGATCGAGCGCCGTAGTCGTCGTCTTCGTTGTTGTCCTCGTTGTCGCCGTTGCCGTCGCGCAGTAGTGCTGAGACGAGAGTGAAGGAGGAGATATGTGTAGAGCATTTAGCAGGTGTGGCTGAGTCAGCCTCCCCGATATAGCTACACATTTGTTTAGTATCAAGTCGACTGCCCATGGAGGAGCAACTACTGGGAGAAAGAGTCCTCTAGAGCCACGCCAGGATAGTCGCGCTACTCTTCCAATCAGTGTTGAGATGCGTAAATCCTCCAATTGTTATTCAACTCGTAATACCATAACAGACCTACTTAGAAGTCTTTGGCGCGTCCTATCTACCAGCACCAGATATAGGGACGACTTTGGTATAAACTGTTTTTCACACTCCATCGATTCATAGAAAATCACCTCGTGTGGCAAGAACTGCACTTCCTCTTCTGAGGTACGGATCTGCTGAACACCTGGAGGAACCTCTGCGGTTAGAGAGGAAAAGTTTGGCTCTCTTTGACGCCTTCTTACTAGTAGAAACCGGCGTGACGACCGCGACATGTGCGACGACTATCCCAGCATCGTCAGCACGGAGACACTCAAGTGTTGCTGGATACTATTGCGTTAGTATTCGAATTCAGAGTACTATAGAGACTATTATTATTTTAATGACCCGAGACAGTTCCCTTTGTACTTTACTGAGGATTTACGTGGTCTTTGAATTATTGCTTTAAATAGGATACGAAGATTTATTAGTGCCAAGGAAGACATGGAGGATATTAGTGGTCTTACTCGTGGAAAGTCGTAAAAGCAGTGCCGTCTGCAATCTATGACGTGTTCTCATGACCTTGATTATATACATATAATCGCTACGACAAAGCAATATGCAACTAGCATCCGGGAACCTCCAACGAGATCCATGGCTGGCCAAACGGCAACGGTATCGTTGCTATCATGCACCGAGCCAATTTACAAAAATTCGTTATAAACGTGGAGCTCTAGTTAGTTTAAAAGCGTCCTAACTTTTCTATAGAAAATTGATTGATCATAATTGATTGTAATTAAAAGTGTTGTAAGGACAAGTTAAGATGTCGTTGACGAATGCATTCTGTGAAGTCTCAATGTGTGTATCTGTGACATTAGACACTGGTGTCTAAGCAATACTGTATGGCTTTTCTAATCAATCCCAAGTTTATTATGAATTATATGTTACAACGCAGCTTATATTATTATAAATAAACCAGGATGGTATTTATTTAATTATTACAGGTAGCAGCACCACGAGTGAAGATTTGGATAACGTCTACCGATTACTGGATGCTGAGTTGAGACCAATCACTCCGGATTACACTTGTCCACAATCAAGAGAGATCTTCGAGGAGCACAAACAATTAGCTCAGGAATATCTGAAGGTCCAGACAGAGATAGTCCTCCTAGGACAGCACAAGAACGAGATGCTGAAGAATCTGAGCGTAGACAGCCTCAGACAGCAACAAGAATTGCGTAAACTCGAGGACGAGAAGGTTCCTATAAAAGATTATTAAAACATTTAAACAGTCCTAATACTTTCTGAATACTGCATCAATACTAATGATCTTGAACGATTTATTACAGGAGTCACTGGTCAAATTGTACAGGAACCTAAAACGCCAATTGGAAATTATGAAAGGACAACGAGCCGGCGGCCTCGTTGGTACTTCGCCTACCACGAGCATAGGGGTCGGTCCAGCTGTTCCCGGAAAAGATGGCTGGGTAAAAGTGGCGCGACAGGATCCCTCGAGACTCTCGTGAAACAGAAGCAATTGATGCGCGACAATGCGTGGAGTACGAGAGTTTATTATCGTTGCACAGAGTTCGCAACGATGAACCGTTTGACAGGAACGGATGTAAATCCTGACAATGACGAAATGGCAGGACACACCTATCTGGACCATGTAATATCAAGATTTTATCTTTGATCAGGAATTAATATCTAATATGAGATGGGTAAGTCTCTGTCCGTCATATCAGTTCAATTCAAGTCGATTACGCAAAGGCAAATTAGGCATTATTATTGAAATTGTAGCGAAGCATCTATCGATTTAGAAATAACAGATAAGATCAAGTACGGATTATACGAAGAGGATTATACAGAAACCACCGTTATTTTTCAAGTAACCAAATAGACATTTCTATTTTCTAAAATTATCACCATTCAGAAAGTTTGATAAAATCGTCCACGACAGAGTCACCTTCGATGAATTAACGGATAAAAGATTATCCTTCGTGTCAGAATGCTTCTAAATCTTTAATTGTCACGAATTATTTAATTATGCCGAATATAGGCCTACCTCAGGTACGCGTTATAATTAATCGCTCGAGTAAAGTCGCGAATTCCATTCTATGTTTCTTATTATTTTCATTCGCTTTCTTTCTCTTACCCTTTTTTTTTCTTATTCTTTTTTACACACCCACTCCCTAAACATTGCCTTATGCATCTGCGTGCGTGCTTGGGATAACTCTAGTTAAGAGAACAATTACATAAATAGATTAGAACTTAATTTAGACGATTAGAACTACTGTGTCACTATGTGGGCAGCGTTTAACGTAGCTAATATTTTCACTGGACAGTGAATTAAATAAAGGCTCCCGTGATCTCATCGAACCACGAGAATTGATCGTGTGGGCAATAATAAAAAAATTCTACAGCCTTGCAGAATACTTTTCAAAATAACTTTTCAAACATACAAAATATATAGTCTGTCCATGAGCAAAGTCTATCTTCCACAAGCCACCTGCCTATCAGCTGTCAATGTAAACGAGTCATCTAAACTTCATCGAATATCTTACTTGTGGATTGACTCTTATTTTGATTTATTAACAAACTCTGATTCGCTATTATTATCATATGAAAGCATAAATGTATACACGCATGCATAAGCCCCGATCTGTCGTATTTCAAAATGTCAAGAATAATACGAGAACAGTTTTCTAGTCGAACGGTGTAAATAATCGGCCATAATAAATACCTCTGTTGGTCATGTATAATTGTGAGGCAATTTGTACTATCCATGCACGAGTCTTGATAAGTAGTAATGTAAATAATTTAGTGTATTGAATAATTTATACTGTTACTATTATTATTATTAGCAGTATATTAATTGTAATTATTATTTACTTTCTTCGTTTACTTAACGTTTACGTTGAACTTTTCATTAGTGATTCCTGTTCCTGTTCTTTCTCTTTTTATTCTTCACTTCTCCGTTCTCTTTCTCCTGTTTCTTTGACAAAGTTCCAAATGTGTTCGACAAAAACTCTGGCAATAGCTTTTAGTATATAGAATCTACGTGCACTGTGTCAGCTCTATTAAATGGATTTGATTTTTATAGAAATATTACATCACGCCATAAATTCCTTGTCTCGAACTCGTATTGCGTCGAGGTGACTGTTTCGTGTAATTAATTTATTATAGAAAAAAATGTTTAATCAATTTTAAATTTTAATTAGCCCAAGAGTGAAGGTCTAGTTGTTTGTATAAGTGCACATGTGGCATAATGTCAAGGTAACGAAATTTTCTTTCTTTGACCTTTTATTCGTTTAACGTGATAACTTAGAAGGTAAAGTTCGCATCGACCTACACAGTGGATTTCATTAATTTGTGGCAAATTAATTTGTTGTTTTAAGAGTTGCATTTCATATTCTGTCGAGATGTGTAAATTCCAGTAACGGGATATATTACTCACGAATAAATGTTTATTACGTTAGTTATCATGAAAGTGTCTATTGTAAAATCTGTTGAAATTTCGCATCAGCATCCACGTGCATCGCTTATCACTTATTTTATTATGATTATTGTTACGGTTATCGCGACAATACGAAATCTGTGAGAAGTTAAATATTTGTGAATAATAAAGTGTTTTTATACATAGACCCTCTTGTAGTAATTGGATCTTTCCAGGGAAAGGTATATATCAAGTAAGACGTTTTGCCAGACGTTCTAATAGATTACAATAATTTATTGCTTAACCGTACGTCGTTAACAGTATTTTTACATCTTTACATTATGTATATGCGTATGTATACCATTGTACATGCTTTTATATACGTATAGTAACAGAGGCCAGGCACCAAACAATTATAAAACTACGGTACATTGGATTTTCAAAGGTCCCGTATATCATGACTGGGCCCTTTTTTTTTACTTGGTTCGAAGAAAAAAAAAGTCTTAGTTAATAGAACGAGCGAAGTACGTAATGTCAAAGATTCATTTAAATTCACGAGATCCATAAACGAACTTTTAATTACGTTCGTTGCTCTTCGAGATCCAATTTTTCTCTCGAAGAAAGACGTCGGGTCCTGTCACAATTAAATCTACAGCAGTGTCTATCAATGTCCTTTGTGTCCCTTATCATTATATACATATTAATACAATTCGAACAGTCGTAGAAACCCGACAGAATAGCTACAATGGCTAACAGAGAAATGTACAACATTTATACGAGGATGTATACATGGACGATATAACTCGTTTGTAATAATTCTCGCTTTCTTTCGTTTCGGGCGAGACAGTGTAACGTGTATTGCATTTGTGTAATGGTTGCTCAGTGTAACAACAATAGTATCCATTTAATGAAGGACAGAGCAGTATCAATAGATTATCTCTGGATCGATCCGTACGACGAGTTGTGGTCATTCGTATAACTGATATTCTTGACCTCTTGGTCTTGAAGTTCAACGAGATTTAACCCGGTGGAAACACAGAACCTTTACCAAATCCAATTTCAGACTGGTGGCAGTGATATCTTAAGGGAGTTCAGATTAAAGAGAATTCCGATAAGAGTCCAAGATGATTACGTATCTCGGGAATTGAATGTTGAGCAAAAAAAGATAACAATTTTGGGGAAGATAAAAGGCCAACCAACACGATAATAAAAATTTTGTTCGGTCTCACGAGATCCTAATCAGTTAATAGAGGTGGGAAAAATCACTCCACATTTTTGTTCTTATTTGCATCCATCTGAACGTTAGGATTATCAGAGGGATGATAATTTATCAACAATTCTGCTGCCTTAAACCGAACTAACTTGCACGGAAGACGCGAGGGGCTCAGACTCATTGTGCGTTCTCAAAGTAATAGAAGTCTCCAGGGTGCCGTCGTTGGTCTCAGCGGTGAGAGCAAGTCTCTCACCTTCTAGGAGTGCCGTGCTGGAATCCACCACAACGGAATTTGAATCGACGACAGCCTTTTTTCTGGCGCCGTTGACTCCTGTAGTATTGTTAGTACTAACGCCGTCTATGAGTTCTAGCACCACTGACGCCGACGGTGTCGAGGATGGCTGATCGCTGTTCAGCATGGATCGACTACCTTTGATGTTCTCCTTCGAAGAAGCTTGCGAGCCTGCTTTCTTTTCTTTATCACCGGACGTGACGTATCCATTCTTCGCGGACTTACTTTCCTTTTCCTTAGGCTTCTTACCCAATCCTGGAAAGTTTCCTATCTTCGACGTCGCCTTAGGGTCCTTCGTTTGACGTACCGATCCTGCTCGACTTGGATCCGCAGATTCCTGTTCTTCTGTTATAGATACGAGGTTACCTTTGCCTTCCCCTGTCGCGTCTTCCTTCGCCACTTGGATGGGAATATCATCTGGACAAACGAGAAAAGAAGGTATGTAAAATTGTATCAGAACACTTTGTAATGTTGCTTTCTGACTATGTGATATATAGATTATCTATTGGATATTGCATTGAGCTTAAAAGTACTTGGACTGCGGTGCATCCGACAAAAGTGCGGTGCATCCGGCCAGTGCATTCAGCCCGTCGAGCTTTCCTGATCGAAGTGCAGCTTGCACGTGCGTTTCGTGACCCCGGGAGCATCTGTAAGGAAGCCTTTAAAATAGAATATGCTAGCGTAGGCGATCTCTGTGAATGTCGTGTTGCAGCCAAGTACTATTGCGAGATGAACGAGCGAGCTAGCAGTGTGGTCCAGCGGAGCAGCTAGTAGAGATAGCTAGTTCAATTTTGTCTAAATTTTTATGGATTCGTGATTTATAGTGATTCGAGTATAGTTCGAGCTATCGTCACGGTACCATATGCTGGGTAGAGTAGAACTACCGCACAAGCTGACTGGCCTGACCGCATAGGAATCGTTTCCGTCAACAGTGAGGATCTCGCCGAGGGCCTGTTCCTCCAGGACGCGAAAGAGACGCGCACCAGCACTCGTTTTCGATTCTGCTACGGAATTCGACTTAGGAGATTGACTCCTGAAATCCTGATCCTTCTTATCCTGATCCTTTTTCTCCTTGGATCTCTTAGGAGATGATTTTGCTGGCGAAGCCTGGTTTTGGATCTGACTTGATACGCTTTCGCGCCTAGAATTGTCTCTGGAGGAATTGGAACTGGCCTTACTGGCACGTCCAGGATCTTCTTCCTCCAAGGAATTCTGACGGGACTGTCGCCAGGGCCAGGCCCGCTGCTGTTTCGAAGGTGTTGGGGTAGGTGTTGATGACGTCTGTTGTTGTGGCTGTTGTTGGTAGGGAGAGCTTTTTGACTCGTTCGTGGGAAACATATTTGCGTCCAGGTCGTCTAGTGACAGACACCGGTCAACCCACAGAATTTACTTAATAGTATTTAGAATCATTAACGTAGGAGGAATACATTAATAAATTTAACATTAACTATTAGCTAGCACTAACAGATCAATAGAACTAATTAAATATAATATTAGTACTGAACGATGTTGGAAATTTCATCTTATATTGTTCAAATTCCAACGTCGTGCAAGGAGGAATGAATTATGCATCATTATCCTTTACTGGTTATTATCTGTCGTACTCACCTGGTAATTTCTTCGTGCGGAAAGAGGCATTCGTTATCATTGACTTGGACACCGTCACCGTTGCCGTAGCTGGAGATAAGGCAACACTAATACCCATAGGTACGTCTCCCGGCGGTTGACCTAAAATATATAATACCAACTAAATAAGATGTTTAAAAATTTTATGTTAACGCTAAATATATCAAGAGAATTACCAGAAGAACTGGAGCTGCTAGAATTTCTAATAGCGTTTGTAACTAGCATAACATCAGGATATCCTTCGTAGCACGCTCTTGTGTGAATATCATCCACTGCTTGGTTTGCTATGTACCAGCATTCGTTGTACCTTTAAGGTGAAATTAGTTTAATAACTTTGAATACGCTATTAAGTATAATATTATAATTATATGTAAAAATGCATACATAGCAAAATAAATAGCATGAAGAAACTCTAGAAGAAATTGTGTGGAGACTGGAATGCGTGGTAACAGTCTTGGTACGAAGCTAGATTCACTGCCATAGGACGATCGTTGATGATGGCCTGGTTTCATAAATCCTTGCGTCACAAGCCTGTGTTAAAACATATAATTATGTTAATCAAAGTGCACGTAATTGTAGATTATTTGATGATCTTTAACCTGCCCCACCTAGGTTCTCTTTTACTTGTCATTCGCTTGGAGTAAAATATGTTATGCCTTCGGGATTAAATTGACGCTTAATTTTGTAATATGTGAATGTACTCACTTGGTTGCAACTTTACATAGTTGCTCCAAGGCAGACTTATCCATGTAGCCAAGCTGTTGATTGTACACAAATAAAAGAGCAGTCATGACTTTCAAACGATTTTGGGCATTCAAAGTTTCAACTTGTTGTAATGGTCCCCAACTGACAAGCTTTGTGTTGCACTCTTCAAAACGACGAACTGCACTCTCTGTGAGAGATGCTGGAGCTAATGTCATTGGCTGAAAGTTACAGAATATAAATATGTCATGTTTCCAAGATATTCATTGTATCTCGAAAGAGCTACCTCATGATATATTGAAGGCATAGCCAAAGATGGTAATCTAAAGGACACAGATGTAGGATTACCAGATTTATCTACTACTTCCAAATTGTATAGGCCTATCAAGAGCGTTTCCACAGTTCTGCAACCCTGGAACCAGCAGATATCTATTAGATGAAATCAACATATTTATGTAATATTTAAGTTTACCTTGATATCACCATGAGCAACAGAGTTCAAATAAATATAGATGAGAGTAGGGAGAAACTGTAATGTAAACCTCTGTAATTCAATCTCTCTAGACCGGTAAAACCCAAATAATTGATTGCAAACTGTATCAACAAGCTAAAAAATAGAAAAACATATTTCAGACTCAAATAAATTTTCTGGAAATGATGATATACATGATTATCTCTATACCTGGCTATATTTACTGCGTTCCTCTAACAGAACATACAGTGCCCTAATGATTTCATTATCTTGCGTGACACTGCTGGCCAATGTACGCAACTCTGTTGCAGAAAGATCTGCACAGTCTGCAAGCCACTCATTGACTAGACTTTCTGTCATATTGGTTTCTTTTTCAGTCAATTTATTGACATCAGTGTCTTCTTTAGACACAATCTGTGCTCTCTCAGCTGACACTGGGATATATCCAAGACCATTAGAACTTGCAAGAGGGAACTTACTTCTCTTTCAAAATCAACACAGCCAGAGTTACACAACACATATCTAATTTCTAATTCACTTTTAAATATATTACTTGTGCCTTCTGTCATTCCTTGTGGATCCGATTGTCATTAAGCACAAACATCGACTTATTATCAATGACACTGATCATCGGTAAAACTCAAGCACAGCTGACCGTCCAACCGAATTGAACCGAATACTCCCCTATCGATGGGTCGACACCGAATGTGGTGACCACGAAGTAAGAACTGGAATTAGATCATTCGAGATAGGAAACTTGTGCAAGAATAATGAGACATTTAAAATCATTTCTTTTTGAGAGGTTGTGAAAAGATGTAATGGAATATTCTAGTATTTTAATAAATCAAGACGCCATTAATTAAAATTTATGGAATTCATTTATGTGGAATTGAAAGAGCGAGGTGGAACGTTATTAGACTAATTTTGTGAAGCTTTTGTTAAACAAAATATATTTTTGAACGCAGCTTTTCTTAAGTTTCTGTGTTTAATGCCTCTTCTAGCCACTGTGCAATTCTCTTCTGCTTTTAAGTTGTGACAGGGAGGAACTTCGCCAAGGCGAATTGGTATTATGCAATATCAAACTCAAAATATCAACCAAAGTCTATGAAAAATGTAAGCTTCTTTCCCCAGAAATATACTAATTTTGTCAGTTTCACTTAGGCTCATTCAAACAAATATTTAGTCATGGAGGTTATGCGTAAGCTTTTGAGAGATTATTGCTTTCAGGATGCAAGGGAACGGCTGTTGAAGTTATTAGTTATATTTCAGTAACATGTTATTTATTTTACACTCTTCGAGGATTTGTCGTCACTTGCCATGTCTCTCAGTATTCAAATTATTGACTGTCAAGGTATGTGTTTCTGAGAGTTTTATACTTTTACATCTGCCACACCATGCTTGGTCATATAATACACGTGATATTCTTAATTATCAATTCTGTCATTGACTATGTCTGAAATGACTATAAATTCATACATAAAGATTTGTAATGAATATTTAATGTTTCATCAGTATGCAGCGAGTGGAGCAAGAGCTGTTCCAAAAGCTGTGCAACTTCAAGAGCAACCTTACTTGAGTGTGTCGGAAAAAAGCGGATTACAAACATTCATTGTAAATCCAACAGTAATAATACCTTGCAAGGAAATTGTAGAAAAGTCAAAGATAATAGAGAATGATAAAAGAAGGAAGCAAACCAAAGAAATTGCTCCAGAGCCAGAATGGCAACAAATGAAAGTTGAAACCACCAAGCTTCACAAGCATTGTTTAATGCTATCTAAAATCAGACTGACTTGTATGTAGATTATTTGAGTGTATCAAGTATAAGAAATATTTTTACAGTTATTAATCTTTTTACAGCTCTGGTAGTTATTACTACAATGGGTGGATATGCTCTGGCACCAGCCCCATTCGATCCATATACATTTGTAATGTGTTCACTAGGTACTGGATTAGTATCGGCCACAGCCAATTCCATTAATCAGTTCTTCGAAGTTCCTTTCGATGCGCAAATGTCTCGTACAAAGAATCGAGTACTAGTCCGTGGTCATCTTACGTAAGATAGAGAGTTCTACATTAAATTCTGATTGATGTTGCTAAGAATAGAATTAAAGTTTAAGGTTTTTAAAATAAATTGGTAAATCAATATTCACAGACCAGTCCACGCTGTGGCTTTTGCAGCAATATCTGGTGCAGCTGGTCTCTCCACACTTTACTTTGAAGTAAATGGTTTAACGGCAGCTCTTGGAGCTGCAAATTTAATACTCTACACGTTAATTTATACACCAATGAAACGAGTCAGTATTTTAAATACTTGGGTTGGTTCCATAGGTAATTACACACTCACTACATCCTCTTCTCCAAGAACTTATGTAACATATATTATTATCTTAAACTAACTTCATTTTCAGTGGGAGCAATACCTCCACTAATGGGCTGGGCTGGTTGTGCCGGAAGCATTGCTGATCCAGGTGCCTGGATAATGTCAGGAATGCTGTATGCCTGGCAATTTCCACACTTCAATGCTTTATCGTGGAATCTTCGACCTGACTACTCAAGAGCTGGTTACCGCATGATGGCCGTTACCAATCCTGGACTATGTCGAAGGACAGCACTTCGTTACACTGCTGTATTAATGGGTTTGTCCTATTTAGCACCAGTATTGGATGTAACAAACTGGTGGTTTGCAGTAGCTTCTACGCCATTAAATGCTTACTTCCTATACCTGGGTAAATTATTATTTATTTTAATAACACATATTATGCGTACAATAAATTCCTCTATTAATCTCAAGAAATCGTTTCTTTTTAGCATGGCAATTTAATAAGCAATCAGATAGCGCTACCTCCCGGAAACTCTTCCGATTCTCTCTGGTTCATTTACCAGCTCTAATGTTAATGTTACTGTTGAGTAAAAAATATTGGAGCACAGCAGGAAAAGATAAGCCACTTCCTGAACGAGAAGATAATTCAATGCTAAATCTATTCCATCATGTTCAGAGTAGCTAGCTAGTATTCAAAAGTCAATTTGAAACTGATATTGAAATGTTGAGAGCCCTGTCAGACTTCCATTATGTCGCTCCTTACATCCGTAAGCGATAGTAGAAATGGTTGGAATCATGAATTCAGCCGGTTAGACAATTAGTTAAATGACTTTGTAAAATATCTTACTTGTACATAAAAAAAATACTTTGGAATTAAATATTGTAGTTATACATTAATCAATCCTATCTGTACATACTAGATGTAAAAGAGATACAACAGCCGATTTATCTTATGTACATATTTTATTTGAATCATTTTATATTACTATCATTGTCATATCACTTCTTTATTGTCATCTCTTTGCGCGGCAAACTCAATTGCCATTTGACGTCTTGTCTTTGTAAGATTTCTATGTCCAGGACAATCCAGATTTTCCTTGAAGCATTTATTTCTGCAGCACTGCCGGCAAAGTTTGTATTCGCATTTAAATCCCTGAAAAATTTTTGAAAAAATCTTTATTATAAATACAAAATAGAAAAACGAAAACAATATTTTATACTGACCAATGGATTTGGACAAGCAGTACAAAGATCAGATCTACGTTTCATAGATAAAGATCTATTTGGTCTGCGAGCAATTCGTCTAAGTTTTTTAAGACGTTTATGGGAAACTTCGTTGCCTTCTTCATCTTGAAATTTTCTTTTATCTTCCCCATTAGATTCCTAAATGATAAAAATCATGGATAACTACGATTCAATCTGTTAATTCAGATTCAAGATCAAGAGATGCTTACCAGCTCCATTCTTTTGGCTTCTACTTTATTCAAGTGTTCCTGAGGTGAGTCCCTGACATAGGGCTGACACAACCATGGTGGCAGAGTAAGATTGTAATCTAAAGATGATTCCATTTGGTCATCATCATTTCGTTTCCTCCAAGAAAGTCGACCCTCGTGATATGGTAAATAACGATTCTTAACCGCCTGGACAACATGCCTGAAGGACTCCATTGTAGAATTTCTGGCCAGGATTGCCCTCTCCTCTTGGTTCTCTGCTAAACAAAGTCTACTCTTCGGTTAGAAGCGAGCTCAAGTAAGCTAAAGTTCACTAGTGTGGATAAACGTACGTGTGTTGAAAGAGTTTAAAAAGATGTCCACGTATGTAAGAAGAAGGAGCCGGATGACGTTCCACCAAGTCCAAATATTCCTCTGCTGGTTCCCAACTAGGAGGATATCTTCCCTCAAAGATAAATGGATTATAAAGATTTCCTTCGGCAGTCATCACACCCTGCACTCCAGTCTCCTGGATACAGTGTTCTATGTCTTGAACGCACTGAATATTCCCGTTGGCAAATACCGGGATTTTGACAGCCTCCCTGAAGAAATCATATCTTGTAGACTCCAGGACTAAATCAACGAAATAATTGTACCCTTGCAATTACAAGATAATGACCTGACTGCACGAATATGTTTCCAGGATGCTAAACCAGTAAGAGGTCCTTTCTGCTCTCGTGTTCTACCATGAATTGTCAAAAGAGATGCTCCTGCATTCTGAAGCATCAATGCGTATCGGACTGTCTTATCAATTTCCGGAAATACTCTAAGCTTACATGTCAAGGGTATTTTCAGTTTTCCGCTCAAGGTGGAAACTGAAAAAATCTTTATATTAAAATGTTATTCTAATCTACACTAAAGTACCTAATGTACCTATTCGTCGAAGAAGATCCCAGTCGTCCTGTAAAAAGGCACCATAATGTCCTCTTTTCGCAATGGCCTGAGGGCATCCAATATTGATATCGATAGCATCACAATGTCCTTCAGCTAGTAAGGCCGCTTCCAATAGAATATCAGGATCATTCCCACAAAACTGAAATAGGTCAGGTTTAATTGTAATTTACTGAATTACAAGTATTAATCAACAAAACGAATATTCATTAACCTGAACTATAAGGGGACGATCCTCTGGAGTACTGACTAAGGCCTCCTTCCGGTATTTTGGATCCCGACAAAAAACCGACGAATGAAGCATCGGTGTATAACAAAGCTGTGCTCCATGTCTACGACATAAAAGTCTCCAAGGTAATTCGCTGGCGTCGACCATAGGGGCGACGATGAACTTCGCTGAGTTTAAGATGTCTTTCCATATATCAATATTCTTCATTGGAGGACTTCCGGGATCCTCGGAATTCTGGTTATCGAGTTCGACACTCATTGCCTGAGAAAATAACAGTAATTTATAATGATAGGTACCTCTTATAATAGTCTTGCGTGGCTTGTCGAAAGACCAGGACAACAAAATTGAATAGATACGGTTGCGTGAAAAGGAAGTAATGTCTCACCCTGGCACAGACTGGTAGTGCCGAAGGTACCTGGGTGAACTTAAATTTATGGAAAAAAAATACAACTGACTTGAGGTAACAAGAATAAGTAATAAAGACAATAAGGATTTTTTCAACAGAGAATTCTATTTATTTTTTTCGCAAATGAATACAAGGTTTTGTATATAGAAAAATTCGGTGAAATATACATATATATAATGTATCGTATATATATAAGTGTGTCTGTGTTAGGATGTCTGTGGCATTAACGTATCAACTTTGCGTCCTAATGCACCAATAGTGCACAGGGCGAAAAATAACGGACGGGATTATCAATATTTAATAAATACATCAAATGCGACTAGAGTACCGCAGTTTCACCCTGTATACAAATTTCCAGAGATTCTCAATTCAATTTTCATATTAAACGTCAGCAAAAGACATTTCCTGTAAGAGCTTCAGGTCACAGCCGTACCGGCACTCTGGCTACGTGCATTATCCGTCGATTCGGTAATACACGGTGGAAATGTAAAGTGATTATTTATCTGGGGCGGTGACCTCGGCGAAGCAGGTTTAGAGAGTTCAGATTCTGGGATCGGCGAGAGTTGGGCGGATTGCGTAATGTGAGCACCAATCTTGAATCTTGGTCTCTTGTGGAAGCTGCCTCTACGTACTCGAAGAGGCTGTCCACGTTTGGTACCAGCTAAAGGTATTGTCAAGGACATGGCCGAGGCAGTTCCCACATGTTTGCGATGCCTGGTGGGTAGAGTCAAAGGTGGAAGCTTAACTGGTGGCCTCGTCTGAACCAAAGATTCTTCTCTGGTAGGGGACGGAGTCATAGAGATGCAGCGCACAGGATCTTCCTTCTCCTTGGGATCTTCACTGGGGCTGCTTAATGGATTGACACGGTTTTTACGTGTATTCCGACCAGGGTCAGAATTTAGAGACGACCTATGTCTAGCGTTTTTCCTTAATTTCATACGTAGAAACGTCCTGATGCGTCTCATCGCGTTGCAACGAGATGACTTAGTCTTGACCCTGTCATTCTCATCTAGGCGTTTCCTTGACTGGCGATCACCGGTATTGGTAGAGTTGCTGGAGCCACTGATGATAGAGAAACAACAGGATACAGGGGATGGTGTGGACGGTTTGAATTCTATACGTGGCTGCGGACTGCGCACTGGCTCCTCTAGGATTGATGTTCTAGATGAGAGCTCGATGGAGGTCTCACTGGCACGACTCTCATATGAAAAATATAAGTGGAAGTTCCTACGCTCTTTGATTGTGTCATTAGAATCTGTGGAACTTTGATGCGTAGAACAGACATAAATGTTTCTTGTTTCAGTCTCAGGGCAGCGCTCTGGTGCAGACTTGCAAAAATGATATTGGACTGGTAAGTCTGTATTATCCTTGCAGAATGAAGAACACGTGATAGGTGTGGAGGAAGCTGTGTTTGCATTTAAAGCATTGACTGCATTTCTCTCACTTTTACTGCGTACATATTCATACGTAGTAAGGCCTAGGCAAGCAATATATCCATGAAAAAAGCACAGATGTATAAGCAGTACTGCTGCAATAGCAGACAAGATTCCAACAACAGATATGACTACCAGCGAACCAGGTCCAGCAGGTGGTACTGGCAGAGTAACATTGTCCATGGTGATGTTGTACAATTCCTTGTAACTTACATGTATCACGAGCTCAGCAAGGGAGATGCAGAGTACAATAAAGGATGCAATAATTGCTGAAACTAGACAGCCAATGAAGGCTAAATAATTTCTACCCCCAATGCAGTTATTCAACCACTTGCAATGATGATCAAATTTTGTAACGCACTTGTTGCACACACTGCAATGCTTGGTGCGCTTCTCAGTGGCAGTAATGTTGCACAAATGACAACGACCGTTCTCAATGACGTGAAGATGCTTGGTACGATCAAATTCTGGAACCACTTGGGCACGAGGCCGAGCCCGTACTCTGGGATCTGCTGGATCCAGTAGGAGAGCGAAGAGATGTGTTATCACATGGAGAACCAGAGCAACTATGATCACTGGGAGAAGATGAGTCCGTAGTGGAAATGGCAGTCGTGGTAGGATCACAAGAAATGTTCCTGCAGCTACTCCAGCTAGGACCAGCCAACCAAAAACCTGCTGCGGATGCAACGGCAACTGCAATCCATGCACCCGACGAAATCGTCTTTGCTCCGGAGGTGCAAAGGCGTCCTGAAGCGAGCAACAGCGCGAAAACCGAACCGGTGTGTTTCGCATGCCTGGACACGACACTTGACATTGCGTCCAGGAAGCCGACACTCCGGGTTATCATTAAACTAATTCGGCGAGATTGAGGTCATGGCGTGTGCGTGGAGAAACATCGCGGCACTAAATGCGTTTGCTGAATACTAGACTTCGAATATACATGCGATTTCCACGCCCTGCATCCTGAAAATCGATAGTGGCATGGCAACGCGACCCTGCCATCAGTACTGGACATGCGGCAAAAATTCCACTCTTCTTTTACGCTATCTAGCGCCCTTTTTCTTTCTTTATCTATTTAGCACTAGTTGGAACTGGGGTCCTGAATGTACGAAATGCTATATACTACAAAACTTTTGATCATTGCAATCTGGATTTTTTATAGCAATAAACTACGATTAAAAGTGAGATTTTCAAATTCTTAGTTGTCCACAAGATGGCTGTAAGAATATTCCTATTCCTCGTCGAACTATGTAACCTGTCTAACTGATCCGAGACTTTGAATTATATAGTTTCGCGTAAAAGTATATGCTTCTAATTTAGCAGACGTACATTTTGTCCCTACGTTCCATATTTTCGAATGCTTTATAATATTAAAGAAAAATCTATGAAAGTACATACCTCCATCTGCTGTAAAATTTGTAGGTTAGACAAAAGCACTACAGATTAATAATAATAGTAACTTTGCGGTGACAACAGAGCTAGGATTATACAATATCAGAAAGGAAGCTCTATTACAATAAAATCATTTTTCATGCTTAATCGGCAATAATGAAAAACAGAGTTGTTACCTACTGCCGCCGTTGTCGTTTGTCACGCAACAAAAATGTATAAAGAATAACTCCTGATACATTTACACTTATTAAACAATGATTTTTCTTTACAAGTCATTCACTTTTTGTTAATAAATAATATACAGGAGTACACATTTCTCTGACACACATAAAAAACAAGCATTTAGCATACAGAGATATCCAATGATGGTAAGATCTATTTATACGTTCCTTGACTGGTCTGACGATTTTCCTAACAGACGGCGATGATATCATTCCATCAAAATCCACAGCATCAAATAATCATGAAATTAATAGCACAAAACTTCGTGCCACGTAATTTTACTGTTTGAAAGTCTGTCGACTGATTCTCGTTGGTTATTATTCTTCATGCATACGATTAGAACGAGTTAGTTCGTTGTACATTACAATGGGATCTTCCCACAGCGTAGAAATACCCGGAGGCGGTACCGAAGGTTACCATGTACTTCGGGTGAGTACTGCTGTCAAACCTGCTAACCTATTTTATCTTCTCTGAAACATTAATAGTTCTACAGATAAGAATATTTAATCAAATTCAATGGCACTTAGGTCCAAGATGGATCACCAGGGCAAAAGGCTGGTCTTGAGGCTTTCTTCGATTTTATTGTTGCTATTGGAAATATCCGTCTGGTAAGACTACCTCTGGTGATTTTAAGAGTTTCGTTATGTTAAGCTGATATTGAATATGAAAACTTATATGTGAAATAATTTGTGCTGCTTTATAGTGTAATGTATGTTTATTAAGGATCAGGATAATGACACTTTGAAAGAGCTGTTAAAGGCTGGCGTGGATAAGGACCTGCAAATTACTGTGTACAATAGTAAGACTCAGTCTGTTCGACAGACTGTAATTGTACCTAGCATGACCTGGGGTGGGCAGGGTCTGCTTGGTGTAAGCATACGTTTCTGTTCGTTTGAAGGAGCCAACGAAAATGTCTGGCATGTTCTGGTATGTATCTTCATTTTTATGTTTTTAAAATTTTTTTAAAACCTGAAAGACCATAAACATAATATTTTATATTGCAGGAAGTACATCCTTCTTCACCAGCTGAACTGGCTGGACTAAGATCTTTTACTGATTATATCATTAGTACAGATTCAGTTTTACACGAAAGTGAAGATCTTTTTACTTTAATTGAAACTCATGAGTCACGACCATTAAAGCTCTATGTCTATAATACTAATGATGATTCATGTAGAGAAGTCACTATTACCCCAAATAATACCTGGGGTGGAGAAGGAAGGTATGTCTTTATTCCTTTATAGTACTCACATGATTCTAATCGAAGAAATTATATTGCAGTTTGGGCTGTGGAATAGGCTATGGTTACCTACATAGAATACCTATCAGGAGTATTCCAGAGGCTAAGCCAAACAGCTACCTGGTACACTTTTATTTACTATAACTATTTATCAAATTTCCATCGATGCCTAAATTTAATTTCTTACAGAGCAATGCTAAGACCATCACCACACAAGCACAACCTGCAACCAGTACTGGAAGTAATCTAGTAACAAATGTACCAACTGGATATTCCATGCCCCCAAGTTATGTTTCAGTAGCTGTTTCGGAATCCACGGCAAAGGATAGTATTATAACTACAGCACCACAGAATATTCAGTCTCCAGTTCCAGCTCCAATACCTATTTCAATTGCTACTACCAATGCAGTGCCTCAATTGGATCCAGCGATAGCTGGAGCATTACCTACTACAAATTCAGCAACTCATCTATTTTCTGCACAATCCAACATTAATTTCCCTCATGGTAAGACATTTGAATATTGCTACGTAAAGCCCTCTAACGTTTCTCATAAAGGTATTACTTAAAAATAGACCTAATGTGTTTTGCTAGTGAGTTACAGGAACTAGAATTTCATTTTCTTTTCTTTTAGCTACTAGCCAGTCTCCTGGGTATCAAAATACTCCAAACATTCCTGGTATGCCGACCAATCCACCATTACCACCATTGCCTGTGAGCGTAGCGACACTGCCTGGGGGAAATCCGGTGTCGCAGCCGAACGCATCAATCATGGGTGGCATTCCCAGCGAATATCAACCTCACGTGGTGACTACTCCAATCTCACTGCCAGGAATGCCACCTATAACAGTCAGTGCAAGTTTACCGCAGAATCCCACGTTTTATCCGACCATGCCACAGCATCAGAATTCGCATCCGCCACCTCTGCATCAGTTGCCGGCATCTCCAAACACCTCAGCATCCTCGCAATAACCTCGCCTTCTACTCATTGTATTGGTATATCCCTGCCCTCTCCCTATTACCTGGGATAAGAGACTAATTTATCAATGATGTATAAATAAATTGTACATGAAATCATAAGAGTATCGCTTCTATAAACCACAATGATTATAGTATTCCATTATTTGCATTGGTAAATTTATGTATCTTTGCTTACCACGTCCAACATGTAATCTCTACTACATTGATTGATATATTATTATTCTCCATAAAATTGTACTGCAGAATAGTCTAATTATGTAAGTAAATGGAGTTATACAGTACATAGATACTCAATGATAAAAACACTCAATTTTATCACGAGCACTGATTTATTTAGTATTCGTTTATTCTAAATACTTGCTAAGTTGTAGTGTTTCAACAAATGATAGAACCACAAACATTTTATTGTACAAAAACGTACATTGCAGTGTATGTTACATAGAACTATAAGACGCATACAAAGGATAGGGGCTTACACACTACATAGTAGTTTAAATAAATATCATTCAGATGATGATATCTGTATCGCCAAGTTCCTCATCGCTGGGAAGTTTTACTAAAGCAGGATCGATAAGATTTGGATCAATAGGTGGTAATCCTAGCTCCTCTCGTCGACGTAACTCTAGGTAAGCTTCCCGTTGTGCCCAATTGCGTAAACCAGCATCAGGTTGATATGCCATGAACACAAAGCCTCCACAGAATACTACAGAGACCACGAGGAAGAACAAGGAGTGCATGCCATGCTTATCAATGTTCTCATCGCTGTAGTCGAAGCCGTAGCTCACCCAGAACTTCTTAGGAGGCTCACAGGTATTGGTAGTAGGTACGGATGTCTCATTTTTCTTTGGCGATGTGGTTATGGTTCGTACGAGATTGTTTTTACTTATAGAAATTGTGAGAGTCTTCCTCAGGGCTTCCAAACGCCGGAGACGTACCAGAGCTAACATGGTGCAAAACCTGGTTATCCACTTATCCCTGGTTAGGTTAACTCCGAAAGTTATGAAACGTCTCTAGTCTTCTCTCTTTTTCTCTATCTCACTCTCTGCTTGTGGCTCCTCCGTAGTCAACAGTTTGCTTCATTTTGTCTTCGATTTATTACACTAATATAGATATGAAACTCATAGGTTTACAAATTTAACTGGATATTTATTGTTTTGTATGTGCGATGTGGAAAAACTTACCAAGAATCGTCCCTTTCTGTCAGATGACAATAAACTTTTAGAAAGCATGTCAAGATTTTGAACGAGTGGTGATGAGTAAGCTTTGTTAAACATGATGCAAAACACTAATATATCAATTTGAAAAGCGTTATAAATAAGCTGGAGAGAATGGTGGTAAGTACGTTTTCGCAAATTTCGCGATTAATGATGAGTTTATTATTGGTGGATTATTAACGAATTTCTAGGAAGCACAAGTGACTGGGAGTTTGGATTCACAAGTTTGGTCGAAAGATCAATCTTGTAGGAAAATACAAATACTGTGTAAGACGTTGATTAAAAGTGTCATCCATTTATAGGTAATGAGCTTGTCATTCTTTTATATATAGGGAAAGCAGGAACACATAAGTACAGGATGATTATGAAGGATGCAGCTGTCTCTGAAAATCTGGATCGTCTAATGACACTTATAATATCTAATCCTCTATATCTGATTGGTTGTGTAGCAGCGTTAGTAGTCCTGGTCATACCATTGTTTATCTTCATTGTTTTTGCAATCACAACAATCACCTTTACTTTTGCTGGGTTTATTCTTGTTGAAGGTGAAGTTTATAACAATAGCACTGTAGCTCTAACATCAGTTTCATTGATATTATAGATTTTTAAAAGTTAATTACACTTACTTTTTCAGGTATTTTGCTGATAATAGGTACTGTCATTTTATGCTGCGTACTCTTTTGCACTATATCAACAGTAACTGTTATGTTACTTTGTGTAGTTTTGGTTTATTTTCTCATAAATCAAAGTCTAACAATGTTAAGAAATATTAGAATACACAAGACTTGAGTTTTACATTTCCAAAAAGATTTTCATATTCTTTCTAATGTGATTGAATATACACAGAATTAAAATGATTTAAACCTATATTTGTTCAAATTATCAGTATAATGTAAAATATTGTATATAATAAACTATATTCCAAATCATGTCTGTATGATGATTGTTAATTTGGTACTGGATTCTCCTTTGAACTCTGCTCCTCCAATGAAGCACATCCAGTGGATATAGAAATTTCATTCCAAAGAAGATCACAAATATGTTTTTCTCCTTCATTTAGATTGTAACAAAAAGAATGCACATAATTCTTTTTATTATTTATATCTAAGTAGTGGTGTAAGGAAATTACTACTAAAGAATATTAAAACAATATAAAAAATATGGAGTAATAAATAAAAAGGATACATCCTTTTACATTTTGTTTTAAAGCTGTGAAATCCCAACGAATTCCAGTTAATTCTTTATACAAGTCCAATTTTCTCCTGAAATAATATTATTTGGTAACGAGATAATATATAAAGTAATACTATATACAAAATTCAACATACCTTCCCGTTTCTATTGTATGTATATCTCGTAAACTAGGCTGGACTGTTTCCATTTTATTTTTCTTGGCTTCCAACATCAAATTTTCTTCAACTAAATTGCATTTTTCTATTTCCAGTTGTTTCTAAAAACAAGATGATTTAGTATTAAGAAAGGCAGTTAAAATACAGTAAAAGCATAAGCTAATAAAAATCAGAATAAAATTGCTTACAAGAAGTTCCTTTTGTTTTCTTAAATCCTCTGATTTAGATTCAAGAACTTTTTTTTGAACACTCAATTGTTGTTTCAAAATAGTGATTTTGGTGTGCAACTCATTGATATTTTGCTCCTGCTCTAAAAAGTTAGATTTCAGAAGATATTAAATGAATGAATTGAAGGAATAATTTCAGAAAAATATATACCTTTAAGATGTTGTTCTTGCTCTGTAGTTGTGTTCTCTCTCAATCCACTCTCTTGTATTAATTCCAATAATTCTGTAATATTTGGAGCAGTATACTTATTTACCCGTTTTAGTATCTCCTCCATTATGATACACAGTTAAATTCATTTGACACTTCAATTCAAAATTGTTTTGGAGCCGTTTTCCTGTGAAGATGCAGCGGTAGACGGAAGATCTCGTTTTATAACGCAACTATAATCTGCAGCCGCTATAGCATCTATGGATAACTTAGAAATTTCTTTTAGCAGCAAACTAGACGCTTTACTTCTGCATAATTTGCAATTTATGATGTATTTCGGAGTAATGCACAAGTACAGTTTGACAGCCGGTACTGGCTGATACGTTAAACGAAAACAATAACGCAGGATTAAACTCGCACGTAAAATTAGAAGGTGTGACACGTCTATTTCTATTTATTCTATAAAAGTGTGTAGCATTGGATAAAATTGCACAATTACATCGTGAACTAAAGTGGAAACAGTAGCTTGAGAGGTTGTGTTCCCGAGAAATAATCATCCACTTGTTAACCCACTTGGAATCAGTGTTAAAATAATTAATTTGTATCCAGACAGGTATTACTAAGTTATTTAAAAGATTTCTATATAGCAGTTAGTTCATATCTATTGGGCAAGTATATTTGTAACGCATGTGATATGTCTCTGTTGTGACTTTATTTATTCAGTCATTAGTACATATGAATGTAGAGTATAATACTCTATTTTTATAACGAATTTTACTTCTACATAAGTGGAAGACAGAATTATTGCTAATGTTGCAAAAGTCATATAGATATGATAGAACTGTTGTCTTATCTTACCTAGATAGGATATGGATGACACATTCTTTGTAACACTTACAGTTATAAGATTCATTTTTTATTTTTGACATCAAGTATTTATTAATGCTTTATTATTATTTAGGATACTGATTCACAATGCCAAGTTCTTACCTCTATGCCATTAATAATGAGGGTCGTGTCTTTGGACTATCCACATCTGGTACTATGTGGCGTGAGTTTATGTACCTGGGATTGGAATTTAAACAACTTTCTGCAGTGCCACACTTTATGTGGGCAATTGGTGGCGATCGGCAAGTTTATGTACATGTTCATGGTCTAGACATTCCAATTCGCATAAAGGAAGAAACTTATGAAAACGAAGTATGGCTTACTTGACATATATATGCACAGTCTATTGATGGCCAATGATTTTAATTCATTATCTTACGTTTTTTTATATCTAGAGATGGTTGCCTTTAGAAGGTTTTAGTGGAAGATTGTTACCAACAGATAGATATAATTTTTCAAATCAAGATGGAAGTGTTGACCGTAGTCGTGATAAAGTCAAATTACCTTCCATGGCATGGCAATGGGAAGGTGACTGGCATATCGAAACAACATTAGATGGACAACCATTGGATCATGATGTAAATTGAAAACCATTTTTTGGGTTCTACATTTTTTTACAAATTTAAAAGTATCTTTATTAACATCAGGGTTGGACCTACGCCGTCGATTTTCCTGCAACCTATACGACCAAGAAACAATGGAAATCTTGCGTACGGAGACGCAAGTGGGTTCGTTACAGAAGATACAGTGCAATGAACTCTTGGTGTGCAATTGCACCACTTCATAAGGATCCTACTAAAGTAATAATTAAATTTTCAAGTTCTAATTCATTCTGAACAATGTACTATATTATTTTTAATATCCTATAATACTTTGTGCTTTTTCAGGAACCATTTATAGATGTTGCCGTAGGCGGTAATCAAATTCCTGGAGGCAATCCCGGTGGACTCGTAGTTTGGGCAGTGACGGCGCATGGCAGAGTAAATACAAAATGAATCGCTTATTCTTTACAAACATTTAGTAATAATTCTTCAACTCCAAAATCTCTTCAGATAATGTTCAGAGTTGGAGTTAGCACAACGTCTCCCGAGGGTCAACGCTGGAGTGCAATTAAGCTTGCAACAGGGTACGAAGTATGTCAAGTGAGTGTAGGATTAGCTGGCCTGGTCTGGGCTGTTCTTTTAAACGGAAAGGCTGTAGTACGAACAGGTGTAACCAGAGAAAATCCAATGGGTATGTTTGAGATGAAGCATCAGCATTGTATAAAATAAAAACTCTTAATATTAATTAAACTATAATAACAGTATCTTTGAATAGGTGATGAATGGGCTGAAGTAGAACCGCCTCAGAAAGATCTTCGATTGGTCCAGGTGAGTGTCGGTATGGATGCTGTGTGGGCCGTTACTAATGAAGGTAGCGTATGGTTCCGGAAAGGAATTAAGGGCGAGATGAGTGGCGTTTGTGAGCAACTGGCTACTGGAACTGGATGGGTAGAAATGCTAAGTAAAATGGCTCTAGTCTCAGTAGCACCAAATGATCAAGTAAGAATCGTATAAATAGCCAAAATCTATTCTTTCCATACTTAAGTAAATTTTATCTAAAGGTCTGGGCCATTGGTCACGATGATCGTTGTCTCTACTATCGAACCGGTATCACACGTTCTGAATTAACTGGAAAGAAATGGCGTCTTATCAATGCACCGTTACAATTGAGTCGTGCCAGCAGTAATGCCAGTCTCTCTTCTAGTAATCGGCATAGCATGTGCGGCACGCCACAGCAACAGCGGCACCAGAGCTGGGGTTCCCTTGTGAGTTATTGATAAAATTTTTTTATATACAATTTCTTCCTTTTCGCATGCTATGGGAAAGGGTAATATTACAGAGAAACATTCTACGTATCTGCCTTATTTTTAAGAATCGACCACATAGCACCAGTGAAGGCACAGCCCTGATCAGGGACTGGGATGAACAGTCGAGATCTGCTCCCACACCGACATCCTTGAAGTTATGGCAACGTTCTACTGATGGTACCGTTCCCAATAATCAACAGCAAACATCATTCCAGGAATCTTACCTGAATGAAGCCAAGAAACGGTCACTACTAGTTGTTGATATGTAGAACGTAGACATCATTCTCAACGTGCTAATTTCATTTAACCGTTCAGGTCTGCAAATTCGATGGACATGGGTGATCTTACGGCAGCAAGCGTAGCCAATATAACAATTTCCAATGAATCCCTAGCTAAAAGTGGTGAATCAATAGTAGTGCCTGGTAAAGGAATGAGCAGTACTGTCAAAGTGAATCCAGCTGCCTGGAGTCCAGTTCATTCAGTTGGTTCAATGGTTGGCGTCGAAGCTCATCCTGAAACTGATGGTAGTATTTTCGATCCTGATCTCACTGGTGATTCTGGAGTCTACGGAGAGGATGAAACCACTGCTGCTATGTATTGGGCTGAGTGCGATGTTCTTTGGTGCAAGGTCGAAGCTGGTGCTTGCTTTGTGGATATTACTTCACCACCTAAATGGTACGATACTCTTGAATTTTATTAACAATATTAAATTTTACGTTAATATTGCATGCAATAACTTTCAAGGATTGCTGATGGTAATGGTGCAGTTTATGGAGAACTGGCAGAACCCTGGAGGATACGAATTCTGGATGAACTCAAAAGCAGATTAAAGGACCTTGACTTTGATTTATCCAAATACGAAAAGGCCATTGAAAAGTAAGTTTCTGAATATTAAACTTTACTACCGGTTTCAGGAACTAAGGATTTTTATTGCACAGATCATCCTGGGTAAAAAATGGTGATGCACGATGCAAACTTAAGGGCAGCATTAATTATGAAGACTGTATAGTTGAATTGGAATGGATTGGTAGTGATAGTGGCTCATTGGATTCTGGTACATTGACTATTCTCAATTCAGATGGCGCTACCACTAAGGTATTGAATTCTAAAATCAGTAGACGTAAGTAATTTTACTTCTATTATCTTTTCCACAACAGATGCAGTTTCCTATTTCGGAGATCGTCTGCGTAGTATGCTGCAGTGAACCAGGTAGCCCTAGGCTGGCAATCCACACACCACGTCTTTCCCGCTGTAAAGTTGTGCGACTCCAATTTGCTAGTGATACTGAAATGGAAGATTGGATGGCCAATCTTACGTCAGGTAATATCTCCTTTATCCAATAAATGGGATAATGCAGGAGTCTTTCTTCAACACTAATTGTCATCTTTAGTTACATGCCAGATGAACAATGTGTACGGAAAACCAGGACCTAATGCCATCTGGACAACAACTGCTCTAGGCGATGTTTTCGTTTATGATCCAGCGATAGCTGAGGTTTCTATAAGATAAAATAATTATAAAATTCAATCTTCTATACAAACAGCTAATTGCTATTTATAACAAATTCAGGCAAATCAATTCTTTGATGGAGTGTACACTCAGGAACTAGATGTTGCTGGTAAAATTCTACCATTCGAGAGTATACTCCAGAATGGGTTTGGTCCAGGCAGTGCTCTTCATGCATCCATGTGTGTCCACGACGATGCTGATAGGTAAGTCAAGTTTGTCCTATCTTTTCCTGAATAATTTCAATATCAAAGTCTTTTGTTCCAGAATTACGTTTAACCTAGTCTGCTACACTACAACAACCCCAAAGCAAAGGAACGTACCAGAAAATCACGACGTAGCCTTGCACTTCAATCCACGATTAAAAGATGATGTCATTGTCAGGAACACCTACGAGAATGGACAATGGGGCGATGAAGAACGGGCAGGTGGCAGTCCCATAAAGGCAGGCTCCGATGTCAATTTGAAAATCATTTGTGAGACTCAGGGCTACAGGATATTCATAAATGACAGTGAATTCACTTTCTACTGCCACAGGATACCCCCTCAGAACATCACACATTTAAAGATCAAAGGCCTTATCACGCTCAGCAATGTTCTATATAAATCAAGATCGGTATGTCAATAAATATTGAGAATAAACTAAATTATTTCATATTACACCATTACTTTGCAGGTAATCATTGAACCGATAACAATGTTTTGGCGACAGATGGGTGGACATCTTAAAAGAGTTGAGACATGTAGTTCCGGTATAACTTGGGGCATAGGTTATGATAATACAGCCTGGGTCTATACTGGCGGTTGGGGAGGTTCTTTCCTCAAAGGTAATATATCTTGTGATTGTCTCTCATACAAAATGTATTATATATGTATTTTTGTTTTAAATTCAGCTCTAGCAATTAACAATGGGGGTATTAACACAATGGTGGATACGCACAATTATTTTGTCTATGAAAATCAACGTTGGAATCCTGTGACCGGTTATACGTCTCATGGTTTACCCACGGATCGTTATATGTGGAGCGATGCTACTGGTCGGCATAAGAGAACGCGAGAACACACGAAACTTCTGTCAATGCATTGGCACTGGGTTAGTAGAGGATAAAGTATCATATTAATTACGAAAAGTAATTATAGATACTTAGATATATAATCTAAACAATAAAGCGTAATATGATTACTAAGTAATGTTTTCAGGTTTCTGACTGGATCATAGACTTTCATACACCTGGAGGTGTTGATCGTGATGGCTGGCAATACGCTACGGACTTTCCATCGCAATATCACGGAAGAAAACAATTTACGGATTATGTAAGGCGACGAAGATGGTTCAGACGATGTGAATTAACTACTAGTGGCCCGTGGCAAGAACTTGGGAATACCAAACTCGTCGATGTTTCTCTATATGTACGTTACTAATAAGTAGATTGTAGTAATTACAATATATAAGGAGGTATTTACTATTTTGTGAATTCTTTGAGGCAACTGGAGATCCAGGAAGCGACGCTCCCATCTATGTTTGGGCAGTAGCGGCTAATGGCGAGGCTCTATTTCGACGAGGAGTTTCTGAATCCTGTCCCATGGTAAGAAAAGGTATTCTGATTTTTAAAGAAATTATTTTTATTATCTCTTTTTAGGGAGTTTCCTGGGAACATATTCCTAGTGATCAGACTCTAGTAGGAATTTCATGCGGTCCCAATAGACAAGTATGGGCAGTTGGGAAGAATGGGTCCAGCTACTGGAGATTTGGGATAAATCCCAACAAACCAACTGGTGAACATTATGTTAATCGACGAAGTATATTTTCTGACCTTCTTGAATTAAGTCAATGAATGATTTTGTATTCAATCTTACAGGTGATTTATGGCAGAATGTAGAGCCACCTTCAGGAGCTCATTTAAAGCAAATCTCCGTAGGCAAGGATGTAGTATGGGCCCTAGACACAACTGGACATTTATCAGTGCGCCGCGAAATTCAGTCTAATGTTTTTCCAGAAGGAACTTATTGGCAGACATTACCAGCTATGCCTAACGATCCCATCCATATCGGTCATTATTCACAACTTTTGTATTTCTCCACAAATCTGCATACTTTTATGTAAAGAAAGCGCTTAATATTCTCCCAGACTCATCGGTGCTCACGGCAAAACAAGGCTTTCGACATGTATCAGTGGGTCGGGAACCTGGACAAGTATGGGCGGTGTCGGGAGCAGGAATCATATGTCGAAGAATCGGAGTGACCGAATCAAATCCTGCAGGAAACGGCTGGGCCACTGGTATCGGGGTAAGCATCTTTTTTTAAATTTTCTTTAGCTAGAAGGGAACTGTAATTAATTTATTTTTATCGTACTTGCTAGGCCAACTGGCAACACGTAAGCATTGGCGGTCTTGTAAACAGAAGGTAATAAATTAACAACACCGGTATCTAACTGAGAACAGTATTTATATAGAATGATTGATGGCTTGCCTAATTATATAATAAACAGAATTCGTATTTGGTGTGCCAATTTTGCCATTGCCATATCGTTGTTATTAATGACCTTGGTGATACCTTCAACTCTCATTAAATTCTAGTCTAGAGATGAATTCTGTGAATCCATCAATCATAGACATCATTTAGAAATTCATCTGAACAAAAAATACTACTCATAATGGAGTTGAAGTCACTTCCGGTATAAGGCATTATATTCCGAGTACTAGCTTTCTATTGTTATTAATTTATTTGAAAAAAAAATGCTAATGTCATACAATCGTAACGTTACATTACTGTGTATTTGAATTCATTATTGAAATAATCCGGAATTCGCGTGTCTATATTAATTGCAAAATAGTCATTTAATCGATCATACAAACCAATACTCTGTGTGCTGTGTGAACTTGTAAGACGTTCCAATAATGTAATTTCTGTACTAGCTTTAGTTCATTCACGCCATAATGGCACTTATAGTGTAGAGACGAATAAAGATTTTGTAAGTTAATAAGTCAAATGCAATCGTATTGACAGCTATGGAAAATAAAAAAAAGACTTACTGTGATTTACTTAAAATATATTATTTATTTGTGTATCATAAAAATATAACAGATTCTTTTTGCAATATATACAGAATGATTCCAGCTCGTGTCTGTCTTAGGACGGCATTATAAAATAGTGAGCGAAAAGATATACAAACGTCTGTAAATATTTTATCACTACACTTCAAACGTGATGATCGATCATTCGGTGTTGATTCATTGTCTATTTCCAGTTTCATGTGTTGAAAAAAAAGATTTGTAGTTAGTTTGACTTGAGATTCTAAATTATTCACAGGTTTTTCTCTTTTAGTTTCTTCTAACTTTTTCTTTCTGAGGCAGGCTCTGGAAGACAAATGCTTATCAGGCACACTTGCTTTTATTGTGTGTTAATTAACAGGGCTTCCGTTATCAGCATGATTTAATCCTTGACAGGGAAGATTCTTCCGAAAATATGAATAATTCAGATTAATTGTCTAAAACTTTGTACAACTACGAAATTTCTCGCTTATCTGTTGCGTTTTCGTTTCCATTTCGATTTGGTTGCGTTTTCCCTGAACACTGTGACTTATTCCATATAAAAAGTAAATAGCAAAACCTGAAATAAATCATCTGTCTGTATTGCATTCCTTTTTTGTTTAATATCTACTATATAGAAACACATCCAGTTTGCTTACCTATTATCATCCACACCACAAATCTTATCCAAGTGTACACATCTAATTGCAGCATCAGATATAGATTGATAAGGATACTAAGACAGGGTATCAGAGGCACTAGAGGAACCTAAAAGATTACCAAGAAGAGATTAATATAGGGAGATTGTATATAAATTAACATAAAATTATTTTATGTACCTTGAAGGATAAGTTTGGTTTCTGAGCTGGTTGTCTTCCGATACTAGCAATTATTAGTAACATAATTAACACCAGTAATGCTATAATCGCACAGTATATCACATTCCCAGAGAGTACTTGATCTCCTACGTAATTAATTAAGAATCCCACGGCGAAGACGATGATACCTAAAAGTTAAACAAAAATGATCTCCCTGACAGCACCGATATTGCTCAAAGATTTTTACTTACTGTACAGTAAAATACCCCACTTAGCAACACTCCCAGAATATTCTGTCGGGTGCTTATTATTGTTTAAATTAAAGAGCAGCTTGAAGAAACTCATTGGTGTTCGTTCCACAGGAATATCCATGGTCGAAGTTAACCCGTTTTTGTTTGTAGATTCGTTCTTCTCATACCTACAGGGTATAATATAAAGATACGAAGTACAAGAAGAATCTCAATTAAAAGATCATCAGAACATGAGGCTCACCTCAAAATGAGCACGGATATAGCTACAATAGTATAAGCTAAAAGTGTACCAATGGACATCATGTCAATTAGTTGCCGAAGGTTAAAAACAAGAGTCATGATACCTATTAAAAAAGATTACAAACAAGATATTAATTATTCAGATTTTTCGTCATAATCAACGAATACCAATTATCTATACTCACCTGTGAACAAACCGGATAACAGAGTCCCGAAAATCGGGGTCATAGTCCGCGAATGAACTTTAGCCAAACATTTAAATAGTATTCCATCACTGGCCATGGCATAAAGAACTCTGGGTAATGGGAACATTGCACCAAGAAGACTGGTGCACAGAGCAAAGATAGCTCCTATATTAACAATCCATTTGATAGCTGGCCAGCCAATTTGTTCAAAAACATATGGAAAAGGAGCATCTGCATTCTATAAGAGTATGATTAATTTATATTTGAATGACTAATTATAGGTTTAATTATATACGACACACCCACCTGATCATAATATGGCCACATCATAGTCAATACTGTTGAGATGCTAAAGTATGCTACAAAGATAACAGCAAGAGACATCACAATAGCTAATGGAATGTTACGCTGAGGATTTTTAGCTTCTTCCCCAGTTGTTGCAACGCCATCAAAGCCAACAAATCCATAGAAGCAAGTAGCAGCTCCAGCCATAACGCCGCTTATGCCAAACGGCATGAATCCTCCAACTCCAGGATTTTTTACAGTTTCCGGTATATCCTCAACGGCGATGGACCAATTTGAAGCATCAGCTGTATATGAATAAAACATGAGCATTTAATAATCAAATGATGTAATGTTAGGGATTAAGAATATTTTCGGATTAGCAAAACTCTGGGAACCAACTGACCTTTAATGGAACCTGCCACGAGGACTATCGCGATTGTCACTAAATTGATAGTAGTGAAAATATTGTTAAGCAATGACGATTCCTTGACTCCCACGCTAAGTAAAATGGCAAGAAGTATAACCATAGCAAAAGCAAAGAAGTCTGGATACTCTGATAAGAATGAGATATCGATAGGCATTGCATCTCTAAGTGCCTTTGCCATGACATGATTTGTCAATGCATCAATATAGTTACTTAAGCCTCTTGCCACGCTGGCAGTACCTAAATAATTGCAAGTAAGATAACAATTTTTCCAATTTAATACTCGTCATTTTTCATTTTAAGATCTTACCGATTACATACTCTAGGATTAGGTTCCAGCCTATGATGAAAGCTATAAACTCCCCAACGGTAACGTAACTGTACACATAAGCAGATCCAGCTTTTGGAACTCTGGAGGCAAATTCAGCATAGCACATTCCTTAAGAAAATATAATTCGAATTAATATACATTCCTTGATAACAGAGTATGCAAACAGTGAATGAAAATATTTTAACTACCAGCAAATGCAGAAGCTATTGCAGATATCAAGAACGACAGACAAACAGCTGGTCCAGCTGTTTCCCTGGCGACACTTCCAGCAAGAACATAAACACCTAGACCCAGGGTGGCACCTATACCCAGTGCAGTAAGATCAAACAGTCCAAGGACTCTGTTCAGTTCTCCTTTGCCATTCTCATCTTCGTCAACCCGCCGCCGTGAAAAAGCCATCCATAATTTAGTAGCCATTCTCAAAATCTGCTTTCCCAGTCACCTATAAATACATGACAAATTTCAATGCTGTGTTTGCTCTTGGATTCTTTCAAATTACATTGAGATAATGCTCACATTTACTATTCTTATTGCACACCCATGTCTATATCCTCCATATATATTGTCTTATCTAGTAAACAGTAATGATTAACTTTCATTAGCGTGAATTTACTTGTAGCCTAACTGAATCCCAGAATGATGTCTAGAATGGTTGTTGATAAAAGTATCAATTTTTGAAATTTCTTTTGCTCTGTCAGAACAAAGTAAAAGAAATATTATTTGATAACGTTGTGGAGCTCTAATATCTCCTACATAGATATATTACGTGCAAAAAATATTTTAGAAAGTAAAGGGTCTGATGAATATAAGAAGGGTATAGTTGGCGCGCTTAGAAAGTGATATCACTTGAGGAATGTAATTGCTGACAATACCTAACGCAAGAAATAATAATGAAACATTCCAATCTATCCATAGGAATGATACAAGTGAGAGGATCCTAGATTAAAGCAAAAAATACCTGTCTTTTTTTCTTTTTTCATTCTTTCATAGTTACTACACTTTCTATATCTCATTTTGTTTGCACGGAACTCGTTACAGTTTATTACTGCTAATTCCTGTCCAATAGCTAGTCATTGTATATTCTCATTTTAGTTTTTTTTAGTTTAGTAGCGAAATTGTTGTGTTCCAATGGCTTCAAAAAATTTGTGCAATACATCACGTGCCTACCTGCTACCGATGCGGACTGTGACCCAACGTGACCCTGATATTTGACTATACTGTGTACTACAGTGGCTAGCAATGTCAATTCTAAAGTATCTACATACAACTCATTTACCTTGTTCCATATAATATATTGCGCAACACTTTGTAATCTTTTTTTCATAGGTTCATAATATAGTATACACAATACAGTATAACCCAGAGTACATACATATACAATTCAACGTGGTCCATTGTAATTTCCTTTTACGATTACCTGTATTTAGTCAGGTATGTTTGTATGTGCTTCTTATTGAATGGTATTCGGCAACAGATACAGACTCGCTCTGAAATCCATTGGAAAGTGATTACGCGACCGAAATGTCCTTTTTAGTATGCGAATCCTGACTGCAAGAGGGAAGAACTTGTTCCTCTGCAGTTTTATCAACGAATTAAACAATGTATTCATATGCATAATTGCAATAGCCTATGGTTTAGATTAGATAGTTATGCTTTAGATTTCACATTAGACAGATACGTGTAAAGTATGAATGATAACAACTACTTACATTGTACGTTCACTTATGTTTATAATTTCAATTTTACGCTCTTGTCTAAATTGTAAAATTATGTGTACTCCCACTGAAGGAAGATATTGATATTAATTTGAAAATGAGAGTACAATTAATGATAAGCGCGGAAATGGCACCGGAATGTATACACGTATTGCGTAGGTCGAGACTAGTATAATATAAAAATTCAACGAACACGATTTCCAACATCGTAAAACTTCCTTGACTGCGTTTTCTCTATTAAAGATTGCTCATGATGACATTAATTGCAATTTGCAAGTAATATAAATTGATATAAATTATTCTTAATCAGCTATAAAGTCTCAGTGATGTCTGTTTACATTATCGCATTTAGGATTATAGATCAACAGATATATTCATTGTATTACTGATCATTCTATTTCCACGTCGCAAGATATAATGTTGAGTATTATTCCCTAAGATTCCAGGTACGTCATGGTATTGAGAACAAAAGCCAATTATTTCCTTGATTCACAGCATCATAAAGGCCACATAATTGCTACTTCTGGAATCCAAAACGCGAATTCTTGTGGAGTTATAGCAGCGCAATATGTTACGCAGTAGAAAACTGAAATTTACGCATGAGGGAAAGGACACTGAGATAGTTCCATAGCTAAGCCAGTTAAATACAATAACGGTAGAATAGTCTATCATAGTAGTTCGACAGGTTAATTAAGAATTCATTATACGTATGATTTTATACAATAAATGAAGCACGCTCCTTATAAATTAAAGAATTACACATTTAACGACATTCAGTCTCGCGGCTCTAATCAGATTATTTAACATGAGGTAGACAATGTGTAGTGTCAATATTTACGAAAACAGTAATCAGTTTTATATATGGTGTACTTTAATTTAGTCCACTTCAATTTAACACATTTTTTAGCATCACGATCCAGTCTCGTGCATTGTGGAATTATAAGTAAATTAAGGAGTGATGAGGAAATATCGTGAATATAAATTTTCTCGCTTTTCACTTACAATCTTAATCAATATAATTTACTTAAATAGTTATTCATGTCGCGCATCATACTTACAAGTAATAGCACAAATAACTTGAACACTAAATTACTATGAGCAAATTTGCAAAAATCGGGCGGCGGATGGCCTGAGTATCTATGAATACTTCTTAATAGTTTACAAGCAGGATTAGTTTTGATTATATATGTAGTTTGATAGTAGAATACTAATGATTGATATGTTTACTACAATCTCCATTAATACAGCAAGAGCAGTAACCGCACTATATAAGGAAAACAGGTACGCCACAGTCAGATAGTGATTCCAGTCTTTTTCTCGTACAACCATTTGTCCGACTTTCTGTTGTTGAGATGACAATACATCATCTTAGTTGTTATATGATTGAAAAATGAAGTATGAAATAAAAATAAAAAAACTACGTTATTGATCATGACTATTCAGATATTTACTTTTTTTCTCCAATCAACTACAATTATGATTGAAGTGGTAGAGTAGAGATATAAAATTGTAGTCTTATAATTGTTCATGTAATGTTATTAGCAACGCGTGTAGAGCAGAGACGCATTATTAAAAATTCACAAGTGTCTCAAGGTCATATATTTATTTAGTTAATGATGGCTATATTGGAATTGAGAAATAAGACTCACTGGATTTGTAATGAAGATGATTGCCAAATAAAAACTACTTCAGGGCCGACAGTGTTATGTTGTTGCAAAAATGGTGGAATCCTGATGTAGGTGAAAGAAGTTGTCTCGTTGCGACACGACTGTAGGTCACACGAGTAGGTCGAGAACACCGGAACCGGTCGCGGCAAAGGTTGGCCGCGAACTAATAACGCGATATAATATCGTCGCGTTCACCTGCGCGCCTTTCTCATGTTAATAAATTTACTTGTCTCCCACCATTGACAGAAGTATAACTGGAAAACGCAAAGCCAAATGCGATACCTATTTTGATGAGCTCGTTATTATCTTAGAACACCCTCGCTGTGTATTTTCCCTTGAATGTTTTAAGAGAGTAACAGTATTAGTGGTGGAAACTGTAACAGGAATATATGGTCAATTGAAATATCGACATCCAGAATGGTGAAGGATAAAGAGGACAGTTCATCGATGATCAATTATAAACTTCCCTTGTACATAGTTTGTGTGATCTTTATTTCTTTGATGATGATTGTGATCTGTTTTCATTAGGTACTAAGTCGCTGGTAAACTATCAGCATTCTTCAGAAATGTATCAGGATTATTTGCACAGCCCGGACAAGTATGCAAAGATTCATGGATGAAAATCTCACAGTCCACACAGAAAACGTTCATGCACTTGTCGCAGATATATACCTAAAAGTAGATCCACAGTATATTGATGTGTTAGCAAGTTATAATGTGATGATTGGACGTACCTTTTTCTCGGTGTTAGAAAAACTTTTCTGGCATCCGAAACAAGAACTTGGCGTATTAGATTCGTATGCGATCTCGCGAAATGGTTTCACAGGGAATAAATAATGGTAGGAGCGTGCTAAGTGTGGGGCAGATACTAAAGTCAAGCCACAAGCTCGACATTCTACTGGCAGTTCGCAATGCTTGCTAAGACATTGAGGACATAGATAACCAGTCGACATCAACCTACTGGACTCATCTGTACTTTCGGCATGACTAAAATACACTGGATGTCAGTAATGATAATTTTATGAAAATTATAATACATGGTTGAGATAAAAAATATGTGCGCAATTGTGTAATTACCACATGCAAACTGTCATGGCTGCATCAGTAGTAGAATTATGAAGAGCATGGTGAGGAAATCCCATTTTGACCAAAGCTGCATCGAGTCGGGTTGTAGCTGGTGGAGGATCAATGTGTGCATTCAATTGTTCTTTGTAATGTTTATCATCGAGAACTACGCTGTGTTCTCCACCAGTAGCTGACGCAATACGTTTACAGACACACAATTCAGCAGCCAATCCAATTACACTGCAGCGTACTCCTTCAACCTTCATAGTCTAAAACTCTATATTATTAATCCATTTTTGTTTAGAATATATTTTAATTTATTCTTAAGCATACCTTAATTAATGGATTAATGTCACCAGGATCACAAGTAGTGAGAGATCCTATTAAAATTAGAATCTCTCTGCTGGCATGAGATGGCAATAAACGTAGAGATTTTAGTGCCAATTCTAAGGAGTTTTGTAAAGATGGTTCACCTGTTAAAGCGGTATGTTGCAAGTTCTGCAATTCCTAAGCATAATCAATGATCATTGATAGATTAATTCAAATTTATATTCATATTATTGGTATTGTAAGAAAGTAAATACTTTAATGTGTTTCTTGGGATTTCCAGTTAAATCACTTATTTTTTCTGCACGCTTGTTCCTTGTTACAATGATTCCCATTTGACTTATAGGGTTCTGATAGAAGAACTCGTCGACAAAGTCTTCCAAGAGCTGAATCATATACATGTATATATTATTTAAACATGACTTGATTTGTAGAAAGAATAACATAATCCTGAATATTTTGAATATACAAACTTTTATAGAACAAAGTAAACGGGTAGGTTTTAAGTCTTGGTTCATCATGGATGCAGAGCAATCAAGAATTATAAAAAGGTGACGCATCATCCCAAGTCTTGCACCACCTTTTCTTTCGGACTGTCGTTTTCTTTTTGCTTTATGTATAATATCTGCGACAGATGCCTCGAGCATGCCATGATCGTCCTCTTTGATAGCTTCCCTAAATAATAGAATCTCTTAAGTTTCTTTTCTTTCTTGACATAGCCTATATACTGTACCATGTTTTCTCATAACCAGTCTCCCAACGATATTCCTTTTCATCTTCCTCCTCAGCCATAATAAATGTCTTTTTTGAATAAAATGAAACTAAAACCACAATTAACTAAGATAATATTTAATAAAATGTCTGTTCTGTGACAGCAATTATTTCATTCCATTTTATTCTAATTTAGTAAATCTAACATTGATGTTGTTTATGTCCATATACGTCATTGGTCCTACCAATAGGCTAATAAAAATATCACTAAATAAATTATAAAACATATGGATATTCAAATTATTAGATAAGGAAAAGTAACTTCCTATAACTTAATTAATATAAGCAAAAAAAAGTTTATCGTCTATAAACATTCCAAAATTCGGAAGTCTTTATAGATACTGAGGACGGTTATTGTATTTTTCATCTTCAATATACTTTATATTTATAATGACGTAGTACAATCTAAAGCAATTAAAAATACAAATATCTTCCCGCGAAAAATTAAAAAAATAAAAGTTAAAATATTTCATAAACATGTATAAACAACCCTTAATGTTAAAAGTACTTGTGCTTCCGGTAAACGATGCGGGAGATTGAAAAATCTGATATCTCGTCGTATAATTATTCACAAGCTATTAAATTGTTATGATACATATTACCAGTTTCAGATTTTAAAAAAAAATTAGGACTTATAATTGGTTATACTTAATAAAAGAACGTAACTCAGGTATCCAAACATTATAATGAGTATAAATATATAAACTAATTATTATTCCCGGGTGTGGACATTGTAAACCCGCTGAAATCCGGTGTCTATGGCGGTAAATATAAATATCCAAGAATGAATATACTTATAAACATAACCTCCAACCCTTTTCGTTCACTAAAATATGTACTAAAAAAAAGAAACTCAATGTGCAATACTTCAGAGATAGTATTTTCGCAATGCAGTAGGATTAAATTAGCAAAAAATCAAAAGAAATGAAAAATATCGTAAAAATGCAGAACGGAACGAGTGTTCCCGCGAAAAGCGCGCGTGTCGCGTGGCGATTATCCGAGTTAGGTGGCAGCACAGTCGCAAGACGCGATCACTGTTTTCGTGGCGCGTTTCAGCGCGTTTCGTGCCGCTTGTACCGAAATCCCGAAGGAGCAACTTATATTTCGTGGAAGCCTGAAACCAGTAAGTCATTTTTCAAAGGTTACAAATAGTTTGAGTCAATTCCCAAGGGCTGGACAAGTACGTTTGGAAAATGTCCGTTGAAAAGGATAACAGGAAGTGGTCGGGGCCTCTCTGTACTCTACGCAAAGCAACGAGAGCCATCTTGACGATCATCGGCTTGCTCGTGGCGGACAGGCCAAGAAAACTTCAATGGCATCCACCGGGAATGTTTGCGATTGCTAGCGACAAGCCCGTGCCCTCTAGCTGCGACGCTATCTCGTTTTTAACCGCGTACGGTACTTTTCATCGCCACGAAATTAAAGTCTCTATTATCAATTGCTGAACTGACCAGGACGAGCGCGCTTTTTCACCTTGGGTGTATCACTTGAATAGAGTGCCTTCACGAGATCTTGTCTTGCACGGTTTTTGTAGGAATATAGGTTAGTTTACGAGACGCTTTTGCGATAGTATTGTTCAATATATATGGACAATCTTGCTAGTTTCTTTATCGCGCTTAACTTGGCTGAATAATATTTATTTCGCAAATTTGGCACAATTAGTATTCTTACCGTTTTATACAAATTTGGTGTTATTGTTTGAAGATTTTACAGCTTTTATGTTAATAGCTCGCTTTGGTTGAAAAGAGATTACTTTGGTTCATGGTTGTGAATCTATTATGTTACAGGCTACTTCAGCGGCAAACAAATTTAGCTTGAACAGGCAAGATGGAAGGAGGTGATGGCCCTTCGGCCATCAGTAACAATCCTGTTACCATCAAAGGTACATAATGATATTTTGGTGACTTTGTTTTAATGGAAGCTTTTGTATTTGTATATTTGCTTGTTGTTACTACACTGGTAAAAAGAAACAAGGTACTGGTGTAATAGTAGAGTTTAAAATTGAATGTTACTATTGGTTTTCCCATTTTAAAAAATTTCTATCTATTTTATTACAGTGGCACAAGAAGAAATGGGGAAATTAGATGTCTTGGTTTGTGGGCAATGCCATTCGGTTTTCCACTTTATAGAGGAATTCCAAGAGCACCGTAGTAAGGAAGGAGCTTGCTCACAAGTCTCACACTTTCGTGATAACAGCAATGTTCGTAATACTTTTCCTAGATCATCTTTTTACATTTGCTGAATCAATGTATGTTGTCTGACAATACAATTATTTACTTGTATTGCAGAATGAACAGAAGGCACAGGTCTGGGCATTTCTGTTATGGAAAGATACCCAGATTCAACAAGAGGGTTCGGATCGAGACAGCGCCAACTCCTGGAAATTGTATCAAAAGTGGTGTAAAATGGATACACATATTCGAGATTCCTGGATAGCAGCAGGAAAGACTATTCAAACTTTTACAAAAATCAGTAATGCCAAGATGCAAGATGCTCCACGCCCTCAATTGCAAACAAATGCTGGTGATGGTAACACTGCTGCTCCTTTCTTTCTAATCTCATACGAGCTTCATAATGTCAAATAATGTGAAATTATACTTACAGCTGCGAAGCCTGTAGTAGTTCGTAAAGTCATTCGAAATGGACAACCGGAAGAAGGAAATGAGAAGAAAGATGTAGCCAAGCTAGAACCAAAAACTACCAAGAGCACCGAAGGCGAGGTTGTTGTTAAAAAAGACAAGCCACGACTAAAACCAACTGTAAAACCAAAAGTAATACATCATCTTACTGTACTAAATAGTCTGATCGATATATATCAATCTGATGTAAACAAATTTTCAGATTAAACCTGGTAAGATCACTGGGCCTGAAGATGGTGATACAAGCGACGAAGAATACGTAGTCGAAAAGATTTTAGCTAAACGTTTTAATCCAAAGAAACGCTGTTCTGAATATCTACTCAAGTGGGAAGGATTTCCGCAGTTAGTACTTTCTGAAATACGAATAGGCACAATGAAAATAAAAAGGAGTACAAACAAGTCGACGTAATCTATGTTATAGTGAGCACAATACTTGGGAACCTGCTGAAGACATGGGAACATGTAAACATCTTCTAGAAGAATTTGAGAGAAACCTGGCCAAACAAAAAGAACTCAAAGCAGCGCAGCAACAGGCCAATGCAAAATCTGCTGCTGCTGCTCGGTCCCAAGTCGCGCAAAAGACAATAATAAAAGCTGAACCAGCCAAACCCGGACCAAGTACCGCCGCCCAAGCAGGGTATACTTTTTTCTTACGCTCCAATCATCAGTATCCATTCCATCAGTAACAATCACTTATAAAATAATCGATAAAATATTTTAGAAGGCCGATGCGGTCAAGCAAATCTAAGGCCATGGATCAAGTGAAACAATGGTGCGGTTCCATGAAGGACGAGGACAATGAACGTGAGTACAGAATCCATGAAATAAACGGTAGAACTTGTTTATTTAACCGAACTGTTTCTAATAATCATAGTTTTAGGTAAACGAAGAATCGACTATTCCGATAGCGAATCCGAAGATGGAACTACTGGAGGTGGTAGCAGCGCCGCAAAACGGGCTAAATCTGGTGACACTGGAAGCGATGATGATTGGACTGGAGAATCAGAAGATGAACGTATTATAGGTCGATCAGACGTGATCCAGAGAGCCTTCAACAGAGCCAATGCACAATCCAATGGATCTAATCGATCTGGATCAGATTTAGCTACTAGTCTTGGGCTTCAATCTCCAGAAAATTCGAAATCCGGTCAGACTCCAGTCCTCGTGGCGAATGCGAAGGGTGTCGTTAAAGTCGATCCCAAACAGATGCCTAACTTGACTTCTGGTGTTTATGTAATGTCCAGAAAAGACGGAATAATAAAACTCGACTCATCGCCCAGCGGTAAATTGGCAGTAAAGACATCAAGTGCAGCTCAGGGTGTTCTAATGGTTCCTAACCGCGATGGAACGGTCGTGAGGAAACAGGTGATCGGTTCACAACCTAACAGTACCATAACTCCTGTGAAAGTGGTGTCGAAACCAGATGGCAGTCAAGTAGTAACTCAGATGAAAGTAATTTCCAAAGGCGTTTCGAAAGCTGGAGTCATTGCTCCAAAATCTGAACCGATAAAGATCCAACCAAAGCCAGATCCTACTCAACTGCAACAGATTCATGTAGTGACCGCCGTACCCAGTCCGATGGGAATCCAGCCTAGAATGAGTACAGGAATCAGACCCAGTCCTGGATCAGGTCAACGAGATACGCGTCCTCTTCTGCCAAGACCTTCACTTCGTGCGACAACCCCTACGAGTGTTCTAGGCGTAGGTGGAACGCTGAGAACACCGGTTAGAGCACCAGCTCCAAGACAATCTCCGGGTCAGGTAGCTCAGCAGCCTAGACAAATACTTCAAAAGCGAAGTAACGTTGCTGGCCAGAGCCCCGGTACCGCTACTGTCACTCAAATCAGGCCAAAATTTACAGTAATCAGCTCGCAGTCTAAACAGACTCAGAAAACAACCGGAAGTCCGACACAGGCGAGGCAAAGTCCTAAAATGGGAACTGGTAAACCACAGTCGATCCTGTCTCCGCAGCAGAAATTATTAATGGCTAAGAGAAAAGCTCAGGAAGCAGCTGGTATAACAAAATTAACTGGAAGAGGTTTACTAGCTGGTGCTAGAGCGACTGCAGGTCGTGGAAGAGGGAAACCAGTTGACTCTACTCCGGGAAAAGCTAAAGAAAGTAAATTAGCTGATGGCGATGGTCTCCATATGGAGTTCCATGAAGTGGGCTCTGAAGAAAGTAGCAGCGATGGTGAACCGGATATCCCACCAGCTGAAACGGAACCTATAGTTCCTGCAGAACCCGAAAGTCCACCTAGAGCATTCACCCTGTGTCCTCTCACCGGTCGGATTATTGGTCCTGACGGTGAACCAGTGGAACAATCTGCGGAAGAACCTCAACCAACTCCTACGCCTACTTCACAACAAACTCCAATCACTTCGGAATCTGCTGATCCTGCAGTTGCTTCGGCGGCAGCTGGTACTGCCACTGAACTGGTACTACCCTCCTTAGACTCGCTAACCGAAAGTGGTGGCATCATGAGGGTTGAAATGAGTCCTGGAGGAACTACTGGAACCATCGTCCAAACAAGCGAATCCGCACAGATCAATCTGTCCAATGTAACAGTGGCTGCTCCCGGTTTACCTTGTCTCGACGACGGAGCAACGACTACGACAACAGCGCCGACTACAGTAGCGGTTACAGCAGCAGTATCTACATCCGAATCAACCTCCACCGAAACTACACAAATGAGTTCCGGACTCAGTACTGTATCAGCTACCAGTTCTGTATTATCTACTGGGGAGATTGCCAAGCAAGAGGAAAAACCAGATGAGCGTAAAGTTACGGAGGACACATCTAACCTAGTGACCATCACCGGGGAGGACGGTGTCGTTTATCAAGTAGCTGGTCATGCAGAAGATGGTCAGACTCTCCTAGTCACACGTGGAGCAGACGGTGAACAGCAGTGCGTTTACGTGACCACAGAACAGCAAGGCGATGATGGTCCAGTGCTCACCCTGGATCACGCTGTAGCCGAAGCCGTGGCTCAGCTTATCCCAGATCAAGTTAACCTGGCATCACAATTTTATGTAAAGGAAGGTGAAGCTGAGCCTGCCGAGAATCAGATGGTCATGTCGATTATGGAGAATAGTGGAGCTGCAGTAGCTACGGCACAAGAGGATAACGACGCACAGGCTCAAGTCGTCGCACAGGTCGTACAAGCTGATGAGCCTACACCAGGTATAACCATATGCTCATTCGAAATATTCTAATTTATCCGACCCCAAGAAAATATGTTCAAATTGTATTTCTCTTATCACAGGTGGTACAAGACGAGTAGTTCTTTTACTACCCGACGGCAATCTGATGATGACCGAGGTCGACGAGGAACAGTACGCCGCCCTGGAACTGGACAAGTGAGGAGTATTCGTTATACATCAAACGGAGAAGTTATAGTTGCGCGAGTAAAAAGTCTTCGCACAATATTCGGGAAAATTTTGTATATATGTAGAGATTTCCCGTATACGTGTTACGATCGTAAAAACCAAGGCGATGTGGGACGAGTGATCGTTATTTGTCGCGAGGTATTCGACCGTACTCGGATAGAGACAGAGCTCTGTGTGTGCGTCAAAAAGAGCAAGAAATGAAAGGAGAAAAGTTTGACGAGTCAAAAAGAAAATTAAGCAAAGGGATTCGCGAAGAACGTCAACGACGTCAAATCTACGAGCTAGATTATAAATATGTTTTAAGAGATCATGTCTCGCGGTGGAAAAAAACGATCGATATGAAAAGCTTTCATCTTTTTTTTTTAAATTTTCTATATTTAATTTATGACGACGACAGAGCCGGAAGTGTGATGCGAGCGTGCTTTTCGTGGACGCGCGCGCATGCGCTTCAAATAGAAGCAAGGAATATTATGCACCCTCTATGGAAATATCCCATCTTATCTATACGCATCTATATTTCGCAACAAGCATTGTATTTTTTAAGATAGTCTGTAATCGATACCTAGGGTTTTATATTTTTTTTTCTTTTCTCTATATATCTCTCTCTCTGCCAGATGCATGTAACTCGCGTGCATGCCTTTTATTTTTTTTTCTTGTGCCCTCGACTTCTCACTCTTCGTCTATCTCCTGGTTTTGCCCTTTCACAACGGTGCCGAGTGGCATGAAGCCACTCGTTGCTGCTAGGACATATATTAGTGTTATCTATTATAACGCATAAGCAAAAGAAGCTTTGTACGGTTTTCTGATTATGAATGGAAAAAAATACAAAAAAAAATGAAAAAGAAATAATAGGAGAAACACAAGTAATACTGACAAGCGGAGTAATCGTGTACAAAGTAAGGAGGACTCGTGGGGGAATTTCGAAGTAGCGTAATTCTAAAATAAATTTAATTATTTCTGAAGGAAGCATGGGTTTCTTGTCCTTCCGCTTCCATAAGAAAAAAGAAGAAAAAAAAACTAAAATGGGTTCTTTCTGCCCCACATCACGAAACTGCAAAAAACACCGTATAGCCAGCGACGTAGCCAAAATATAAAATCCTAGCGTTTTATCTTATATAACTCTTCTGTACATAATATTGTCACCCTACTTCTTTATATAAAAATTGTTTTCAAATAAACAATACGTACGAATCTTATACAGTGAAAGTTGGACAAATGAATCATGTAAACGATGATGCGATCATTTTAAAACAAGAATGATCAGTATCAAAGTTAACCGATGAAGGAATAACTCGTCAGTGGAAGTGATTTTTTTCAGAAGAATAATAATGGATCGACTACCAAAGATATCTTGTTTTCAAAGTAAAAATACAGCTGATCTTACTGCATTGGTGCATGAAATCTTCCAAGATGAATTTGAAAAGGAAACCATTAGCTGGCATCTTGCGAATAACTTGACCCAGTCATCCCGAGGTTGTTCTGTTCAAGAACAATTTTCTATGGATGTTTCGAATGTAGGATATCTGCTAGAAAATATTCTTAAATATTTTTTACAGAGAATTGCAACCTTTTGGCACTTGCAGGTAATAACTGCTCATCAGGCTGTGATGAATGAAATTGAATACATCGAAGCCGAGTTAATAGACAATGTCCTCCACTGGATTTCTCAAAATGAAAAAATGAAAGAGTATCAGAGAGTTCGAAATATGCTACGGATTAAAAATAAATCACTTTTTGTTGACCTAAAGGATTCTAATATAACCAAAAAATATCATCTTTTATGCTCCAGAGATTATTTACCTGAAAAACATGAATGCATTGTAGGTCCGTAGTTTTATTTAATTTCATTATCTATATTTGAATTGTCAAAATTATATATTACTTACTAGATTATTTTTGCCTTAGATTTTCAGATAAATGAAAAATTGCAGTCTTGGATAAAAGAGAAATCTCCACAAAATAATTCAATACAACCATCTTACATCGGACACGACTTTTATGGATCTTCTGTTCTCAAAAAATTGCCAGTTATTACGTAAGTGATCTTTTTTGAAATTTGTGTAAAATCTATTATTATAGTACTACGAATTTCTTTAATAAGAAAGAAGAGTTCGCATAGTATGTCTGGTTCAAGAAGTCACTCTTTACACAAGAAAAGTGTAATGAAAATTGATTTTTATAAAACTGTCCTTATTGCTGAACCACATACTGTGAAATTTCATAATTTCAATATAGGAGTACAGTATCAGGTATAGTGCTATACTTATAAATGAAAAGAATTTAATTGTAAAACTCCATTTGTATTATAGAAATGCGTGCTACTAAAGAATGTCGGGTCCAACATTGCCAAATTTCAAATCCAACAATTGGATAATCCAAGGTTCTCGATTACTCAAAAAACTACAAATGGAGATAGGCAGAATATTGCACCTGGAATGAATATAAAAATTGGTATTAATTTCTGTACTGATAATCCAGAAGATATTGAAGAACATTTGATGATAAATGTTCAACATGCAAGGAGTCTCATTATCAAAATTGTGGGTTACCGGGATCCTCCAAAGCTGACTGGATGTGAGTGACTATGGGAAACGTTAATTTCTTTCCTATATTCACTTTTTCTTACTAGATATATTTTCGAAACAGTCATAATTCGTCTACACCCAAAGTATGATCATCCTGAACATTTTTCAACAAAGTGTCAAAATGATTTCTACTGTGATAGATATCCAAATGCATTAAGCGATGAGGTATATTAGGTCAAATTTGTAAAATTAAAAAATAATCATGAGAACTTATGAGCTGATATCAGTCTGTAGAAGATGATGAAGATATTTCTGACAATGTAATCATTGCTGGATCTACTATAGAATGTCGGAAAGGATTCGTTGGAGAATTCATACTTGTCTTAACAAAAGTGAAAAATGTTGGATATTCAGGAGAATTTTTTATAATGAGTGAAATTGACTGGTGCATGATGCAAGTTAATGTTAGAAAATTTTTAAATAATTGACATTTTATTTACTCATGTCCTTTCTATATTCGCTATTTACTAATTACAGGATGTGATGACCTCTAATATTATATTATTACCATCGTTCGCTATATGGCCAGTTTATTTTTCATTGCTCCATGATGAAGTCTTAGAAATTTTTACTTTTTTTTATCCACAAACCTATGGATTACAAGTATACGTGTCTTTAATTAGACCATGATAGTCTTTAATAAATTAAATTTACTTCATAGGTGGATAAACTGTATATTATTTGCAACAATTATAGTTGTCAGCCAGTAGAACTTATTGGTGATGGAATTTTGTATGATTCCGAATTCATATGTTTTGGAAAAGTAAGAGAGAAGTATGTACGAGAGAAATGAAAGTGATAAATTCAAACATTTTCTTTTTTCAGAACCTGGAGGAAAACGTGGCTAAGGGACTTTCACATTTCATTTTGGATCTTGGAATTTGTCCTGAGAATACTATTATTGAGAATCAGATTTTGGTATCAAATAATAGGTGAGAAATTTTCTTAATTTTTAAATATATTCTTTTTCTAACAAGTATTATTTAACAGTCCAATGGATTTATGTTTCCGTTGGGAAATTGAAAACGATAGAGAGTCTTTGAAAAGAAATTCTAATAGTCCTTGGTACGATCTACCATTTCAATTGATTTCCATCGAACCCTTTAATGGTACTTTGCCTCCAGATTCCTGCAATATCTTTAAAGTTCTAGTACACAGCACTGATTTATCAAGTGGTCAATATCGAATTGTCTTACAGTAAAGTAAACATTTTCTTAGTATAGAATATATAGTTTTGTCAATACAATAAAATGCAAAATTTGTATCATCAACAGGCTATTTATAGAAGATATTCCAGTGACTGCACTTCCAAAAAATGAGCAATTTTATATCCAACCCAGTAAAACAAAAAGACGAACTTGCTACGAGGTGAGTATTCACTACGACAATTCAAGTCAATTTTCGAAATAAAATTACTTACATCTAGTCTGTAGATATATGGATTGGCAAAGTTGAAATACGCTTACAATGTATTATCCTAAATCTGACCCTTCCTGTTAAAGAAACGGAAAAAACTTATACTATTAATGAAATGAAGTACGTAAGTTCTAATTTATAATTTTTTATTAGCTGATAAAAACATAAAAATTATATTACTTCAAACCATTACAACTAGGGAGCAAGAATTGTCAGAAACAATTGTCGAAGATAAAAAGTCTCCAAAAAATGTCTGCTGCAAATCCGAAGAGGAATTTTTGGAACCGGACATAATCAATGCTCAGAATTTGACACCGGCAATAATTTGTCCTGGAAGGTTACAGTCTTTCTGTTTCATACAAAGTTTTTGAGCTATAAAAATTGATTTTGTTCTTATTAACAGGCCATTGTATTCGAATGTCGAAGAAACTTTTTTAATAATCGTTCATAATCTTTCATGCAAGTCTGCTCCGTTCGAATGGGGCAAGCCTTCGGGGTCGGATGATTCAAAAATGGAAATTTTCTTTGATCCAAAATCTGGAGAAATACCCCCACGTACTACGAAACTCCTCGAGATACGCTGTTTACCGTTAAAACCAGTTAGATGTCTAATCAACAAATATTTTACTTTATGTTTTCGCTTCAATACACTGCCCTAATTATCTTCAGGGAAAAGTAAAAGATCTTTTTCTACCTTGTCACATGGGAGCATCGAAAATTCAAAAAACCTTGAGAATCGAATGCACCATAGAAACTATGAGTGTAACATTCTATTTCCCAGGAATAACAAGTTTCCATGGCTCATCTAATAAAGAGACTCTTTGTATACACTGGGAAGCCCTTTCTGTTTCTGCCTTGCACAAAAATATTTCAGTAATTCACAATCTGCAAAACATAAAATTTCAATCCTTTAAAAAATTGTTGTTTCAGGAAGAACGCGAGTTGAGAACAGTTCATCTTGATCCTGGCAACGTATTGAAAGAAGTGTCACTCAGTACAGCAAGGCTAGAAGATACAATTATAGAGCCTGATCAAAACGTAGAAGAAGAACTTGAAGAGAGCAGAGAATCCAAACCAAGAAGTTGGAATGATCTTCTTCAGGGAATAATTTGGAGTAAGGATCATCCTGAAGAACATATTCAATTAGTAAACCCACATGCTGTAGTGCCATTCCACAAAACAATATTACCAGCAATACCTCATCCAGTAGTCATAGAGTTTCTGGAACTGCCTCTGCATACTGGTAAGTTTTCTTTAAAAATGTTGTGTATAATATATATACTAAACGAGGTTTTTCAGTTCGAAAAGAAACATTTGTAATTCGCAATGAAACTCCAATCTCAGCAAAGTTTTCTATGTCTGTGAAAAATTTTGATCTTGTTCGAGAAATTCCTACTGAATTAAAATCCGCTGAGGAACGTATATTAGACACTTATTTCAATGTCATGACAGGGGAATCAGGTCAGACTTTAAGCTGACAATTCTTAGAACACTTGCTTTTGTTCATACATTATAATAGTCTTCTTAGTAGGAATGAAGTGGTATAAAGGGAAACAGGCTGGTTCTGGGGTTGTTTTAGTGATCTATCCTTTGCATGGAGGACTTGGTCCTTATGAGGCAATTAAAATTAATATCCTGGCCTACGCAGACACTTGGGGTACCTATACAGATGAAGTTACTGTCAACATAATTGGTTTACCAATCTACACTTTTGGAGTCTGTGTACAAGTTACACAATCTCCCATATGTTATCCTATATGCAGAAGTTTGAAGCAGAAGTATCCATTAATCAGGTAGATTACTATTACTATTTATAATAATCATAAGAAATTCTTTTGCAAAAATAACATGTTATAGATTTGGTGATGTGAAATATGGTAGTAAACCTTTGACTAGAAAGGTACAAGTGGAAAATAATTCTATTTTACCTTTTATGATAAATTGGCATTGCTTTTTGCATCGTCCTGCTTTTCATTTAATTGATAAACCTTTCAACCTTGTCTTGGATCTCTATACTCCCTTCGTTGACAGAGATATTACAATGCAAGATTGTCACTCTAAAGGGGGGCATAGTATCTCAAAAATTTTAAGAAATCCTGAACTGTATGACTCAACCGAGAGTACTTTAAAATGTGAAAATGCGAATAGTATCAGTAGCAGTTTTAGTTTAATCTCTGGTTTTACGGAATATCCAACCACTACCATAACAGATATAAGTTTTAACAAGTGAGTTCTGTATAACTTATCTAATGATTATTTTTTAGTATTAATATTTATATAGTCAAATAATAATTTATAATAAAAGCGCCATCGGCAGTATGTCTCAGAAAAATGAGGAAAAGGATGGAATGAAAAATTATATTGGTAAATTTGCACATCTGTTCGAAGGATCCCAAGATGCTACTCATAAAGATACCAATATACAATTGTCTTTGATTCCATATTATGGTCAAGTGGACTATCATGTCTTCTCTGTAAATAATTAAAGAAAGTAAAAATATCTGATTTATACTCCAAATCAAGTTTGGAATATCTCTTTAAGGTATCTCCACAAGAAATGTTTATTCCTGCAAAATCTAAACGTTGGTTGACCATAACTATGATCCCTGATAAACATGAGACTTCCCACAGTGACAGTAAAATATATGGAAAAGCATTAGGATTTATAAGAATTGCACCAATGCATAAGTAATAACTTGTAGGATAAAAGTACTTCTTTGATATATATAATACTAATTTAATAGGTACAAAGCAGATTGTTTTTCGAGGTCAGATGGATATTTTTTTCTACCTACTGAAATCCAATTTGAAGGGAATTTAATAAATCCTCGATTACAGTGGGATATTCCAAAGTCAGAGAGAGTATTCATATTTTATGCAGCTAGTATAATACAACATTTCAAACAGCAAATGCAGTAAGTTCCTTAGTTAGATACTTGTGACTTTTCTATGCATTTTATATTTATTCATTTTCAGAATCAAAAGGCGATATATATTTAGAAATCAGTTTAGTGATTCGATTAATGTGAACATCGTGACTATGGAGCCCTTCTCCGTAGCTCGAATTTTTACACAAAAGGGATGTACTATGTGTGGGGATGCTGATTATATAATACTAAATCCCGAAGAAAGTGTAGAAGTAATCAGTTATGGAAATAATGGTTGATGTTTTAAGCGTTTGAATCCAACCTTCTATTAAATATTTAATTTTAGGTAGAAATACTTTGCACCTTGTCTGCTTCGAATATAAAAAGATTAATGGACTACGGTAATTCTCGCGAAAATAGCAAATTATCTGTGGATATAAATCGAACTTTACAAATCATTCATACAGGATCTTGTACACAGGTATAGAAATGTTAAGGAATATATATATGACTTGATTTTTATACAATTGTACAATATATAGGAAGTACAATTATACTTGAAAATTTTCATACCTCTATTGAAACTTTCATCACATAAATTAAAATTTGGCAAAGTTCATACCGGAAGTAGAAGATCTCTTGGATTTCGGATTGAGAATCATTCATGTATTCAAAAACTATTAATATTTTCCAAGTTAAGTAATCTTGTTGATATAATTATATTATTATTTATCAGTTGATAAGCAGTTCTTCATAATAACAAAGAAATTTGAAAATGACAACTTTGTCTGTCATCCGGCCCAGGGATATCTGGAAGGCAAACCGACTCATGGAAATAGTAGCATAGAAATTACTATAGATTTCATCCCCAGGTAGATTATCCTAATGAAAATATGTATGCATATCTCAACGTACCAGGAAGAAAATATGTATATGTTTATCCACGAGTGCTTTAAAAGCTTTTGCATATTTGTTTGAACAGAAAATCGGGCCCAAGTAAAGAAGTCCTAGAAATAAAGACTGTGGTACCAGGATACATACAAGAATGTCGTCTTCAAGGACAAGGGTCATTAGACGAAAGATTCCTTGTTGCTGGTATTTGAATAAGCTGACCCACCTTAATAGTTACTCTTTATTTACCGCTTTAAAAAACGTGCTATAAAAAAACCAACTACGTCACTGTCAACCCCAAAGCGACATACTTTTTTTGCTAATTCTGATTGTAGATCTTCCACTGGAAATCCCACAGAGTATTTTACTTCTGCATCTTGTAAACCCAGTGACTCTATCCTGTCCGGTACTGATTGTAATTCCAAGCAGGAGTGTGTCTTCAGTGCCCATGCTACCATATTCTCATTTTCAGCTAAAGTTATCGTGCACGTACTGTACACTAGGATTCCGCTTGGTTTCAGTAATCGAACGGCCTGAAATTTGAATTGAGGATTTTATCAAATTATTAATTTTTTTTCAATTTAGAAATTATATACCCACAGTAGAAAATAATTTGCGCTGTAATGGCACATAAGAACGCAATTCAGCTGGTGATATACTGTTAAAAATTTGTGGCCTTTGACCCAAACCGCTACAAGGACCGTCGAGGAGGATGCGGTCGAATGTTTCTTCAGGAAATGGTGGACATAAAGGATTTATTTTTACACTAGACAAATCTTCAGCAACAGCTTTTGTGGAATCGATGCAAAATATTTCGACGTTTTTTACAGAGAAATCCTTGCAATTATTTTGTAATTTTTCTATTTTTGATTTTATCTTCTCCAGGGCTATGATCCTACCCTGATTTTTCATCAGCGCTGCGATATGAGTAGTTTTGTTTCCTGGGGCAGCACACATATCCAACACAGTTTCCCCTGGCTGGGGATCTAATACCTTAATACAAACTATTGAAGGGACATTTTGCAAAAGACCAAATCCTTTTGGGAGACATGTATCACTCAATATTGGAACACCTGATAACAATTCAGTCATTTTTACAGCAATTCCACTGTGACAAAGAATGACAAATTATTAATTTTAATTCATACCTATGGTAAATAATAAATATGAGATATATACCTTGGGTACTTTGTTATATTTCCAAAAAGGTATTCTCTGGTCATTTTAATTATACCATTTCCAAGGTATACTTTCTCACCGTTAAATGTAGTGGATCCTTTTTTACATTTCTTACTTGCATCAGCAAAGACACTAACAAAATCTCCAGGTTTTGTTCCTAGAAAAATATTCATTTGTATCTAAGAGAAATGCTGGTGACTACAAAAATAAGAATAGTGTCAATTAACTACTTTGTACCATGTGGAATTCCAACAACACCAGGTGCAAAAACATGAGCACCACGCATCACAGCTGCACCACAAGTTGCATCAACTATAACTTCTACTGAATGCATTATTATGCCATACTTTGTTGAATTCCATGGATTAGAAACTGTAATCAATTCTGGAAAATCTGGATATATTGATACGGATGGTGTTGGATGGCAATTCTGAAATAATATAAATCCTTATTAAATTATTACATATTGCTGTTTCACAATAAATATGCCATGTACGTAAATGATTGTAACTACTTTTTTTATGTAATTGGTAACAGTGTCCGCATCTGTGATTAATGTATTTATTCGAAAAAACGTATTTTTTGGCGCTCGGCAAAACCATTCCAGCAATGAATTCAATTTTTCCTAAAACAATGATTAAATAATAAAATGATACAATATGTATAAAATTATGATATCATCCTATATAAATTACCTGGGCCTCAATTTCTGTTAGAAATTGATCATCGTGTAGTACTTTTTGTAATTCAGCTTTCAGTATCTCTCGAACTTCTTTGTCAAATTTAAAGGGGGATTTTGGGTAATCTGACAGAGAGCAAGACATTATAAATAAAAAAAAAAATTCTCAAGTTTAATACAAAAGAATTGTTCAATATCTGTCATCAAACACAATAAGATTAATAAATGAAAATGCATTAAAAAACTCCCAAGAATTACTCAGGCTTGACAGTAAACAAACCCACGGTCTTACATACAGGTCTTGCCACTCCGATGGTGGGGGGTGACTCACATCCCGAAGCGTGTCGTAAACGGCGCTGTAATCGTGTGTTCCTCGTGGGACAGAGATTCAAAGAAATATTTCTCTCTCTCTCACTCTCTAATTGTGCGACTCCACTGCATAACCTAACCTAACTGTAATTATCCGAATAACTGAATCAACAGAATTGATGACATCAGATGGCATAAAGAAGCGATATACACGCACGATCTCCCCATTTTGCTATATATATACACTTCTTCGAGATTACCTTACTTTTTTTAATTATAATTACTTATTCTAATCATGAAAATAAAAGAGCACATGTCAACAAAACTAAAAAACATAGAAATATATTTTTTACGTTTTCTGACAAAACTCGATTTCGAAGTTTGTTGATCGAGCGCATTCAGTAGTAGCGACACGTAGGGGCGATGCCATAATTACAAAACTGCTTCAATATCTAAGGTATCTCCCACCACTGAAATCCATTGAATTCGCAAGACCTGTATGTAAGACTGTGAATAAACCACACCCAAAATAAATTCCCGCCAAGATAATAAAGATATGAGGCATCATTGTCGGTAGGATTAAAAAAGGAGCAAATTTTAATCTCCGCTTTTTGAACGCACGCTAAAGCATGAAGTAACGTGACGTCACGCACTCCAGCATTGATAACAATGGCTGCGTTCAGCAGAAAACTTCGCTAAAACAGTACTCACATTCGATTGGTCAATTGATTGTAATTTTATGTACATAGTTGTAAATTTGATCAATCAGATGTCTTTACTTTCGCACCGCTGTGTCTGCTGAACGCAGCCAATCATCTCTCCTCCAGTATCAACCAGTATAGTGGCGGTCAGTCGCGGTTCATTGCGGTTGTTGCCCTTGCTAAAATAGGGAGTTTAATTATTCGTTTCAGATATGAGTTGTGGTTTCGTTACCTGTGGGCCGAATGAGGCCCTTGTTGTCTCAGGTAATTGTATTTATTATTTACTTTTGTAGTATGTTAATTATTTATAATCAACTGCTACTAATCTCTTGATTATTGAGTAAAAATGGGTACGTGTAAAGAAGACTGTCCTTGACTGTATAAGATAATTGATTCAGGAATTCATGCACGCGGAATGTGAAGATTAATCAATGTTATGATCTGTCATGCAATTTATCTCAATTAAAGTACGGAATATTAGGATCTTGTGTTACAATATTTCATTGCGAATTTTATATTTTACTGTATTATAATTCAAATGGATACAAAATACTTTTGAATATATCATTTTTAAAATTGACTTTTTAAATATTTATGACCAATTTACAATATAAAGAATTTTACTAATGTGTGATTTTATTTTTTATATAACTATAAAACCTTTTTTATTCTCCATTTCTTTATTAAATTTATTTTAAGGACTCTGCTATGGCAAACCACTCTTGGTACCTGGAGGACGAGTATTTGTCTGGCCTGTTTTACAACAAGTACAAAAGTAAGTGTGTCATGAACTGATGAAGTGCTTATTTAAAAATTCATGGTACTACTTAGAATTGTGTTATGTTTTTAGGATATCCCTGAATACAATGACACTCCAAGTTGAGAGTCCAACTGTATATACTTGCCAAGGTGTACCAATATCTGTTACTGGAATCGCACAGGTATAGAATAACTATTCTATGCCATAGAATTTATCTATTAATATCTTCATCAACGTTCAGGTGAAGATTCAAGGACAGAATGAAGAAATGCTTTCTACAGCATGTGAACAATTTCTTGGAAAATCTGAGGATGAGATACATGATATTGCGTTGGTAACTTTGGAGGGACATCAAAGAGCTATAATGGGCAGCATGACCGTAGAGGTAAGCAAATTAGCAACTCCAAATTTCGAAAAATCGCAAAGAAATTATATGCTGAGAATATTAAATACTTCTCATTGGTTTTAGGAAATTTACAAGGATCGCAAGAAATTTAGTAAGGAAGTGTTCGAAGTCGCAAGTAGCGATCTCGTTAACATGGGAATTACTGTTGTTTCATATACATTAAAAGATATTCGTGATGAGGAAGTAAGTTCATTTTACCTTATCTATCATATAAGTTATAGAATAGGTTACTTGTGATATAATATTAGTCTGTAGTTTTACTTCAACTAACCAGTAATGTCAGCAGTACACAGCATTAGAAACCCCTATTTATAAAAGAAAATAGTTGTAGCAGAGACATGAATTTCATAGAAAGTCCCCCTTTACAATTTGTAATAACAGAACAAATTATGTAATTTAGAGTCGTGTCATGAGGTACTATATAAAATATTATTTAATAATGTAAATATTTATTAAATTTTTGTTTTGCTACTTGCAGGGGGCAAAGGTACGTTTACATTTTTTTTTTCATTAGATATACTGCCATTGCACTGCTATTTTCTTTGTTACTTTTATTCGTTTTAATGAAGTATCGACTGTTTAAAATTTATAGACCAAGGGGTAAATTTTATGAATATGTTGAAATTATATATAGATTTCTACACTCGCTTCAATCTAAGCACGAACATGATTTCTGTATAAATTTGTTGTGCAAAGGCCTAGTTCAGTCTTATGTTATATTATAATATAAAATTATAAAACTGGTCTCTCTGCAGTTGCCTTCCTCATCATTACTTAACAGCATTGATAATGCATGGAAGATGAGAGCCAGATTCACATTTAATATTCAATGAATTTACATTACATCGGTATCGGATTTTTGTAAAAAGTTTCATAGTTCAATTTTAATTAATTATAGGGTTACCTTAAAGCTCTTGGAATGGCCAGAACTGCAGAGGTAAAGCGTGATGCGAGGATCGGAGAAGCTGAAGCACGCAGAGATGCTCAGATTCGTGAGGCAATTGCAGAAGAACAGCGTATGGCAGCTCGTTTCTTGAATGATACAGAAATCGCTAAAGCTCAACGAGATTTTGAATTAAAAAAAGCCGCTTATGATGTCGAAGTACAGACGAAGGTGAGTAGTACTAAAAATGATAGCTTTAAATGAGGAATTACGTGATTTATATGCATCTTCAAATTGCAGAAAGCTGAAGCAGAAATGGCTTATGAACTTCAAGCTGCAAAGACCAAACAGCGAATTATGGAGGAACAGATGCAAGTTAAAGTAGTTGAACGTGGTCAGGAAATTTCTGTTCAGGAACAAGAAATGCAACGTCGTGAAAGGGAATTGGATGCAACTGTAAGACGTCCTGCTGACGCTGAGAAATTCAGGTCAGATTAACTTCAAAAACTATGAATATTAACGCTAATATGTAGATTTATTTTATCAGCTACATATTTCAGGTTAGAGAAAATGGCCGAGGCTAACAAACTACGACTCGTAATGGAAGCTGAGGCAGAAGCTGAAGCCATAAAGATTCGCGGAGATGCAGAAGCTTTTGCTATTCAAGCGAAAGCAAACGCAGAAGCTGAACAAATGGCGAAAAAAGCCGAGGCTTGGAAGGAATACAAGGACGCTGCTATGATTGATATGATGTTGGATACTTTGCCTAAGGTAAGTTCAGGCGCTTATTATGAACTTATAAATTACAGTTTTATACAAATTGTATTTCCTGTGTTCAGATTGCTGCCGAAGTTGCTGCTCCGTTATCACAAGCAAAGAAAATAACAATGGTGTCCAGCGGTAATGGCACAATCGGAGCAGAAAAACTGACAGAGGAAGTATTAAATATTGTTTCACGTGTACCGGAACTTGTGAAGAACATGACTGGCGTGGATATTTCAAAGGTATGTCGAGGATATTATATTTTTACATGTAATTTTAGTAAAAATTTTGCTATAGCTTATGAAATTATTGTAACCTGTTTTTCAGACCGTGCACGCTGCATAAGCAGAGAGCATTCCAGAATTTGTTTAACAAATTTTCAATCACTAATTATATATATATATATATATATGTGTGTGTGTATATGCTTAGCAATCGCCGAATTCTCCAATTGCAACAGAAATCATACTTCCGCATATAGACAGATTATATACAATTTTCTGTAGATGAATAATTGCGACGCAGTCTCTGCAAACTCGTTCTAAAGATTGTGTACTGTAATTAATTTTTTGTGAAACTGATATTGTAAATGTAATCTCATGAAATTGCATAGGATGCAGGTTAGTGAAAGTATCGAAAACTAACGTGTATGCGAATGAACACTGACTCTTCGACAAATATAAAATTTAGTCCGTATTTTATAAAAAAAAAAAAAGAAAAAAGGGAAAAGCAGACAGCGAGCTTGAAAACGCAGTGATTCTAATCGATATTACGTTTTCATTACTGTCACGCATTTTATTGCTTATTGACCTTTATTTTACAGAAGCTTTTATTAAAATTTAATAATAATTTTTTTAAAGTCATAAACTAAAATGAAGAAAAATCCATAATATAGCCTTCTTTTGCCTTATAGTCGGTCTATGAGTAAAATAACAAATGTCCAATCGAAACACGTGTTTTGTGCTAAAGATTATCGTACAGCAAAATTTCCCAATGGCCAATACAAAGACTCTTACCTTTGGTAAGCGTAATGAACGGCTGTCCTTTGATTTAACACACATTACCTTTAGCAAAAGCATAAACAATGAGAGATTTTGCTACAGGCTTTGCACTTTTCCATCTGTGATTGTAAGCTATTTTACACCTGGACCAACTATAAGAGAGTATGATATATTAATTTCATATTCATATATCAGTATCTAGTCTTAACCGTGCGTAAATAATTTATGCCAATAAGTACCGAATATCTATTTTAAACATTTTACCAATTAACATTAAGCCTTTCCAAAAATCGATGTATACAAGGTGGAAAGCAGGTATGATCATCTCGATAAATTATATTATCGATCGAAAACAAAACATATAATCACTAAGCCTCCTCTGTTATTATTGTATACACTGTTTCTTGTCAAATACATGCTATTTTGGCTTTATCTATAAATTTTCACGAATCTACTAGAATATCAAGTATTAAGAATCCATATATATACTCCTCATTATTTACTCACGAAGTGGGAATCATTGCATCAAGAATTTATTACAACAGTTGAGCCATAAGAGTATGGTTCGAGTTGCACATGAATCTGTAAAGAATCTACGCCACAATATCATAAGAATATCGAACTTGCTAACTTCAGTCAAAGAAGTGCACCGGTATGGATTCACAAAAATCTTTTATAATAGACTTCTTAGCAGGAGGAATATCAGCTGCCGTAGCCAAGACAGCAGTGGCTCCAATAGAACGGGTAAAATTGCTGCTCCAAGTGCAACATACGTCAAAGCAAATTAGTCCGGATCAGCGATACAAAGGTGTTTATCGTAAAATGTATGAATGAATGAAAATATGGATAAAAAAGAAAGTATTCTTATAACATTAATGTAGGGATCGTCGATGCATTTGTACGAATACCAAAGGAAACTGGAGTATTGAGTTTTTGGAGAGGAAATCTCGCTAATGTTATTCGTTACTTTCCTACACAAGCGTTAAATTTTGCATTCAAGGATAAATTTAAGGCTATATTTCTGGAAGGTGTACCTAAAGATGCTTTTTGGAAACAATTCATTGGAAACTTAGCAGCAGGTGGTGCTGCTGGTGCAACCTCGTTGCTATTTGTCTATCCTTTAGACTTTGCACGTACCAGGTTGCCTTTAAATTTTATTAGAGATACCAATGTCATCATATTACATTAGAATATTATGATGATGATTATAAATTTTAGATTAGCTGCTGACGTTGGCAAAGGTGATCAGAGAGAATTCAAAGGCATGGCTGATTGCTTAACTAAAGTTTTTAAATCAGATGGTTTAATTGGTTTATATCGAGGATTCAATGTGAGCGTTCAGGGAATAGTTATATATCGTGCTGCATATTTTGGATTTTATGATACTACTAGAGGATTATTGCCAGATCCCAAGAGTACTCCACTTTATATAAATTTTATAATAGCCGAGGTAAATACCTACTTGTCTTTCAATTTTACTAGGTGGGAAATTCAATAAATTCATATTTTTGTTATTTAATAAATACAGATCGTTACGACAACAGCAGGAATCATATCATATCCATTTGATACTGTCCGAAGAAGAATGATGATGCAATCAGGTCGAAGCAAGGCGGAAATTATGTATAAAAACACTTTTGACTGTTGGATGAAAATAGCAAAAACTGAAGGACCTGGCGCATTTTTTAAAGGAGCGTTTTCAAACGTTCTACGTGGTACAGGTGGTGCTCTTGTACTTACACTGTACGATGCAGTGAAGGATGCAATTGAAAAAGCAATTACTTAGAGGCCTTTTCGTATCAATTATTTTTAATTTTGATGCATATCCACAACAGCATTAAACGCATTATTTCTGAACGAAACAAAGACCTAGTGATCATCTCTTTATTCCCAAATAAGATTCTTAAAGAAAAGAGAGAACCAATATATGTCGATATATATAAATAACAGCATCAAACGCATTATTTCTGAACGAAACAAAGACCTAATGGTCATCTCTTTATTCCCAAATAAGATTCTTAAAGAAACGAGAGAACCAATATATGTCAATATATATAAATAACAAGTTCTGTGTGTCCTTATTTCTAGTTGTGAACTGATGGTTTACTCGAGTCATACATAAAAAATCATACGTGGCTATTCTCTGTGTTACATTACCGAATTGCTTAACATTTACGTTCTGAAGTCAACTCCTATAGCTTAATTAAGCATTGTGTGACGGTCGTAGATATTACGCCGTTGTTCGCGTACTTGCCGCTTCCATTTGTCTTGTTGATGTCCAACGCGATTTAGAACATTTCCTCTCACTCCCATAGGATGGGATGTCCCAGGAGTGACCGTAGTGTCATCCTGTTGACATTGTTCAAATTTATAGCCATCAGGGAATAATATGTTTGAAATTAGTTTATTTGAGTGTGATAAAAGATGACAAATTATTAGACTATTAAGACATGATATTAGAAAATAGCCACGAAAGAAATGATACGAATCAAGTAACAAATATATTAAAAAATAAAATATAAAACAAATAAGGATTTTGTTTATATGGTGTAAGCAGGTCTTTTAACATGCTGGTAATCTGAGAGTGAGGAATAATACGATGAATCTACCTCTTCATTAGTGTGTTCTTGGTAGCCACCAGTTCCTGTTCCCTTATGAATTTTCTTATTTAATAATGGATCCAAGCATATCAAGAATAGCATGTAGATCACTAGGAGGGATATTACCCATATTACAATAATTACCACAATCTGAAAAATAGATATCTAGTAGAATTTTGCACAGATTTTATCAAGCATTTTCATTAAAATCAATGAAGTACCTTAATGATAGCAGTATTTCTATTTTCGTATTTACAATCACAACGTGGACAAAAAATTTGTTCTTTGCCTTTTATTTGATCTCCAAGTCGAGGTAGAATAACACCCTCGCAGTTACTGCAATGCATTAATATTCATACAAGTAGGCTTATCTAACTTTGGTTCATACATTCATTAATATAATCTCAGGTATTAGCAAATTTATTATTACCATGTTGAAGGGGAAACATTGGATATGAAATTTAGACGATCTGTAGAAGGTTGTGTAGTGTTTATAACCGACGAAATACTTGGGCATATGCACTTACACCTTTTATCATCATACGATTGTGCCTGGAAACATATATATATATGTACATATATATATATGAAAATATATATACATTGGGTCGTCAAGGATGAAATTTGTAGTTACCAACCAACTTTGCCTTTTTTCTACAAATTTCATCCTTGACGACCTAATATATGTATAAAATTTGTCTAATATTCTCATTATCACTTAATATATTATGAAACAAACACTACTAACCTTACTCTCTGACAGATGAACCAAGAATATACCAAAAGCAAATATCGTATATTTCCACATTGTTACCATTGGTCTACCCTAAATTAAACCCAGGACGTGAATGGCCCTGAATACTTCAATAGTTATAATACTTGTACTCGTTTAAAAAAAATATGAAGACACTTTAAAGGTTTCACTCTTACGCATTTCTACGCATGATCTAAAAGTAATCGGAAAGTACTACCAGTCTGTACCAGTCCCCTGGAATGAACTGATCAGGTCGGTTCTTCGAATGTCCTGTTGCGACCATCACGAAATTTCGCCACATGTAGCGCTGGTAGTCGTTTGCGTGTCCTTACAATGCGTTTAATGCAGTTTAATGCTAAAACCACCAAAGGCCACTTAAAACCTAGGCCGAGCTGGGTCGAAAACTACTAGTGTATATATACGTACAGGACGGTAGAGGAGTTAAAAAATGCGGACAGAACGAGAACATTTATTGTACATGAACAGCAATGAACAGTGACGAGCATGTCAGTCATAGTCAGCGGTCTGGTACTGCCTAAGGTTTCACCAGAAATGAGTAGGGAGATTGCCAATCAGTCAATGGAAAACGCACTGGCCTGTGCGGGCACGAGGGCCTTTATCTTTCATTTCATTCTTTCTTATTTATCTCTTTCCTTACTTTTCTACTTCTTGAAAAAATCTCTTCATATTGTCTCATTCGCCAATAAGTTCATTTCTTTTTTCAGATCCTTTATCCTGAGAGTAAAGTGTGTCTGATGAATATTCTTTTAAGCCAACTGAAATGTAGATGCTATTTAGTCTAACGTCTTAATGAAATTATGAAGATAAAATAGAGACTCTTCTAATCTTTTTATAATTTAGATATGGTCATATTTTATAATTTTTGTTTTTCTTTCTCATCGATTGGGTCACAGAATTGTGCTGCATTATATGCATAGAACACTATAGATAGAGCCACTATCGCTCATAGTGGAGTTTACCCAGTTTACTTCAGCTTCATAATTTTACAATTTTGATCGCCGAATACTGATTTTGCCGAATACGAAAACATCTTAGAAAATGGGGAATACTGCGGCAAACGTTGAAGCCAAACCTGAGGGCGAGAAAAAATTAAAACCTTGTTGCGCTTGTCCGGAAACTAAGAAAGTTAGAGATGCCTGGTAAGTGTATTATGTGAAAATTAAGACAGCCCTCTAACTTCCCAAGATGTTTACCTCACCTTCAAGGTCATATTCCCTCTATGATTAACTTAAAATTTAAATAATCGTAACTAAAGTTACATATTACTTTGTCATTATGTAATAATTTGTTTTAAATATTGACTTTCTGAACTGAACATTACTCATATTCATCAAAAACTCAATATAGTTTTTTCCTGATTCTAACCTTTTTAATCATATTAGAAAAATGTTTAGATAGGATAATTGTCATTTTTGTGTTGCAGCATAATTGAAAAAGGTGAAGAGCATTGTGGAGATCTTATAGAAGCGCATAAAGTTTGTATGCGCAAGATGGGATTCAATATATAATAGCGAAATATAAGATTTTGGCCTACCTCACATGATCTTGATTACACGTTTCATCTCAAAGTATTATGTAGGCATTGTATATTAACTTCTGTAAATAAACTTAGTTTTTACAGTTTATTGTGTACTATTATTCTATGAAAAATCCAATATCCTATACAAAAAATACCTTGTATATGGAATGACAACTAAGAATAATCTGATTTCATTCTGATTTCTTTAACTCTTACGCGTTAAAAACTAATTCATCATAGTGATCAATGAAAATTATCTATTTGTTGTTTGTATATGATTGTTAGATTTAGTCTTATTGAAATTTATATTCATGAAAGAGTACTGCTATCTGAAAACTGTTTTTCCAACACATTTCCAATACCTTGTTCTTCGGTGATATTATTTACTATGTTATATTGCAATAAATATATTTTTGTTTTATGCAAATAAAATAGAGTCCACCTTAGGAATTCTAACAAAGCATATATTTTAATTTAACGTATGAATAGTGCGAAGGCTTCTCTCACATAACAATTCACATATCACACCATGTCCTTTCAAAATTTGAATCGTTTACAATAATTGGTGCACGGTAAAAGTCAAGGCTATATAAAACGTAATTGCAGTGCCGTCGCATCCTTAGATCGCGGTTATTAACAACTATGATAATAAATATTAACAGTAATGAGTGTATAAGAACAATAAGAATTAAGTAATTTATCTGCTCAGAAACGTACCATGTTAATTTATGTGGCAAATGGACGAAAAAAGAATTTTTTCTTTTTACTTTTCTCTATCTTTTTTCAATGTAATAACGGCGCACTTATAAACTAGAATATGGGATGGTCTTAAGTCGAATGATCTTATTAATGAAATATTTCTGATTAGTACGAAAGTAGTTGTACTTAATATGAATGTGGGATACGATGCGTGATGCGAGGAAATTCGTGTTTACGCGACATTTCTATTTATTATTGTATTATTATTATTATTATTATTATTATTACTATTTTTAATACACGCATGTGTGCTCTGTATAAGATGGCGGAAATATGTAGTGAGGTCATTTTTTTTTCGACACGCCAAACCATAGATGTTAGATTTAATAAAGACTGGGAACATGATGAAATGTGATGGGTTACTTTTTTTATATACAGATTATTCTAATAGCTTATTTTTCTAAGGGCACGTCGGATTGACTGGAAATTGACTAATTAAAATGTTTGAAAAGGTGCACGAGACGATGCGGTACTGTTTAGCGGTATCCAAAAAGTGTTTTGAGCTACTTGCAATAATTTGAACATTCGATACTTTCAATTTCAGGTGTAGATTAATCAAGTAGGAAAGTACTGAAAAATGTTGTCACCCAATATTTCATATTGTAAATGACTTTTACTATAGTGCAATTTATTAGATTATTTAGAGTAGCGTGGGAAAAAACTTATGATATTTGAATAAAATCATAATAGTATCGCTTTGTAATTCCACGATAAAAGTTTTAATATGTCCGACATCAATAAAACAATAAAAAGAAGCATAAGCTGCTCTGTGAGGAAATAACGCGAAGCCTTTATTTATCAAAGAATCAACGTTATTACGATGTTCATAGGGGAAGAATAGGAATAGATAGGTTTGGGATGTGTCCAAAAAATGCCTGGAATCCGTAAGTGATTAGAGTTAATTCGATAATAGCATCACAGCTACAATATGAGTCTCTTTCTTGTGCCCGTGCAACACTCTCCATCCGCGAATAGATCCTCGACGAATATTGAGCAGAAAGATCTTGGGTAGATAATAAAAATGGACGTCGTTGAACCGAACATTTTGCCACGCAACGATACCGCAAGACGGGGCATTTTGGAATTGGTTTAATCGCAATCGATTTAACTTATCAATCCCTTGGACGCGAATAACGTAGTCTCCATTTTGGAGGGAAAAACGCTGACTGTTTAGAGACAGCATGATAAATTCGTTAGAGTCACCATCGTTTTCGCTATCTAATATTATATTGATAATAATAATTTAAAGTATGCAAGAACGCACGGCTCCCGCCGGATGTTCCACGCTTTCTTCAACAGCTATTAATGTAAGAATATCTCGTTAACTACCATGTTAGCGCTTAGTGTTTTTTCTTTTAATCTTTCTTCTTTTTAATTTTACTAAACGTATGTTAACGCTAGGCAGTCACGAAGCCTCAAGAATGCTGTTCGATGGTAAAACAAAGTAAAGACTTTGAGATTTATGAATTGCTGAACAAAGTTTTCTTCTTAGATTTGCCAAATCTCACCTATCTTGCGGTACGCGCATCGAGCGTAGAACTTTGCTTTGCTAAAAGATCAAGAGAGAAGTTTAGAAATCATTTTTAATATAATGCATCGTACAATAATAGCACTTAAGAGAGAAATGGACGATGCGATATTTCTGTACGACAAAACATGCTTCTAGCTTCATATTTTGATACGAATGTAATGTGTAGTATAAGCTTATCTACAAATTATGCTTTGTTGTATGAAAAATCGCACCGTCTATTTGCAGCTTTAGGGTGCGTACTTGGTACTGGACTTCAGTGTCCATGGTTCCTGTTACAGCCACTACCTGGTACTGCCTGGCTTTCATGGCGGCTGTGGATTTTCGGACGAGTCTCATTGCACCTGGTGCACTACTTGTACTGTTGAATTGAGACATTTGAGCTGGACTATGACTCGGATCGAGCACTAGCATTGTTATGGATCCATCTCTGAGCTGTTCAACTCCCATAATCGTTCTACTATGTCCTGATAGGATAAAGTAGTTAATAATTATTCATCTACAGCTTTTTAGTACACGCATTCATAATATTTATAATTGTATATATTCTAAATTTTTTAAAGACCTTGATGTTGAAGATAGAGTGGTGGTTTGAAATCATCGCTTCTTTGAAAGTATTGCAAAACCCAATTGAACATTTCGGGATGTCCTCCATCAGAACTTGTTGGTCTATGAAAATCGACTAGTTGACACCTATTTAAAATAAGTTAAATAAGAATATCTAACTGAATTTCTTGAAGTTACGACAGTTTCTGTATCGTACCTTATGTGCAGACTAGAGAGAAGAGTAACCACTTCTGTAGCACCGATCCATTTTCGAGTATTGACTAGTTTACCACCAAGTTGTTCAGCTCCCTGTATATCAAAACCCTGGACCCAAGCCCATTCGATCATTTTTTGCAGTCTAGAAATGGAGGGCATTGAGCTTCTAAGAGGATTTTCGGTAGAGGTTCCACTTCCGGAACTCCATGCTCTATAGACTAATTCGTTATAACCCGTATGTTGAAGAAGTGATGATATTAACATCTGCATGTTCCTGTATCCACAACCCCATCCTTTATCACCGTAGGTGGATCCGTAATGGTCCACCGTGGAGCACATCCATGTATTAACAACGTTACTGCACGCTTGACTCACCGCTCGTACTTTGGGAACCAGCCCTGAAGTTGGAGAACGTATTAAAACGTTGAAACGATGAATTATCTTCGTATTTGGAACCAACCTCGAGTACATGAGCTTCCATCGTCGATACCACTGCTTTCAGCAACCCTTAATTCGATTTGTCTTTCATAATAATCAGCAACGGACATCTCGCCGGCGTAAACAGCCCGCTGCATATTAGTCACACTCTGTTCCCTAAAGTTACCCTGATTGTCCATGCCATATTGGGCTCTTAACATTTCGAATTCACGTTGCTCTCGTAATCGTCTTACTTCTTTCTCACGTCTCTCCATATCTCTGGCCAGCATTCTGTCCGAAGAAACATCAGGTGTCACAGGCGAGGGTGTGTTCTTTTTACTGAAGTGCTCCTCTATGTGTGCCGTAAGTTCATCATTATTTTTGAATAAAGTGCTTAGACAAACTGGACAGGCTGGTGTATCACTGCCTGTAGTAGCTAGGTCTGATTGAGAGGCTGATCCATTTGCAGGACTGAACAATGCAAAAGAATAAGAGATACCTTCGAAAGTAGTTATCGTGAATTTCAGTATTAGTAAGATCAAAGTATTTGCCCAATAACGAACCTGAGTATATCTTTGTGCTCGATGTTCACATGGAGTTCCAAATCCGATGAATTAGGAAATGATGTAACACAAAGTGGGCAGTTAAAAACACCATCTCGGGTGGGTGGTGACTCAGGAGGAAAGGATGGTGAAGTAAGATCAAAATGTTGACGATTGATATGTTCTTCGAGCCTAAGTGGACTGTCTGAGCTATATGGACACATGGGACATTCTTGTACAGGAAGCTTAGGAGAGGCATGTGAACGTAGTTGAAGATTAAGCCCAGACCGAAGAGGAGAGCCATGACCTGCAGCACCTTCCGCGACTGAAGCAGAACCAATTGACTGAGCACCACTTCCTCCAGCACAAATGACCACACTCGAATCATTGTTCTGACCATTGTTAACGTTTCCACTATTGTTGTTGTTGTTATTATTGTTCAAATTAGGAGCAGCATCCAGTAGAGGTTCCGGTTTTCGCACTGGCTGAGAATGATTATTAGGTGGACTACCCCAGCCATTGTGAAGGTGAACTGGATGTGTCGACAACGTTGGCGAAGGTCCACGACATTCGTCATACCGATCACCATCCATTGATGGGTCATCATCAATGAATGCCATCATATCATTCTCTGGTGTACTAAGAGATAACACATGGTATAACTAGATAAGAACTTCACAAATTCTTATATTAAAGTCAGAATACTAACTTAAACCACACGGTCATAAGAACATGAAACGAGTTGGTTTATGGTTCGATTTCTAACTGACAAGTATTTTCAAAATAATTCACTGCGCCACTAACAATTGTTATTGTTGAAAATAAAACCGTTAAATGTTAAGATTTACCGTCTTTCCTTATTCGTTATTGTATATAATCTCATTGTGGTTCTATAAGCACTTGATGATAATAACAAAACTTCCAGGCGTCTAAATTATTAATAATTGTGAAAATCGACCAGTAAAACTATACATGGTCCTATTAATCGATATTCCCATTAAATTATGGCGCGAAAGAATCATTGTTGACTTTATAGAGATCACGTGTAAAAGCAGACGACGACAAAAATAGTGACCTTGAGAAAAATTGATAGAAGCGTCTCCAAACGGAAATTTAGGTAACTATTTTTTTAAAGTCACCAACCCTTTACACGAAGGTGTGGAAATAAAGAATAAAGTGATGCATTTAATGTTTTTTCTTATGAAGAAAAATGTATCTGATGCAATGAGTTAAATTTAAAAAGAAAATTGTTTCGCATAACCATGAAACAATTTGTCAAAACTCACCTTGGAGTGAGATAATCAAGATGAGCACTGTTCACGTGGACCAACATTTCGGCGGGAGATATTTCCCCCAGATCGCAAAATGGACAGTTGGCTGCTCCTTGAAGATGATAAAGTACCATGTGAGATCTCATTTCCTCGTCATTGAATCCTTCGAGGCCGCAAATTTCGCACGTATAACTCATTTCTGGTAGTTTGCTCGTTGCCATTTTGATGATGTTGAGTTCAATGTTTCCGAAAGCCTATTGCCAATCGGTAATAATCACACATTATCCCATCACATAATATATTAGATTTGGTGAAAGAAACTACCAAAAACATCGTTCCTTCTAAAATCATATGTATGATACACAAAGATATAAAATATCTCTGAACATTTTTTTTATTGATAAAATATTTATGTGAACTCTCAATACTATGCTGTGCTAAATCATTCAATAATGCCCACTCTAAAAAACGTATCGAATACCAAATTCAATTTAAATTATGTACAACAATTGAGAAAACTTTTAAAGGAAATTTAGAGCCGATCTTTCACCCATTTCCGGATAACACCAGTTTATAAAACTTAGAGGTGCTTGTCAGTCGCGTCAGCAAGGCAATCAATCGATTCTCGTAAGAAAAAACCGACCTGAGAATCAATTGCGGTTTTGAAGGACGTCTTGTAGAGCGACGGAAGAGAAGTTAAGATTTCGAACAATAAAAAGGTAAAATAGAGGAAGTGGACCAAACGGCGGAAGAGATATGTTATAGACGAAGGTTTCGATCGTAACTAGGCCACTGGAGAGTACTTCGTATAGGAAGTGAGTGAACTGTGGATTGGGGCTGGGTTTGACCCATTTAATCAAAAGTTACTTACTTGCACTTGTCCGTATCAAACGAATATTCGATGATTACTTATCAGCCGATTTTTTTTCCTTAGCTTTTGATACTCGGATGGCGTCCGTGTAGGCTTGGCTGCCTAACACGGCGCCCCTTTCGATTCCATATGACAGATAGAGACAGTCCGCACTGTGAGCTTACTAGGGTTCCACCTTCCCTGCGATTCTCGAACCACCGACTCACCCTCGCTTCGTGTTCCAGAATTAACCTGTACATTGGATTAGCCGCTTTTGCTCAGACGATAACCTCTCGACAAAGCGATTAGTATTATAAAGTATTAAAGAAGAGATTAAGATACGATTGACGAGTTTTCGGTTTTAACCCCTTTTTTTTTTAATGCATATCTTTCCACGCACCTGACAACTTATCAATTTCAAATAGCATATTTTGATAGGTAAGAAGTAAAATTTCTTGTTAACAGATATATTTTGATACATAAATTTTTAAATTTCATATTTTACACTGATTTTTCAATCTTTTGTTTCGTATTTCATATCTTTGTGACTTTATTGTTTTTAAGACATTAATTTAAATGATAGAACATTATGGTATACGAGATATAAATCCATATGTCACAGATATAAAACGTTCAAATTCAAAAGATTTCTTTTCGCAATTATCGAATTTTTCACACGGTCTGATCGCATCGCAATACTGGAACATGAAACCTCACGAGTCCACTGCGCATACACGGAAAGTAGAAGCTTTCCTGATACTTCGCGCACGTTTCCGGGTCACGGCTGCTACCCTTTTCCGGCTTTTACCCTGTCGGTAAACGAGAAGCTTTATAAATACTGTTTATACGATGAATTATACCTGGATCAATTTCAAATGCGCCCAGCCTCTTATATCCTAACGCGCATAGAATAAAGTGTTCGATACCAAATTCCAAGCAAGACAAGATTTCTCTAGTGCTATACCCACGCCATGACTTCCGGCTTTCTTAACCATAAAATTACCATTCGAGTGGATACAAGTATTCAAGACTGTTGAGCACGAACTCTGATAATTTGGCCCATTGTCTTCCGCAAATTTCTCTTAATAATAAGTAATCATCAGTACCGACATACAAAGTGCGGATCAACACATGGAGACGAATAGTGTCAGCCCTATGAAATTATCAAAATTGCTAAGTACCACGTGTTACGTTATACTATGCTAATATCGGTATAAGTCCTGTAATCGAAATCGCCGCGTACTCTCTCTCATAATCATCTCACTGGAGCGTCATCGGACGTCACCATCAAGCATCGTTTTCAAAGTGGGCGTCGCGGTCACTTCCTGGCCTAAGAGTAATAGTTGGAGACGTAAGCATAGAGTTTCATAAAATTTAAGGGAAATTGTAAATTCGTTTGGTCGCTGTGTATTCATCGAGCGTCCCGACGATCGTCGGCTGACTCGACTGCCATTTCCCATGAAAGCCATGACCGTGCACCACGTATACAATAGCCATGCTGCCTTCCTCATTGCTATGCTGTTGGCGATCGGGAGAGGATGCGTCCATTCAGGGAACTATTTGGTCCCTTTTCTCTTTTCTTCTCTCATCGTTCTCTCTCCCACTTCTTATATTTCCCGCTTTTCACTTCACACTCACTCACTCCCAACATATCTAGCTCGAGGAGCAAAGTTTTACGATTTTCAGAAGCCTGATCGAAGTGGTCCAATCATACAAAACAACCCTCAATTTCACGGAAGGTGAATCAATAAAATATTTAATAAGAATAATAATCATAAATTAAATCACGTGGTTTATGGAACGATAATCTCGCATTACATTCAGATGAAATTTATTAACCAGGATTATTCAGAGGTATAAGCATTAATTTTGAACTTTGCAATTTAATGAAGTATTTTCACGTACCTACATATATCTGACTTCTTTCAGGAAGCGTCTTCAAGGAAGTCAAGGAAGTCAAGGAAATACGTGTCTTGGAAACAGGTGTTACTGCTGTTGCGATAATGGATCGTCCTGCGCATTCTCCAGCAGCTAGATACGAAATAATCTCTGGTTCATTTAAATATTTATATAGTAAATGCGATTAACATAACAGAGTGAAAGAATTGTGATACGGGTTGGTCTTAGGTCAAGAAACTGCTCGTGCGTTATGTACGTATCAAGATAGCGACGACTATAAACTACTCTCGTGAAGCGTTCCATCGATAATAACGTATACACCAAAGAGACAGGACAGAAGATAATTAGCCTCTTAAATTTCTTGAACGATAACACGATATTAAACTGACATATTTATATTTACGTTCCGTCAACCGCGACGTATAATATAATTTGTACGTTAAAAAGAAGATAATATATTGAACTAATGATGGCTTCTTTCATAATCAAAAATCTCCGTTCGCCGACTAACCAACTGTACGCCATCGTGGCTCATTATAATAAGCATAATATAACTGTAATTACCATCTTAAAATTATTCCATTAATTTTCTAAGGAGCCTGAGAGAAAAAGGCTCCTAGAAAATAGCGTTTACCCGTAAAACATCAGGAATTATCAATTGCTCGTTAAATTGTAATTGACAATTAATTATATCACAGTGAGGTTATCGCTCATTAACAAATTGCACTATATAGATAGACCTCATGATATACTGCAACGACTATTCTTATTAAGTATGTAGTATATGTAGATATATCGTATATAAAATAACCTCTAGAAAACGTCCTATACCATTTATATCTATAGGCTATAGTATTGATCAGATAATTGTTAGTTATTCGTGTCCAGCTGTTTGCTCGAAGCCTTTGCTCTGCGTATAGGTACGTATATGCGGGTTTATGCTGGGTCTTACACGTTATTACATATTTACATCGACGCGGAATAACGGGCTCTCTACGCGGGCAAGGAGGAGAATGATCACAAGAATGGTGAGAGTGGGAGCTACGGGACTGGCCGTTCGCTGCCCACGTGCGGATTGAGAGCAATTTATCGCAGGGAATAAATTAATAAATTACGGCTGCTTTAAGGGCAATCCTACCGTCGGATCCGTCAATCACTGAAATGCCAGCGCAACGCAATATGGACGCGCAACAAAGCTAGGATCGCGCCATCATAATGGAAAAAAAAAAAAACTGAAAACCATCAGCACCATAATCGAGACGAAGTAGGTGATTGTGAATACGTTATGTTATTTATTGCGCATAAGACAGCTGGGTGTGTGAAATGAAAAAATTGAGAGCGTTTTGAGTACGTGATTTATTAAATGAAAAATACAATAAATTCCCGGTTAACCGATGTGCTTGGAACTGAATCCAGCCCAGGCTAATCAGGGTTCTGCTGTATAGATATGCGAATCCCTTGGATTATTAAATAGGTTTTATGTACGTCTAGAGAAATATAATGACCGTGACTTGAGATGTTAATTAATTAAAAAATATGGATCGTAAAAATATGGTAGTTTCGCAATGTAAAGTTCCGACGGATGCTATAATATTTTTTAAATAAATTTTATAAGTATCTAGGAGTGTAATTAACACGGTTTACATTTTCTTATGGGGTATGAACAAACGTTATACAATAATCCTTAAGATGGGAAGCGGCCTGGTTTAAAAAAGTATAATAGATAAACCTTCTTATGATGTATTTACCAAATTGTACTGCCTTCGTTCTATCTCTGACAGATTTGTTCTAGTGTCACACTGAATGCGCTGTGTAGTTACGATTAACGAGTATAAATATATAATATTTACTTGATCCACCATAAAGTAGTATGTTATCGACGGAAGTATGCCCCTGGGTTATCGGCTCCCTCTCACGATGAAATGGAAGGCAAGTCAATTCTCACTGGAGCAAATGGAGCAGAAACGTCGAGTTTTATGAGCCTCACAAATTTTTCTTGGTTTCGACCAATCGTTAACCCAGGTTAAAAGTCTTGGTAACAACAAAGGTTTTACAGAGAAAATACTTTTGAAACTCCCACGTATAGCGTAACCCGTACCTATGTTCACCTCGTAAAGAGGCTACATAAAATCCACGTTACCACAAGAAAATTTTCTTCGAGCACAAAGGAGAAAAGTGTAAGGAGTCGGAACTGTAAAATATAGGATAATAATTTCCATATACAATTATTAAAAGGAATTTATAAATCATATGACGGCAAAAGTAATGAATTCTAGCAGCACTGTGTGCGTGCTTACTCGTACGATTGCTCACGAGGGCGAGCAACGTAAAATTTCGTATCATCCGCTGCCAAGAGATGTCACACCGGGAGAACAGAATAAACAACTCGAACGCGGTAATAAAAAGTTTCTCTAAATACAGGACTAGCTCCGGATAGTCTCCGTTAGTGTTACTACTGGGCACCACCATGAACAGTGCAGTGAGGTAAAAAAAGACGTACGAGGAAACAACACAATCAACATAGAGACTAGGCAGTCTATGCTGTGAGAAAATAAAAAAGGAAGACAAGTAAAAGAGGAAGGGACGATGGGTTGGGAACATAAAATGACAAGTATGCAAAGGCATAAGTGTATGAAGAAAGGAGACGCAGAAATAAATGAAGGGAAAAAACAGGTAGTGGTAGGCATGGCCGAAGATGTCACAATAGCAGTTGCACCGAGTGACACTGAGCACGCGTCTTCAACCGCCCACATCATCTTTCCCCACCGTCTCGACGAAGGAGTCCCCTCTCTTTTAACGTCGACAAGTAAAAGCTCTCTCGCCTCTGAATAGCTACGAAAAGCTCAGTCGGTCGCAGACCCGCGTACCAGCAACTGCACGTGCTGGTAAGATTTTCGTGCTTGATGTAAAAACGGAGGAAGGTAACGACAGTAAGGAAGTGTGTTGACAGTTTTTAAAAATAATGAAGGACAGTGCTAGTGATATGAATACTTGACACAGATTTTTCCTTTTCTTAATATAAAATACGACTGCATACCGGATATCTTGTTTGGATCCAAGGATAATGATGGGTAGTACGTCGATCATATCTTGGGCGAGTATCGTCGTCATTGTCATTAACTTCTACCCGGTCATCGCTCAAGGTAATATATATCATGGTGTTAAATAAATATATTATACCATATTATTTCATGATACTTAATGACGACGTTAATTCATCGTCAGAACGACGGATTCATTGAACCTATCTTCATGGCTGTTCGTCATCGCGTGGCGAGATATCGACGACAGCGTAAGGCAACATGTGCGAACGGACTGAGACTGTTTTTCTTTTCGTCGTGTTTCATTTTTATAGGAGTTTTACTATCAGGCGTTATAAATTCCGAGGGATATATAACACTATCCATATGATCTTTTTATTGTCTTTGAGATTGTCACAAGTGCGTTACGAAATGCGTGTACTAATCCGGTTCTCACGAAAGATTCTTCTTGTGTGTTCCTTCGTACACGATGCCATCTATTTGACACTACCTCAATTAGGGTAAAATGCAGATCATAATATACTTATATGTATCATTATGACTTACAATTAATCGCGCCTTTAAATCGTATCAATAGATACACCGTGCTATATCCCATAGAACGAAAAACCTTGCACGAAGTAATTAATGAACCAGTAGAACTAGTAAAGTCTAAAGAACGAGTAGGTTTAGATGAGGCGAGAGTGAAACGCCATTTGTACAAAGCAAAAAATTGAAATAGAGTCGTTATGTTTGAACACGGTGAACGAACGCGAAGCATTTGCATGAAGTTTTATGAAGTGAATAAATACAGTCTAACCTGAATAATAAAGATTGCAAATCGGATTTTTTACTAATTTTTTTTTTACGGGTAAAGATTATTTCGATGGTTAGCTATTTTTTAAGTCTTATTTCGGGACACTCGAACAACTTTCCACGCGCTTCTTTTTCCTGTTTTTTTTTTTCATACCTTTTTTTCTCCCGTTTCTTTCTTTCTACATCTCTTTGTAAATTTATATGCGCGTATACGTTGCACGGTCGTGCAAACGAGGTGTTGTCGTTAACGGTGCGGCCATGAAAACCAGCCCAAGTTCTTCAGTGCATAATGCAACTAACGCTGCGAAAAGGAACAAAATGCATGAAGTCGCATCGGCTGATAATGCCTTCTCACTGCCCCACGCATTTTCCTGCCTTTTTGTTCATTCACTTTGCATGCATCTGCGACTCTACGTGTCTCTATGTGCACACGTACTATGTGTAATTCTTAGCATAATCGGCTGTTACCGGTCTGGAACTCCGTGGCGAGTTCCAGTGGAGACGTTGACGCATGTCGGCAGTTAATCAGCACAATTAAAGATCGTTTCTCGCTTGATCTATTAATAACAGTGATTTTGTGTCGACGGATGATTTGTATTGGTTCATTTGATCGATAGCTGATCGGCCAATTAATTAACAGCTGTATACATATACATATACTACCAGTCCGGTAATCACTGTTATTTTGAATCCACCTAGCGACATACGGATGTACTAAACAACGACATTAATTCCAGTTCTACATAATTATCATATAACTTTAGAAGCTAATGATCATTCGATTTTTTATACCGCTGGCATATAAATATATATGTTTAATATCTTCTTTATCTTCCATTAAAGTCGAGGTGTTGAGTATTTAGAGATTTATATATTCTTGATTGATGCTCTTGAGAAACACTTAAAGTTGAGATACGTTCGAGGTGTCTATTAATAAATGGACTTCCGGTCCGATAAAGAGTTTCGTACGGGATAGCCGGAAATTGGATGAAATAAAACATGAGACTTACCTGAAACCCTTTTTAAATCTCGTACGTCAAAGAATTGTAAGAGGGTTCTTCATTGATCGAAAAAAAAAATCTGGCGGTCTAATAAAATGTCTGAATGAACTGTAAAGTGGTGAGTATGGTGGCGACTGTGGGACCTGAAAGCGTCGATCGAGGAATGAGGGAGGACCGGTCGTCAGGAATTTTTAAGTGAAACGAAAAAAGGGTTTAAAGGAGAATGACTTCCAATCTGCAGGGGCCTCGCGGTCTCGCGAGAGCGTGTCGAGAGCGGCGAGAGATAAATAAACACATAAAACGAGTGACAGCTTCACGGCGGATAAAAAACACGGATCCCGGTACTCACACACATTAAACAGGATCCTACGCACTCTCATGCACGTGGCAGCTATAGTCACGGAGTGGTTTATTAATTCCTTGTACGTATACTGAACTCCTTGTAGTCCGATTCTGACTCAACGTGACTCTATTAGACTTATTCCAACATTCTTGGAATGTTGTATGAAGTTTGCGTGGTTACTATTGAAATAGTAATTAACATTTGATCATTGATTGATCATCGGAAATACTGAATTTACGTAGAAGAAATGTGTTTAGGACAACAAACATTTTGCAGTGTTATTCGCTATGTCGTCCCAGACACCTTTCCCTATTTAATTGCGACGAACGAGATGAAAGTCGTTTTCGTCGATATCAGAAAGATTTGCCAATGTCTTGTTTCTAGTCGAATTTCGTCACTTGCAAGGAAATATGATTTTTTGAAAAAATCATTTGAGAGTATGTAGACAAATGATTCGGTTCGTTAATCCTTTATTTTTTGCTTGTACGACATGCTCCTTTTCCATTATTCATTTTAGACTTATATGAACATTCACGAGTATTAGGGATGACGACAGCGTGGACGACTGATGATAAATGATACTACATAACTGTTTCTCGAAGTGATTACATGTACCCTAGCATTATTTTGACTTATGATAAACTCCAAAGTCAGTACTATATTTCTTGACTCTTCTTCATAAAGCATAACAATTTAATAATTTTGCCTGACATTAATTTATAAACTCATTCCAAACTTGTACCCAACAAAAGTGTTTGAAAAATGAAATAATTTATATCATTGTTAGATATACATATATATATACACACAGTATTATTGAATTGTTGAATTGTCCAACTCAGTCTAAGTAAGCCTTCAGTCTTTATCTAAAACCAAAGGGCACGACATGTCGTTGCACAGCTGCACTCATAATATAGAGCCATAAGCACACATCACCCGAGTCCATAGGACGGCCTAAGCACGAAAGAAAGTCCAATGCACATGGCGCGGCGAATTCTCGCTGGCGTGACGTCACAGTCTCAATAAAATTCATCGAAAGGACGCGCCATGAGTATTCCTGGTAAAAGGGTGTTTTGTCTTGGGATTTACATCTTAATGAGGTACCAACAAAGACGTACCTTGAACGCCCAGTCATTTAGAATGGCCAACAGAATAACAGAGAGTAACAGTGGCATCCGCCGTATACGCTGTGCATTCTCGTAAGTGAAATTACTCTTTTCCATCATCGTCATTCTCTCCGTTGTCATCGTATTCGTGTCGCGTGCCAATCTCTCGTGAGTTCATTAAGCACCGTAATTATCATGGGAGACGTTTTGCGACCGAAGAAGAAAGAAGGTAGGAAATACAAGGGGCAAAATAAAAAAAGCACTAGGCAGAGTGCATACCAACTACAAAATGGCAAGTGCATCGCGTCGTACGCGACACATTCCCACAGGTTGGCGTCATCGTATAATTGAACGAGCGACTGTCCCGAGAGCAGCTTGAAAGACAGGATTAAATGGAGGAGAAATATACGTATGTATAAGCATACAAGCAAGACTGTGACGTGGGAGTCGTGCACTGTCTTCTTGGCGATTATTACCGGCCGAGCAGTTGCATATGTTAAATAATGCTGATGTATCGTATACGTGTATACTGTACGTATACGAATGGACATGCACTGTGTATATCGCGATGCAGGAAAGTAGCCGATTAATCTCATGTGCTTCGTTAACGACGTTAATGGCCACCGGTGTCAGTGTCGACTCGTCATTCACGAGGACCCGGCAGATGCTCGAAACTTTTTTAGGTTAAGTACGGCATACGAGTTCATACCACCGGGGGGACTGGTTCTCGCGGGATTTGATACGCGATTACTTCGTTTGATCCTAGAAACGCGCCGAGCCTCACGGATTCGACGGCGTGAATACAGCATGAAAGTTTTGCTGTTTGGATTCGGTTAAGCCGGATGGCCGCGAGTCAACCACGAGTCCTACTGCTATTTCTGTAACGTACAGAAGCCGCAAGCGACCCTGTTTACGCACCTCGGCCGTTTGAAATGCGTTTTAAGTACAGGAACGTTATATCCGCGGGACTTCGAATGCCTCTTTTTAACCCGAGCGTCAACGGCTCTCTTCGTGAATTACGAGCATTCTGAAGAATTTCTTTGAATGCTTCGACACGTTTTATTCAACTCTGCTTCCCATATATTTTTTCGCGAGAATGCGACGCCCTCTGTAAATTAGCCAGATTGAATTTGCTAATCGCCTCTTTATCTCCTGACGTACGACGATCTACGATCGTTATTCGTTCCTTAGTCTGAAATTATATACAGTGATTTGTTACGGTATGCGTCACATTTTCAAACACATTAGGTAACAAGTATTGCGTAACTGTGGCCTATACCCAGGCTGAAGGAAAGATCCTTATACTCATTTACATTGTGACTCGTCCTGGCTATCAAATGTCTTTGCTTCTGTCCTATCTACGGCTAATGAACCGAAGTGCACCACTTCCTTGACATATCAGCTACCCCTTATCCTATTTAGTGTCAAAGTGCGTTATTTCCTTAAAACGAATTCTTTACACACTTACGAATTCACATAGCAATCTCTTAGCCATCTAGTCTGCAGACTTATAGTACGAGGGAGCAAGGGGGTCCGAATGATCACTTCCACTGTTACCATCGAAAAACGATGGAATACAATATTAGTAATAATATTCAGATTTTATGATCATAGCGTTACATCGATAAAACACATTGTAAAAATATCAACTGTAATTAAACAAATTTACTAGTTTCTTCTCCCTAACCTAAAATTGCTTTTGCGTATACTATAATCAATGCTATTATCATTGTTAGAGGTAAAAATAATATTTCGAGAAATCGAATGACGACGATGCCATATTGCCAGAGTACGATCGACAAAGAAACATTTTATTCGTATACGAGTGTAGCCTGGGGGTCAATTCGTGTCTAATTAGTATCCATTAACGTAATTGTACGGAGTAGCCAAGTCCTCTCGTGTATCCCAACAGGCAGCATATATATTATTTATGTCATTTTACCATTGATATCAACCTTCAAAGAAACCATTGCGTATAAAAAGACCAATCCCCGTACAGTTGACGCGTAACATACTTTCTTTCTTCTCTGAAATGTTCAATATACATTCTGATAGATGACAGATCAGCGACAGTCCGGTATTCAGTTCCTTTTCTTGTCCCATAAGATAAAACCGTTGTATTATGGGATCCCAAGGGAATCCCGCATGTGAGGTCCTACGGGATGTTATGGGACCCTCGAGTTTTGACACGCTGGGCGTGCCCGCATCTGGCTAACTTTTTGCTCGAGTGCCCTTTCGGTCATCCTGACATAACACAGGTCACGGTGCTGCTTAGTTTCCACATAAAGCACCAAAGGAAGAAACTGCTTCCACGTGTGACGTACAGCCAAACCATAGTGAACTCACCTATGTTTAAGTTTTCTCCCTGGTACGGAAGACCCACTTGAATTATTTTCTCAACTTTTTCTATCCTCTATTTTTTTTCCTCTTTTTTTTTTCCAGAAATGAACTGCTGCTCCTTAGCTGCTGGTTCCTGTCGCAATGTGTGCTCCAAGGTATGTTCCTGCACTTGTGTCCATTATGTGCATATAATGGTGTTGGTATAACGTATCAGAATATGTATTATGGTGCACCTTTATTGATACGGGCACATGTCTTATTTATGATTGGTGTTTTTCTTTAAGGATGAATATTCCATGCGTCTGTCGAAGAGAATAAATACTCGGCCTTTTTCAAAAGGCATTCGATTAATGGTCAATTAATGGGTTTTATAGAGATCGTTAGGTATGCTTGACACGTATTATTGGGATAAAAAGTTGATTGGCTGACAGGTGTAATATTGCTGGGACTGATCGGTTTTATCCTGTTAGATGCCGAACTGGGGCCTGATAGAGCGATCAAACCACTCGATCGATCGGTAGAGCGTTACGATCGTGTGAGAGCGCGTGCAGTAAATTGCGTTACGGTTAGACGCCTGGCCCATAAATTAACCTTGGATACGTGTTCACGTGGGTGTATGCGGTCGCTGAAGATTCGAGGTGTCGTAAAGTCGCTAATAAAACTAAATCGAAGAACAAGTCGTTAAGGACGCTAGGAGTAAAAGTATCGATTCGAACATTTCGATCGATTTAATATTACCGATTGACAAATTGAAACGTTTCGATGATCCCGTATAAGAATAATATTCGCGTAAAAAGCAGTCACGTACACGATCCGTGTATCTATGGAAGAAATTAAAAAAAAAAAAAGTGTGCTTGAGTAAAAAATTAATTAAAATATTATTTTTTAAGATCGTTTCCATGTAAGTTAGGATTATTATAATTACCTTGTTTGAGAAATTTTACGGCACGTGAAGGTTGTTGCTTAAGGACAAGCCAAGAATTCTGCGCTGCGTTTCGTGAAGCTGGATTTTGCAGTACGTGATGTCTGGGTATGTAAAAAAAAAAAAAAAAGGGAAATATATTAAAGGGACACGTGTAAAATAAGAAGAAAGGGATGACACGGGAAAAGGAGAAACGTGGATAAATATGGAGAAAGGAGGAAGGAGAGATAGGAATAAGATAGGATAATGACGGTAGGTGGGGTAGCAGTCCCGGTGTAAGAGATAGCTGGAAGCAAGAGAGGCGAGATAATATCGAAAAACATTGGGCCCACTTGGAGGGACTTGGACCGAGTTTGGGCCACCTCTCGGGCCTTCTCCCACCTTTTTTTTCGACCTGCTGAGAGATTTACGCGGAGCTAGCGGGGTGCCGTGGCTCATTCATACGCAAATATTACAAGTGGATCTGAAAAAGGCGGATTTGATATCACTGATATCATTCCCACGCACGTTGACTCGGGTTTCCACCTTCTTTATGGCCCTCTGTCAGTATCTCCTTTACTGCCCACTTTTCTTTCTTAGCCTAAAGAGAAAAGACGTACGCTTCCGAGACAAATCCTTTGCCTTTTTTTATTTATTCTTTTATTTATTTTTTTTTCTTCACCTCTGTTACCATTCTGATGACTATTAAACCATGTTACTTGGATAAGCTCATGCTTAGGCTATACGCCTATAAGTACCGTAGGTTCATTAATTAATGGTTGTTCTTTAGGTTCTTTTCGATTTGTTTAAATTTAAAAATTAATTTATAAAGTTTGATCGTACGAATTTTTTTTTGAAAACTTTTATATCGTTGCGTAAGACAAATATGTATATATGATTTGTAAATATCGACTATTATTAAGGAAGTCCGATAAGTAGGAGTATTACACTCTCCGTAACGTTTGGTCTGTTGGTAATCATAGTTGAGTTATTCGAAGAAATTAGTCAATTCTGAAAAAAAAATTTTGATTTTATTCAAACTTATATACAACCATACGCGATCGTATACTCACGTTTAAAAATTACATTTTGAAAACTATTAAACGCTTAATGGATACAAACACGTCATTCTCAGCCTTATTTGTTCCACAGTATCAGGAAGCTGGATCTTAGTTTCAGGGACTTGTTTTTTTTTTTTTTCATTTTCGAAAGCGGGCGTAAAGGCGTACCCGAGAAGCGACGAGAGTTCTCGCTCGACTCGACTACTGATGAGGACTTCCGGCACGGACATCTAAAAGTAAAATAACCGGAAGTCGCTGGGATCTGACACGAGGCGAAGACATGTGACTCGATTTCGAAACAGCGATGGGCTTATCGATGGTGTTTTATCCAGGATCTGTTTTAGAAAGCACGAAAAATCTTATACTTACCGAATACCCGTCGTCATCCAGAAGGAAAAAAAAAAGTCCGACCACTTTTCCATCCTGCGACTTCTCAGCTTGTACTCTCTATGTCTTCAAACCCCATCTTACTTCATCTGTCTCAAGTTCCTTTTTCCCGTATCTCTTTTCTTCTTTATGCTCTCTCCTACATAACTCGCCTCGTCTTTCCTCTCGTCGATCTCTTCGCCCCTATTTTCGTCACTGCCATCTACCGAGCACATTATAAAACGAGTCGTTAACTTTTATACACAAACCAACGGTACGGGTCGCTACCACCGAAACGTATTAACACGCTTATCCGTACCTCTCATTGACGACTCACTTATTCGGCCAATTCAAAAATCCACAGCGTCCTTAGATATTGCTCTTACACCCTTTAGACTGTTTATCATGGCGTGCTGTTAACTGTACAAAATATTTATAACTGCTGGACTGATTGAGTGTCCACTTATAAAAATTCCTGTTATCTGACAACATATTTTTTGCATAGACAGAAATTGCTTTGATTACAGAAAATAAATGAATGTCGGTTTGATCACTGTAACCCGTTAGTTACGATACGCGCCAAACGTATTCAAATGATAAAATTACTTTATACATAACCGGTACTGTTAAGAAAATCAGCTGAGCGTATATTACAACGCTTGATTTCACTTAGTGAAATTGCGTTTACAACGAAAAAAAAACCTTTTTTAACATTTTTTTTCATTCGCTCCTTCGACCCAACACCCACCCTCCTCCGTGTTCCGGACTGCTTCAACCGTGACGTCACATCCAGCCAGTCTAGCTATACGTGCTATTTCAACTATGCCATTTCGTGCTACGGCAACGGCTTTGGTCGTTATTACAGCGATTTGTCGCGCAACACCTCGCCGAGTCTTCCGAGTTTATTCCATCGTGGAATCTTGCTAACGCGAGTCATCTCAGCAAATGAACGTTATACGGAACGTACTGAATGTACGATCATAAATGCACGTAAATATGTGTCTATATATATACTCAAAGCATAAACGTAAGTGCCTATTTACAAAGGTAGACCAGCGTCCATGAGGATGCTTGAATTTGTAAAAGTACAAATGAACATACTTATATGCTTACCGGAGAAAAGTATTGAATTATGTACACGTTTATGAATATATATACGGCTATGTATCTGGATATATATATGAGAGCACGAAGGAACAAGGGACGCAAAAAGTTCAATCTCTATTTTCGTACTGTTTGATCATCCCGTCTTGCTAGGGACCTCAAGAGAGAAGCGAAGAGCGGAGACGCGAAGTGAAGAGACGCAAAGAACCTAGTGTCTTCTATCGGGCGTGAGAGTTGAATGTCGAGTTCGCGTGGAACACCCTTTCAAAATGGCTACCGGCCAGGAACACGAGAGAGAGTCCAGAGACGGTTGGGCTACATACCTCCAAGAATAATCGCGACGGAAATACGCCTTCCCGGCACGATCCAGCGAGCCACTGGGGTACGTGTCCAATGGAGGGACCTGTTCTTGAATTTAAAGAAAATTATCCTTTCAGACCGGTAGCCATTTAACGTTGACAAAGATGCGTGGATTTCAGGACTGAACTTTGTCTTGCTTGTATAGGTAGCGTAGCTCTTGTCGATGCGCAGACCACACGTGATTCTATTTAATGTTTCATGGCCCTGAGGAATATGCCAAACGCATTCTAATTCGCCAAAGACACACACTGAATCTTCAATGAGATTTCAAAGGATCATTAGACGATTTTGTGGTGGCAGTGACACATGGATGTTACTTGTTACGGGATTCTTTGTAAATTTAACAAAAACTTCTTGTACCAACTAGTAGTATCCATGGTTCTGAAGTCGTAGATCAACGATGGGGCTAGGCCGAGCCTGAACTTTTATTCTTGCCGTGGCCGCGGATTTTCCGTTTGCGAGCCGCGACCGTGGCGAACATACGAAATCTCTTATAAACCGCAAGAAGACACTCATTGAATCTTGTATGAGATCGAGATGTACGTTGGCTCGCGCGTGTTTACTCATTTTTATTCTGTCGTGGTATAGGAAACTTTTGACATCTAGGATAGTGACGCATGATTTCTCTCTATCGTGGATAATACTTTGTGCGGTCGATTATGATTTTTTAAAAATCATTTTATCTTTCAGATACCACTGGTTGCATTGGGTGCTGAGGCTGAGGCTAGGAAGAACGCGACCTCGCGTCTTTTGGAATTCTGCTCCACTGAATTGGTGAATTATGATCAATGCACATTTCATATATAAGAATCGTTGAGTATTCAAAGATCTGGATCGGAAACGCTTTGACAATAATTTCTCGTGGGAGATATAAAATACGTAACGGGAAACTATTTTTCACGTCTTTTCATCGTGTTCCGTCCTTTTGAAGTACAAGGAAAAAAAATTAAATCGGTGGTCGACTTGTGGTTGAAAAGCATAATGCGTATAGTCTCGTATTTCCAGTCCTTTGTTGCTAACGTCTCTATTTTGGTATTAATGCCTGGACTTATTTCAGACGAACTTTTGGAACTGCGTCAATTCCACGCTCAGAGGTAAATGGAGTCGCTGAGCGACCACGTAATTTTCACACGTGTGACAATAATTCGTATGTCCCTTGACACTCGAAACGATTGCTTTACAGAAGCGGCGGAGAATGAAGATTGGGCGGGACGAGGCTGCTGTCACTTGGCACAAAATCCAATCTGCAGATCTACTTGTGCCTTGTCAGGCTCCAGGAGTGACCTAAAGGGCGTTTGCCGCGCTAGCGATGAACTTGAATTTTCTTCTTGCTTGGAGAGACGCGAAGATGGTGAGACTTGCTGCAGTGGAATTGCCAATTCTACTTGTAGATCCGTGTGCAAGGATATTTTTCATAAACCTGGAAAACAGTCAACTCTCAAGCTTTACAGCAGTAAAGGCTGTTTTCATCAAATACCTAAATGTTTAAGAGCCGCTGCCGGAGCGAAGAATATTGACGATCCAAAGCAGTGTAAGTAGTATTCGTATATTGAATCAACATGTTCTCAATTAACCAGTGAGCATTGATTAATGTCAAACGATGCATGCGCATGACGCGCTTATTATAAATTTATCGTACCCAATAATCAAAATAAGCCAGTCCTTCATTAATAATTAATCAATTAAATAGTTATTTCTATTTTAATATTACTTCATAAAAAGGACTAATTTTCAAATTAAAAACTTTAAGTTACGTACCTGTGTCAAGTGAGCTTGCTCCTTGTCATTATTAATTGATGTATCTTTCTGTTTGCTTCATTAAAGATTTACATTGCTGCGACAAGGCAACGAGTCCAGGGTGTTTGGTCACTTGTCGGGAAACTTTACACACGGCAACAACGGATACTGACATTTTCGATGTTCTGTCAAATAAGTGTAGTCCAGTTCTGCCGCACTTACCAATGTGGAGTTGTTTTCTAAATTCAACGCCAGCGAAATCAGCCCGCCTGCCTCTGGACTTAGGTAAACTGTCCTGCTGTTCAAGAGCATCAACATCATCTTGTAAAAATCTATGTTGGCGAGCATTTCAAGCTGATTGGGAGCAAGCTTGGGTCCAGTTGGATGAAGAGTGCATATCTTTGCCAATAGAATCTGAATTACGTCGGTGTCTGGAAGATGCCGATGAGACCTGCGAAATGGGATGTTCTGGACTCTCTTATTGTGTTCAGTACAATGACAGACCAACAGCTCTATTCAGGTAAAATAATTTAAAATCAAAAAGTCATTTGCTTCCACAGTTCTTACAATCGATTCCTAATGTCTGACCTTAATAGAGAAAAGCTTTTTCTAACAGATAATTTCTAGCATTTGATGATTGGTAACCTTATGCGTTGTTAATCCAAACTATATTATATACCCGTATGACTTTTCAGTGACAAAGCTCATGTTAATGTACTCTTGTTCGTTTTACTTACTTAAGTCCTTGAGCGTAATTATATTTCTCTTGTATTGCCTCCTTGCAGAACCTGCTCACCGACAGCGGATGAGGCAGCCAAATGGGAAGCAAATCATTGGTCCCGTGGTGGAATAATCTCAGGCCTTGCTGTACCGGTAAGGGCGGCGCAATCATGTCCGATCGAGACGCTTCGTGCAGCTGCGTGCCTCCTACAGTTGCGCCCTTGCGAGTCTCGGGCTCATGAGACACGTTTGTGCCGCGAGGATTGTCTGCAATTAATGACTAGTTGTGTCGACTGGTCAGCGATTAAGGGGCCCCATACGGCAACGACACTATGCTCTAAGTTATCGGTACCTAGACAAGATATGCCATGCGTGCCGTTTTCAGTATCTTCAACATTTTCTACGGACACCCTTCCTGCGGAACCTGCTCTGCGACCAGAAGAAGACATAACAACTCCTTGCAGGCCTAATCCATGTCGCAAGGACCAAGTGTGTGTGTTGCAATCGAACAATCCACAACATATGGAGTGTCTTCCTGGTTGTATGCTTGGCGTAATGTCCAAACAAGTGGTACCCGTAGGTACCTGGGTACAAATCCCAAGAGTAGATAAGCAGGGTTGTTTGAAAATTTGTCAATGCACTTCGCGGGGATTGGAAAAGTGTCGTATGCTGAACTGTTTCGCCTTGAATTCTTGTTGGATTCAGAACCGTTTTGTGGCCCATCGAGCAAGTTTCTACCTGGAGTGTAATCTGTGCCATTGCTTCGAGGGCGAAGTGACCTGTTCTCGTAGAAGTTGTGGGGAGTTCAGAATGCCTGCGCTGCCTTGTGATTGTCCAGCTCATTATGTTCCTGTCTGTGGCCGTCTTGGAGTTACGTTCGCATCAGCATGTCTAGCCAAGTGCTCGGGCCTGTCAGCTTCAGAAATGGAATTTGGAAGCTGTTCATCCAGAGATCCTTGCGCTTCCAATCCTTGCGACAGTACTGAGAAATGCGTGAAGAAAGTTCGAGTATGCTTGTCGCCAATTCATAAGCCCTGCAGGCAATATGAGTGCGTGCCTTTGAACTGTGACCTTAAGGAGGATGAACCAGTATGTGATACCGAGAACAAACAGCATAAGAATTCCTGTGCAATGGTTCGCATAGGCGCTAGTCTAGGTTATAGGGGACCTTGTCTAAAAGATTGTAGTCTCCGTGGTCCCGTTTGCGGTATCAACGGGGAAGTGTACAGCAGTGAGTGTGCCGCCTGGGCCGAAAGGACAGTAGTAGATTATCCAGGTCCTTGCATAGCTGTAGGATTGATCGGCGATAAGGCCAAACCACGTTGCGGAGAAGCAGTTCAGTGTCCACCTCTGGTACAACCGTACTGTATTGGCGTGACTCCTCCAGGTGCTTGTTGTCCCGTTTGCGGTGGTGCAGCGAGGCTATTCTACTCTAGAAAACAGGTATTCTTTTATATCCTTTTAGGGATACCACCTACTCTTTGATCTCGCGATTATTTACACTGTAACACCCGAGGCGTACGACTGGTTATGCTGGGTGCCATTTTGACATTAATATCAGTTAATCGCAATTGCGATCTCAAATCTTTTTCTTTTTTTTTAGTTGGACCGGATTTTCTATGTGATGGAGGAGGAATCAGATAAGGATGCCGTCACGCTGGAGACTCTGTTGGTTGCGCTAGGCCGACAGGTCCAAGTGGCGCAGTGCGCTTTGCGAGGAATGGCCACGCCGGAAGGCGATGTGTTCGTGGTGAGTCAACCGTTACCGAAGAAGCCTTCAACACTTCAGATGCAGGCGTGCATCCAGGAAATGGAGAAACTGGTGACGAGGATCCAGGAGAGGAGTCCAAGAATCGTAGCTGAAGTTCCATTGGGTTCTTTGACCAAAGCGGAAACCATTTATGGTTATATTCTGAATTCAGCCACGACTCCTGTACTGTGTAATCTGGTGATCATGGTGCCGCTTCTAATTATAAACAGTTTTGTATGATCAATAAGCCACTGAATGAACATTCAAGATTCACCTATTGTGGGTGCAAAAAACTATATTAAATCTAACGTCGGTACCGTTTGGTGTACCAGCCAAATAGTACCATGTTTAAGTCTGTGATTCATCTAGTGCCTACGTAGCATACATTACTAGTAAAATATGATAGATGATAGTACGATTCATCATTTGATATTGCCAAAGAGAAGCGTAAAAGATAAAATACATCCCAAGCGCGTCTGTACAAATAATAATACACAAGCACGGTTTTGGACGTAGAAATCGCTCAATACGACTGTCAAACCGGGCAGATCATTGTAAATTGTAAATAGACAAAGTCTCAATGTATGTAAGTTACCAGTTCAAGTCTATGCCAAATACAAAAGGTAACAATGTTTTGTAAGGTATGAATCTGAGCAAGAAATATGAATGAAATATAGAAAATAAACTCTTTGCTAGCCTTAAGGATACTCCTTTGTTATTATTGTTAAATATCAATTTTTTGTATTGTATCGTATGTATAATAAAATGTCTATGGTATTTATCAGGTGCACACGAATTGCTAGTGAATTTTGGTCGTGGTCCGCAATTAATTGAATTTCTCAAAATTCCTTTTAAAGAACCTTGTAACGGCCGCGACATGCCGTATGAGTACCAGATGACTGAAGCTTTATCAATTCTTCCTTGATGAGCCTGGATACTTCGGCCTTGGCTTTGCTCACTGCCAACTCGCTTGTCGACTCGATAGCTAAGTAAAGTTTTCGCTCTCCTTCTGGAGGTGTTTTTCCTGTTGCGATGTACGTTCCACGAACTGTCAGGCCAGCTTCGGAATACTCGGAAATTTGTGCCAGAGCTTCCTTGCTGGTTACCCTCCACCTGGCCTGCTGAGGGAAATCGTTAATTTCCAATTCTTCTTCATACTTGCGGAAAGTTTGTTCACCAGGTTCTCCCTCGCCTTCAACAAGATCTTCTTCTCTTGGTTGATAGTTCAGTTTTGTATTAAGTTTTGCTGCTAGCTGTTCAGCAACAGTCTTGGCCTAAGAAAGTAATTATAAATTGTAGTTTGTACATGAAAAAAGTTAATAATTATAAATAACTACTTGATGTCTTACCGTTATAAGATTTGTTGGTCCGGCACCTTTGAGGATGGCCTCTGCAGCCTGTTGCGTAGCACCCTTAGCCTCAGCTCCAAGATTCTTTGCGATGTTGATCTTCGATGCTAACCTTCTAGCTAATTCCAGTTTGTCAGTTGCACTAGGTACCGGCTGACCTGGTACGGATAAGTTCGCAGCGGATGGCCTGGCGATTTCTCGAACCGTACGCTTAGGTGCCAACATGCTCTCAATCTGCTGGTCAATGTCATTCTCAATATCCTCGTCATCAGAATCCTGAAGGCCTAGTGCAGCCTTCTGGAATTTCTTCTTCTCGTTGGCCAGAGCTGCTTCGGATTCATCAAATTTGAATCCTTTCCCACTAAATCCACCACCTGTATGAACTTTTTTGCCATCAGCTGCTTGTCGAGCTTTGTAACCTTCCCAAAGTTGACGCAATGCATCTGGAATTGGTACCGTGGCTAATTCGTGGGCACGAAGAATATCACCGGCATATCGTTCTTGTTCGGGTGTGATGAACGTGTAAGCGTATCCTTTATTGCCAGCACGTCCTGTTCTTCCACATCTATGTACGTAATCCTCGTAGTGATTGGGGCAATCGTAATTGATAACTAGTACAAGTTGCTTAACGTCGAGGCCTCTCGCAGCTACCGACGTGGCTACCAGTAGTTTTGTTCTACCAGCTTTAAAGTCAATAATTGTCGAGTCTCTGTCACACTGATCTATACCACCGTGCAGAGACATACAGGAATAAGATGCCTTCATCAAGTCCTTCAACAAAGTATCAGCGTTTTCTTGCTTGTCCACGAATATTATTACAGATCCTTTATCTTGGTAATGTCCTAAGATCTCTAATAGTTTGTAAAATTTTTGATCTTCCTCGAGTACCACTACGTGTTGTTCTACGTCCTTGCAGACGACTGAACGTCCACCCACCTGAACCTCTACTGGCCGTGTGAGAATTCTTCTAGCCAGGGCTTCCATCTGCCTTGGGAACGTTGCACTAAATAAAACAGTTTGTCTATCTGGTCGTACATTTTCCATGATTCTCATAACTTGTGGTTCAAAACCCATGTCGAACATTCTATCAGCTTCGTCAAGGACAACGTACGTGACTCTTCTTAAGTTTGTCACTCGTCCACTATTGGCTGCTAGCATGTCAATCATTCGACCTGGTGTACAAACGATGATCTCGGCGCCTCTCTTTAATTCTGCGATTTGTTCAGATATACCCGTACCACCATATACGCATACATGCGATAATCCTAAAGATTTTGTAAATTTTTTTGAGTCCCGTCCAATTTGCATGCAGAGTTCACGAGTTGGAGTCATTATAAGGGCTATAGGTCCATCTCCATCGGCTAATGGTGACTGATCCAGGATGTGTCTGAACATGGGCAACAGAAACGCTAATGTCTTTCCACTTCCTGTTTTAGCGATACCTATTAAATCGCGACCAGACATTATAGCCGGAATTGCTTGACACTGAATTGGCGTTGGTTTGTCGTAACCGAGTTTCTTTAAAACTTCAAGTTCTTTTTTTGTGACGCCACACTGAGCCCAAGATTTAATAGGTTTAGGACAACCTTTTCCCTTAACTCGAATGCCTTCAAGTTCTTCTTTGTAAGCCTCAACCTCTTCGGGAGACATTCTTGCTATTAAAGAAAGTATTAAATTATAGAGGATTAGTTTTCTTATTATTTAGATAGTTTTATATAATAAACAGGTAAAGGTGGCATACCGATTTCAGGTACTTCCACGTAGAAAGATTTGCGGAATGGCTGATACTCAGTCGACGCATGATCAACCTTAGCTAATTCGCGTTTTTGTTTGTTTGCTATTCCTGCTGCGGTTTCGTGAAGATTTTCGCCTTCCTCTTCACTCGAGTATTCCAGACCATCTTGATTTTGTTCAATCAATTCTCCTTTCTGCTTTTGAATCTTTTTCTTGGCTACACCTGTTACGATGACCACACCTCCAGTCTGTGGTGCTCCAAGTCCTGCACCATTATTTGAAGCTTTTGGACCCTTATTGTCTACTTTATTAACCTTCCGCACTTCTTCCTGAACCTAATCACAAATCAGGTATTACATGCACCACGTTTAGGATAATAGATATATTGGTTAAACTGGTTAGATTATGTTATATTAAACACTTACTTCTGCCATAAATGCATCAAGCGGATCGACTTCCTCTTCTTCTTCCTTTACTTCTTCTTTCACTTCTTCAATTTCCTCTTTAATTACTCCTTCTTCTTCTTCTTCTTCTTTAACATCCTTGTTGCCCGTCTGGACGACAGGCGTTTCTTCATCGCTATCATCTTCCAGTGACCACTTCTTCATAGGAAGTTGAAGATTCGCTAGGATTGACACTTTGCCATCCTTTTTAGTTGCTTCGAGTTCCTTTTTCTTTCTTTCAGCTCGCCATCTCTCGATCCTCTCTCTTCGTTTTTGCATTTCTAGTTCCAGTCTTTTTTGTTCCTCTTCCTGAAAAATTTTCCTTTTAGTTTCTATTACTAACAACGAACACTGGAGCGGTTAATCAAATAGAAATATTACCTTATCAAGTTTTGTATGATCAAAGGGCAACTCTTCAGTTTCACCCTTTTCTTTATCCTTACGATCCCGTGATCGTGATCTGTTTGATCTCTCCTTACCAGAGCGGGAGGATTTTGATCCTGTAAGACGCTTTTCTTTACTGTCTCCACTAGTACACCGAAAACAATCAATATCAATCAATTATTCCATTGTAAATAAATAGAAGATACATCGACAGTTATATCGAACACTCTCTGTTGTAAGGAAATATATTCGGACAAGTAAAAGTGTTATGAATTGTATTGAAAATATGGTAAAGCTCACTTTGCTGCAAATAAAATGAAGATTATCTGAGGAATAAACTGTAAATTCTATTTATATCCTGAATAGAAAGGAACCTGTCAAAGAATATCAAATACACAAAATCACTCCAATTTCATTACAATCAATGATTACATTATTCAGCTCCTCATCGACTACTTTTCAAATCTATTTCAGATAGAATATTTAATATCAAATTTTTAAATGTTACTGTAAATCAAATAAAAAATAAAACTGAATTCCATATTTTAATGTGGTCGCACACAACATGATCATAATCTTAAAAAGCAGAACTCAACTGATAAACACATACATAAGTATTACCCAATATAAACAGTACTGAAATTCTTCAACACCGTATAGTACTTTTGTTTACAGAACAACGTACACAAGACGATAATCTTAGTTGATATTTTGGAGCAAATGCTACGCCTGTAAAAACTTGCATACCGTTTTCTGTCACGCTCTCTTTCTCTATCGAATCTTTCTCTTCGTTCTCCACGATCCCTATCTCGTTCTCTAGAGCGACTACGTCTTTCCCTGTGTCTTCCCTTATCCCTATCTCGTTCGCGTTCTCTACTGCGAGATCGTCGTCGTTTTTTCTCAGGAGTGGCAGAACGAGACCTGGACCTAGATCTTGAGCGCCTTCTATAATGCCTCTCTCTATAATGATAATTAAATAAAATGTTTAAGTACAATTAAATTATGAAGCATTAATAAGCTTGTATAAATAGAAATTGACACCGCGTTATCAACGTAACCTCTACATTCCATATGCATTATTTGCAATTGTACTTACTTGTCACCACTGCGAACCATGGCTGCTGTAATTTGTATGTCTTAGGTGCGCTCCTTCCTTCTTACAGTCATTTAGTTTATTAAGGAAAGAAATACATTGAAAGATATACAAGTAATATTTATCGGTTGCGTTACTTTCAGAGAATGCACTACTGAGTTTTAATGTTTTAATGCACTGAGGTATCTGTACGTATCGTAGCTATTGGCGACGCTAACTTACGATTATAGGGAAAGATGGCGCTTGCGATTTCAGGTAACGTTGTGCAGCACTATGTATCCATTGAGTTACTTTATGTTACCACTAGTCAGTATAGAATCATTGTATAATCAGTCCACAGCTTGAACAAAAATTATGAAAACAAGTATTCTCAATCTGCTTTTTTATATGTATTTCGATTCCGTGTGCTTCTTCTAAATGAAAGCCTAACAGAAAGATACAGTGAATACATATTCATAAATTACTTATACATATTGACTATTAGGAGATCGTCGTTTATTGACTCTAAAATTCAATAAATGATTATAACGTATAATATAATTTTTATCAATTATTTTAATATTCAGATTATCATTAAATAAATAAATTATGATCATTATTAATACTTTTTACTTGGTATATTACAATCAGCCTTTAGACGTTATAAAAAATTACCAGTTACTTTCCGAATCTTTCCGAATGTGCACACAGATGGTGTAACGAAGGCTATCATGATCAAGAAACATGTATAAGAGCAATACAAGATCACTGATTAATCGTAATTTTATCGATCTCTCCGATAACAATTTATTATTTACGAAGAAACATGACTTCTTATCATTGCTATAGTATATAATAACCAAATCTAGATTATAAGAATCATTTCTTGATTGACTACCGTTACAAAATGAGAATTCTGTGTTTTTTGCTCACCGCGTGTTTCTGTAAGATATTTTACAATAAGCATTTTTCATTCGTCATATTAATAATTCATCATGAAGTAACAATTACCATAAATTTATAATTCATATTTCAGGCTTATCTAGCGTTACAGCAATTTTAGAAAGAATTGTAGGCGGAACTGCTACGGCTATAGAGAATATTCCGTTTCAGGTAAATTAATGAATCTACCCAAATCTACCCTACTTGAGATTAAATTGCATTCATGAAATTTCACTTTTACGTTTTACATAATATTGAATTCATATAATTCTCACAATCGGATATACTCTATGAATATAATATTAAGTATTCACGCATAAAATCATAAAGTTTTATTTCAGCTTTCATTAGTGATTAATAAGGAAGTCGTATGTGGAGCAGTTCTTATTGCAACTAATAAAGCCATAACAGCAGCACAATGTGTCCACGGGTAAATATGTATACACATAAACAAATACAAATATTGCATAACTTATAGGTATCAGTTTTAGATTTAAAACAATTTGTGGTTAAAAAAGAACATACTGTAGATAACACAGGAGATTCAAAAATATGATAATAAAATACATAATAAATTCTCCAAGTTTCTCACAAACGAGAATTTATGTAGAAAAAGTTAATTCAACTTTCTTTTCACCACATATTTATTAATTTATTCATTTCAGATTGCCATCCACCGCAGTTGTTACAGTAAAGGGTGGTACTTCATATCGCACAAGTTTAGGCACTTCGCGCAACGTCAATGAAATTAAAATACATAATAATTTCAATCAATACACATATGATTATGACATAGCCATTTTGACATTATCTCAAAAATTCGAATTGTCCAAACAAATAGCTCTGGCCAAATTGCCAATTGTGAACGAAATTGTTGCTCCTGGGAAAATTGCTAACGTATCAGGCTGGGGTATCACTACGGTAAATAACAAATTATATAGTTTGAATTATTGTTTAACGTATATCAAACAATTCATACAATCCAAGATCTATCTGTACTGCAATAAAAGCTAACCAATTGCGTCAGATAAGGTTTTCTTAAAATTCATTAGGAAATCTATTAGTATTACTTACTCGTGTATTTGTGAGTAATTATCGCTTGAAAAATTTTACTTTTACAGATTGGCGGAACTGAATACGCTGGTTTGTTACAAACTGTTCAGGTTCCAATTGTTGCAACAAAAGTTTGTGCATCTGCTCATGCGCGACTTAATACCGTGACTGACAGAATGTTATGTGCTGGATTTACTACCGGTGGAAATGATTGGTGTAAAGTAAGTGATCAAATAAAAAACAATAATTGAATGTATTAATTAATAAGTCAATCAATTGCAAAGAGCGAACTGATTCTTGAAAACAATGCCTAACCTAATCTACCAATAGAACGCATTAATGAAAGCATATACGAGTGCATGTGTTATGCAAGATAATTTTTATGTTAATTTTAGCTTTTTAATCAGTGACGAAAACGAAAAATTAATTTTTTTTGGCAGGGTGATGTTGGTGGTCCTTTAGTATATGCTGGAAAGGTGATTGGATTAGCGTCCTGGGGTGCTAGTTGTGGTTCGGTTGGTAGCCCTGGAGTATACACAAGAATTGCAGCACTGAGGCAATGGATTTCTACCAACGCTGGGGTATAAATGGTTATGAATTTATTATACAGAAATTTAGTATTCTTTTTTAATACTTGTGTATACATACTTGTACGTCTGAATAAAGGAATTTCTTAGCATCGATATCGATAAGTTGAATTTGAACGCAGCATAGATATAAAACCATACTTACAAGTTTAAAAATGTTGGTAATGCTTTAAGAAAAAGTTATATATTTATACAGGTTGTAAAGCATTTTCTTAGGTCGACACTGACAACGTAAATTCGAGAGCTAATCTACGTCACCTTCGGTCGTCCACCCTTGGTCCATGCATTTGCATGACAGGCGGGCGCCAGCCAGTTCTTTTTTCACCGGGAACTGTCGAGACGGTATGACCTGGTAGTTGAGGTGGAAAAGTCTCCACTCTGCCAAAACGAGAGTTCTGACTGACCTATTAGAAAAAACGGTAGCTTAACGGATCCTGTCGATTTTTGGGGGCGCGTAAAATCCTAAAACGCAACCATAGGTGCCGATCTTTGGGGTTGCGTAAAATCAGCAAACGCAACTGGATGCACGAACGGGAGTGAACGGTTACGGAAATGCATGGCCGCTCAGGTTGCCAGGTTGAGGTAGAGAAGGGTCGGTGTAAGCGTCAGGTAAATAGTGCCGGAAACAGAGAGCGATTGATCGAGAACGTAACAGACCGAAACGCCAAAAGCTAACTCAGGAACACGAGCAAAATCAGCTACTTTGCCCAGAGCCAACGGACTACCCCTCCACCTCCCCACTGACACATAGGATCGTCTTCGCCCACACGAGTGCTCAAAGGTCAGCGACGTTTTGCAGCGTTTTCAGACGAACAAGAAAGCGAACAAGATATAGTAAAATCGAGAAAGATGAACACCCAGTTAGATCGACTACACGCAAAACTGTGGTCGTAGCGTACCCTAAAAATGCTCAAGGCCCCCGTCGGGAGGTCCGGAGAGACCATATTGCGACCACAACCTGGGCCCGACCTTGATACTTGATATACATTTGCATTCATTATGTTAGCCTTCAAACTCGAAATTAACGTCAAATTTTTATATAGAGTATATTAGCAATAACTAGTCAAAAATAACCACGGTAAAAGCCTAATAACAAACATATAGTCTTAGAATACTAGTAATACGTTCAAAGTAAGTACTTTGGAATTCCTGGCATTATGTATATTGAATGATTAGAAACTACAAGGTAGAAAATTATGGACTGGTTTGATCAAGGATATTGTTTTTTTATTTATAATAAAGTTTTTAAGTGGCGGTTATAATCGTGTATGTGGATTAGAGATCAGGAAATATTATAATATACTTATTGTTAGTTTTCGTAGTTCGTTAATTACAGATATGCCGATTAATACTAGGCTTTTTGAAGTCTCGAAAAGAAACTTTTTCTACCGACGATTCTAACCTTATGGATTATTTCATAGATAATAGACGATATTTAATTGTAATTGGGTGATTGAATTTTTTATCTGTACCACTGAACGAATATACCTGGAGCTCAATCAAGAAAAGTAAATATCAAAAATTTGGATAATTTATAAACGAAATAAATATATTATGCAAACTAATTGGTTTTCAAATTTTCTTTGTACTTTTTCAACGTGTTTCTCAAATCAGTTAAATTAGACATAGTAATAAAGTATAATACTAATTAAACAAATTCGCATGTACACGGGTAAATCGTAAATGAAAAAAAAGGGACGAGAAAGTATAATATAAAGAAAAAATTACGTATACAGGGTGTTCCGAAATTATCTGACTAACGGGGTATGGCGGTGTTCAGGAGGCACCACTGATCACGAAAATGGCCTTCTTTTTCTCCGGAAGGTCATAGTTTTTAAATGGGAGTAGGTCAAAGGTGACCAATCAGAGGGAGGCGTCAAGAGAAACGTAGGCACCTACGAAATCTGAGTTTTCTTCCCTCGCTTTTGTTTCTCGGTGGCTTGTTTCCCGCGGTGTTCAGGAGGCACCACTGATCACGAAAATGGCCTTCTTTTTCTCCGGAAGGTCATAGTTTTTAAATGGGAGTAGGTCAAAGGTGACCAATCAGAGGGAGGCGTCAAGAGAAACGTAGGCACCTACGAACTCTGAGTTTTCTTCCCTCGCTTTTGTTTCTCGGTGACTTCGGGCAGGATGACGTCAGCCGAAGACATGCCTATTGGAAACGGGAAACAAGCCACCGAGAAACAAAAGCGAGGGAAGAAAACTCAGATTTCGTAGGTGCCTACGTTTCTCTTGACGCCTCCCTCTGATTGGTCACCTTTGACCTACTCCCATTTAAAAACTATGACCTTCCGGAGAAAAAGAAGGCCATTTTCGTGATCAGTGGTGCCTCCTGAACACCGCCATACCCCGTTAGTCAGATAATTTCGGAACACCCTGTATACGTAATTTTTTCTTTATATTATACTTTCTCGTCCCTTTTTTTTCATTTACGATTTACCCGTGTACATGCGAATTTGTTTAATTAGTATTATACTTTATTACTATACTAATTTTAATCGCGTTCATATTTTTCGTGCAATTCTAAATTCGATAAAATTTGCAATAATAAACTAGATGAAAGCCCGTGCATTGTATGTCATCTACAAAAAAATATGTTATATTATAAATATTTCTCTTCATTGGTTCATTTGATTAAGCACAGCAATGTACGAGTAGCTTCTGCTAATAATCTGAAAGATAATTAAATTAAAAGAAAAAACAATTAAAGAAATATTTTTCCAAAAAAGGAAACTTACAGTCGTAAAACTTGATAATGATAAATTGGATAGTCCACCCGCTGTGAGAATCATCGGTTTCTGTACTCTGGTTAGAAATATGTGCAAAGTTTTGCAAAATTTCGAATTCGCCTCCATCCAGTTACAACTAAATGCCGATAATTTTAAATTGGAGCTCTAATAAAATAAGATATCACAGTAACGTTTATTGGCCGTCAGATTAAAATATATTGACGTAATGATCTTAGCCTGTAATGGTGTCAACGACTGTCTCCAGTGCCTTATATTATTATTGATCATTAAAAATTTGTCAAACTCACTTGGATTATCACTTCGTTACCATGCCAGCAATACAATAAAAGTTCCAACAAAACGCAACATAGATAACAAATCATTGTCATAAATCGTGGAATATTAGTTGTGTTCTAAAAGATGATAATTGAACGATTTGTCTAAGTTATTTCAAACGCAAAATATAATCTTACGTACAGCATTGATTTGAAAACCAGTGAGACAAATGATCAACAGACTCGTCGCAAATTGAAGTAATATCATAACATTGAACATGCTTTCCAAAATTGTTAAGCATCTAAAACACGTGATATATTTAAACGTTATAATTGATTTTCAATAAAAATTATGTTAATATGATTCAATTAATGTATTATTCAATTAAAATTAATTAACATACCTGAGGATATTTTGATGTATGGAAATACAAGTGTTCAATTCAATATTAGATCTCATCATTTGACATTTCCTTAATTCAATTGATGACAAATTCGAAGTGTCAGTTTTCATATCTTGTAAATCATCGTTACTGATCATGCAACATATTTCCATTTTTCCCTTCAATATATTCAGATGCGCGCTTATAAAAATCACGAATGCAATAAAAAGACAATCATGGGCCATAATTATAATTGCTAACCAATATAGACACAGCGCCACGTAAACGTAACAGACCCAATAGTTTATCGAATTAGTTAAATCGATAGGTATATACTGTCTGAATAAAATAAAATTAAAAATCCTTAGATCGTCTTGAATATAATTAAAAAATTTATACAATAATTATTAAAGATATTATTCTAATTACCGAAAAGGTAATTGGCCATGCCACATTGAGCCGTCTAATATAGGTGCACATAAACTGGAAATTTCTGCAAACGTAATTATAATGGCAAAATATTTTATAGTTGTTTCAATTGTCCAAGTGGCAGACATTATAGATTCCTTTTGTACACGGCCTATAACATATGGTATTGATAAAATTAGATTATCTAATAAAAATCAGTGTCGTCGAATGATTTTCGTAATTAGAAAACTTAGATATATTTATTCACCAATGATACCAGAACAAGGTTGACGTATCTGACGTTCCATTATGTCCATGATAGTATAAATATTATCCTTTCTCAGATAAAGATTAATTATCTTAATTATTCCGCAGATATGTGTGAGCGATATACAGAGATTTTCGGTAATCAAATCCAAAGTTAAATTTACTTTGATCAGTTCAAGAATTTCGAAATACGTGTAAGTTATCATGATAAAGAGAAATACCAAAATCGAATAGAATTCATAAATCCAATAGGAGAATCCTTGAGAATAAGGATTCCAAATACCTAAAAAAGAAATATTTTATAAGTCTTCCAAATTAATATATGCATATTATTTGAATAATAAAATTCTTACCGAGTAAACTCATTAATTGAAAATTTGTTTTCATGTAATGTCGATCTAAGATGTACATTTCCATTATGGGATTTTTATGATTTTTACAAATTCACAAGTGACATTGAAAAATACGCGATTAAAGATGTTTTAAATTTTAGTATTTTATGCTTCCTGTCTGATTCGCTTTTTGATACTGACGACTTTTTCCCCAGTCGAAAACCGAGTCGTCCATTTATTGAATAACGGGTATTATCGATTACAAAAAATATACCTTCTACAGTATGATTAAACTTCCTTGCGCACAGCAAGTACGTAACTCATAACGTGAATTCGATTTCTTTGGAATCACAAAGTAGGAAATTATGGAGGGCACTAACATATCCTTCTTCAAGAAAAAAGTTATGTCATACATCTTTTACATACAAAGTCATACCATAGATAAAAGATGATAATTAATATTAATAAAGTGTAATTAATTTCTACCCCTTAACTCTCTGTTAGACAAGTAGTTTAGGAATACCAAACATTATTGTACATATTCAATACATTTAAAATTTTTGTCTAAAATAATTTTTATTAACGAATTTCAATATTACCCTAAAATACATTTAATAGTGATTTTCGAAAGTAACAGTCGTTTATGATCATAGATGATCGATGACAATACAAAAGAGATTCTGATTAAAAATCGCAACGCGAGACATTGTACAGACTTAATTTATTTTCCGGTGTAATAGTTCGTTTTAACAAATGGCATTTTAGAAATAGTCGCCTTGTACGTTTTTCCACGTACTTCGACAAGAACACCACTGCCAGATTGAGCTAAATCAGGCGGTGTGTATCCCATGGCAATTGGTCTACCAAGAGTTGGACTAGGTCCGCCGGAAGTAACGACTCCGACTTTTTCTCCCTCAGGTGTTAAAATTGCTGCACCTTCTCTTGCCGGTGGTCCGTGGCCTAACAATAAGCCAACTCTCTTTTTCCTTGTGCCCAATTTTATTTGAGACAAAATTTTCTCCGCTCCTGGAAAGTCAGCTTGGGCTCTGCGACGCTTTGCTAATATACATCAAAATAATTATGTATCATTGAACATTTTAAAGTATGTTCCGTATAACGAATTTTAGAAAGTCATAAAAAATACTTGATACCCACCTACAAGCCAAGTGAGGGCAGCTTCTACAGGTGTTGTGCTTTCATCAATATCATGTCCATGGAGACAAAGACCAGCTTCTAGTCTGCGATGAACAAGTCAAAATTAGTAAAATCTATTGATTGATGGTTTAATTTAATTATTAAGAATTTTGAGTTTACCTTAAACTATCCCTAGCACCTAAACCAGATAATTTCACTTCCGGAATTGCTAGTAACTGTTCTGCTATCTCACGAATATGTTTTGCTGGTACTGAAATCTCAAAACCATCTTCACCTGTGTATCCACAACGTGAAATTCGCACTAGACTATTCAACAGGCGAGTTTCTACGCTGTTCATGAAATAGAGTTTACTCAAGTCGATATTCAATAAGGATTGAAGTGCCTTAGCTGCCTCTGGTCCTTGAAGTGCGATGAGACCTTGTTCCAGAGGATCCAGGAATTCCAAGTGAACCGTCTTGTCTTTGGCTTTGAATTCTTCCTGTTAAACAAACATTTTTGGCACTGCTGTAAATTAATGAATATTTCAAAAATCAATAACTTTCACAGTGTTCAACTTAATTTTTTAACATCAGATTACGAATAAACAACTATTTACATAATTTTAATAGTCATATAAGTAGTTGAAATACACAGTTACCTTCTTGCCTATTAGATGCATATATATTTATACTGTTAATAGGATTGTTATTGTACGATAAGTATTATGAAATCACAGTGATACGACGTCACGATACTCTATAGCATGTATCAGTCAATTATTGAAACAATATGTTGACAAACTATTTCGATAACATGACCGTTTTAATGATTATCAGAATAAAAGTAGTATGAACAAATGATTCCATGAAACTTACTTGTTTTTGCAGCATAAGCTGAGAATCTTCATTGCGTCTTCCAGCGTTTGACACGACGAAAAATGTATCCTCATCATCCTTGGTAATAATCAAATCGTCCAGAATGCCGCCATTCTCATTGGTAAAAACAGTGAGAGTCGCACGCCCTTTACCAAGATTGCATAAATCACCAGTGGTAAGAGATTCCAAAAATTCGAAAGCATATTTTCCGTAAACACGAGTCTGCAGCATATGGCCAACGTCGAAAAGAGACGCGGAGGTCCTAGTATGTTGATGAGATGCCGCGATAGCATCCTGGTATTGTACAGGTAGCAGCCATCCAGCAAAATTAACGATTTTACCTAAAACATAAAGAAATTACAAAAATCCCTGATAAAAAATAATAAACCACAAAATTCAAATTCATTCTCAAATTCACTAAATCGATCCTCTTGCCTTGCTTATCCACGTGTAAATCATACAAGCACGTTTTTCTGGGTTCCGGTTCCTTCACACTCTGATCCCCATAACCACGTTGACCAATCACAGCTCTGGATTTCCCATAGAAAACAGCACTGATTCCCCTGTCAGAGATACATATACTGCACCCACAAGTTGCACCATGACGCAAACGATTAGCAAGACACGACGATCCAATTTCGCGCGTACAAATCGCGGGCTTTTCAAATCCATCAGAAACGATTCTAAGTCCGCGAAGTCCAAAACGCAACATAATTGTACGAAAATAAAAAGAATTTACTGCGTTCAAACAATTGCTTAACTATAACTAACAATCCAGTCGGCGAATCAGAGAAGAACGAGAAACTCTTCGGAATTAAATAACTGAATCAAAATTCAGTAAGTCAGTAGTGGCATTGATGATAAGTCTCGGAGTTTCGTCATTATCACTATCCCGTGACATCTGAGGTCACGATGCCGGTAAACCGCGCAACTCCGATAACTTAGTCCATCTCCATTCGTTCGCGTCCAAGAGATCTCGTTTCTCTTTGAACTCGTGACGCAATAAACAGCAACGTAAGACAGGTCGTTATACGGTTGCTGAGTGATTAAAAAAATTGTTGCCCAAAGTAATCTCCGTTTTTTTCCCTATCATCAGAAAACACAATCACTTGAACTTATATGACCCCATCAAAAAATATGTCATAACCAAAGCAACATTTTAACCATGAAACGCACCGTAGAAAGGAATAGGTAAAATGATAAGTGCAACGAGAGGACATTAAAGATGATCGATAAATAGACGGACGTTCGATTGCTTATTAAATTTTTATTATACCACGTAATAATAATAATAATAATGAATAATAATGATAATAATAATCGTAATAATAGTCGTAGTAATAATCAATAATCAATGACAATGTCAATATAGCGTGTTCGAACGGAGAAAACGATAAACGAAAGCGTGTACAATTTCCTTATACAATTTTCTTTTATCGCTCGTACAGGATACGTTTTCATAATTTTTTTCGTATGATTACTTTTTATTATTTTTTTTTCCCACATGATTCATCAGCTATTACATGATTTCCTTTTTCTCCTTACTCTTCCGTATTTTTGTTCATCATCATCATCATCATCATACTCCTCTCGTGTTTACACAATTAATGGAAAATGTGTCCCTACGACGCTCGACAAAAATGTGCTTTAGTCGGTTCTCTCTAGCTCTCGATGCTTTCCATCTTTTATGCCTTTATACCCACTTTCGCATTCATACTTGGTAATCACGGAAACGGGAGATTCTGACGGGCGGGGATGTGTAAAAATGGCGGGATGGGATTGCTGTTTCAAAATTCTCTTTCTCTCACTCTTTCACTCGATTTTACGTTTCTATTTCCGCTCGTGCGCACTAAGATGCATTCTCACCTTGCTTTCTTCTTGCATGCATTTCTCTCTCTCTCTCTCTCTCTCTCTCTCTCTCTCTCTCTCTCTCTCTCTCTCTCTCTTCCCCTCTACCTCTCCCTCCCACCTTCTTTCTTCCTTTCCTTCTTTCCTATCACTCTCTCATTCTCTCACTCATCCATTCCATCAATCTCTCAACGCGTCTCACTCTCTCCCTCTCGTTCCTCTATAAGCACAAAATCATTCGCACGTCCATTCTCTCATTTCCAGCGGCAACCAAAGGAGATTTCATAATGATCGGAGGAATCGGAGGTGAGCAATGTATTTTTTAATTAAATTATGCTCCACGGAACTAACTGCGAGGAAATTGATGGGGCGGGTTAATAAGTGTAAGGTTGGTCGAGTGACACGGTGAGGTTGGCCTGATAGGCGCAATCGTCACGCTCTCCCGTGAGCCCTTTGAGTTTACAAAAAGGAATCGGCGTATCGTTACTCAAGCGGCTACCGAGGATCGAGCATTGACCATTGCGCGGTGCAACGTACTGTACTACTGCCATGTCTGTGACTGCACGGCGAAAGGCGGGCCAAAGTGGATTTTATAAAATTTCAAAATCCTGAAGATTCGATCGATCGCATTCGACTTCATTGAAACGGTGTCGTATCGGTGCACGATGGATATATGACTATAGTGTATTTTGTATTCTGGTAGGTGGTTATGGGAGAGAAAGTGAAAATAAAAAAAAAAAATTACTATAGGAGAGAAATAAAATGGAGTAGATCAATATAATGAACGGAGCTTAAAAGAAGGAAACCAAAGTAAAATATGCGAGAACATCGAGAAACGATAGTGGCTTTAAATTTTTGTTTTCTTTTTTTTCCCCTATTTTTATCCCTTTCTCTCTTTCTCTTCCTCACACACTCTTTCGTTCCTCATTGCCCGAGTCCCGGATAATACGAATAATCGTAACGATAATTTTCACTAAAATGATTTTTTTCTCCTCTTTCTCTCTCTCTCTCTCATTCTCCTTTTCACTCTCGTCGTCTCTTCTCTTTTAGACTTACACTCTTTTTGCCTCCGTTATGTCGTATATCCTTTTCTTAGCCACTTTCACGCGCACACACGCATTCTCGTTCAGTTTTTGCTACTATCGTACAAATACGGGCATAGGTACAAATAGAAATAACGTCCGGGGCCGCCGCCCCGTAAAAGATTTACAGTATGTATAATTTTCTTTGTTTGTCCTCTTGCGATACGTATACGAAAAAACGATTAAACAATAAACACCGATATATAATACGATCGTTCTCATTTACAAATTCAAACGTGGAACGCAAGGTACGTTGCATTATTCTTTACCTTTTTTTTTTTCGCTTTCCCTTAACCTCGTCATTCTTTGTTTTTTTTTTGTATGTTTCATCCATTCTTTTATCTTTTTTCTTCCTCTCGTCCCTATCGCACACTCATTTTGGTTTGGCTTGGTTGGCTCTTTATTGGCGGTGGTTAATTCGCTCTTGCGTGAACATACAATGTACAATCATTTCCGGGAATGCATATCATTCCAGACGATAATTTTGTGCTAATTAATTTTTGCCTTTCCTTTCGACTTAACTATACATAACCACGACTCGAATACATCACTTCCCAATATAGATATAATTTCCTTTTATATAATAATAATCATCGTCAGCGTTAGTCGTTCGTATTATTTATATATATATATATATATATATATATTTATATATATATTTATATAATTTATAAAATGAAAATAGGTACAATTTTTTCTTGGACGCGCACTCTGTCTCTCTCTCTCGCTCGCACTCGATCAATATCTCGCTCACATTTACTCTTCCTCTTCCTCTATCTCTCTTGCACGCGCTCTTTTTCTCTCATTACTTTTTAATTGCTCACTGCAAAAAACGCACCACAAATTTTGTTTCAATAATGCCCATCGGTTGCGACTCTAGTCCACTTGGTAGTAATTTTAATTTTCCTCGGTATTCCTTAATACTCTGGCTCACGTTAGTTTCTAGGTTTCTTAAATTTTAGGTATTGCCCTACGCGACTTCCGGTTGCATCTCGATCCCTTCCGTTAACCCCAAAGTTACGACACGAGTCGATTAATAAGTTAGTCTTAAAATTTCTACGTAAAATGCCGCGACGTGTCGTCCCCCACGAATTTATTCGTCCTTGCAATATTTACAATCGTTATACTACCGAGTTAACTTTTGACATATGATTTCGCGACGGAAGTCCATCATGAAGAGTACCACCAGAGTGTTCAACCGGAAGTTCGCTGGAGCATCAAATTTGTATCCTCCTAAATCGTCCTTATCCGCTACACAGTATCGTCTGCTTTAAATTTAATTTTTTTCTGAATATCTCGATTCGTATGCCTAAACATTTCCTAGGGTTTTTTTTACCTTAGGGTACTTTAGAGCTATGTCAGTGGCCTATTTACAAAGAAGCGCGTCTCCGAAACTTTAAAATTTCGAATTTTCCTCCACGTAGAGTATTTACTCCTCGTGATCCTTTTTCCTCGTCCGTGTACAATTTGCGAAGTTTTTTTTTTTTTTCAAAGTCGCACTAATACCAACTATCCGTTCACTATGTTGGAACTCGTCTTCGTAACCGAAAGAGACGTTACGTTTATACGTAGGTACGTTTTGGCATTGGCGTCGAACGTTTGACTGAAATTCGAAATAGTACGCAGCCGTGCAGCTTTTTGAAAACTTTTCTTCTCTCCTTCCGTTTCACGAATCCGAATGATATGCGGCAATGTGTACGGTGATCTTTATCATTGAATTGCGCGCATACCTACACGCTCCCATCGTCCACGCAGTTATTCTTACAATTTTCATCGCTCCCTCCTAACATTCTTGCATTCACTCAGACACACAAACATTTCTATCTCTCTTTCTTTCTCGCACTCAGGCTTTCAGATTCTCATTTGTTTTTGGAGCCTCGCGTCACGAGGCGCGCTAGTATTTCCGAAACACGATTGATAAACATAATTAATCAGTAGCAATAATATTAATAGTAAAATGAGTGTTGGGATCGAGGTTACGAGAATTATGCGAAGATGTCCATTGTGGTGTCACTGATGACGTGTACCAAGACGCGAAGTATGAAGACATGTAAAACGCGCGTAGTGACGTCACAAGGTGAAAAAATACGAATTCTCGTATTCCCGATCCTTTCGATAATCAATAGCAGTAACGATAATGTCTAATAAATGCACGTGTCCTAAATTCCGTGTGGCTGTGACAATTGACAGCGTATTTTTCAGTTTCAAATATTTTTCATTTTCAAAGGTTTCTCAAAGCTCACTAACTCGCGCGACCCCGCTTCATTCGATGGTCATTGATTCCGTTATCGATAAATGAAAAAAAAATTTCTTGAATAAAGCCAAATTCATCGGTACAAAAAATAACCAGGAGATTCATCGTACAAGTGAATTATCTCCTTCGCTTTTTTGTTTTTCAAATTTAAGATTTTGATTTCTTTCTCGAAACACACGAAACTAGAGATATCACATCGAGCAATGTAATACACGTGAACGTAGACAAAAAGTTGTACGCGGAAAGTTTACAAATACGTAAAAACTAACTAGCGATAGTAGTAGCGGTAGGATAATAGTTACTAGTTACATTCTAGTAGTTGTAGCGTTGGTAGACGTGGTGTCGCTACCAGTAACATGCGTCCACATGACGTTCTTACTATGCGTTAAAAAATAGAAAAAAAGACAAAAAAACGAAACATCCTCTAGTCTTACTTTAATATAATTTAATTCATTTAATTTATAATATTAAAAAGTCGTACGGTAATTAGCGCGAATCTAGGAAGTAGTAACTAAAAAACCGTAGTGTGTTCAGAGTCGATGCTGCTCGAGAACGGGAACTACCAACTTTAATTCCTAGCTTGCTTCAGCGTGTAACCAATTCTGACTAGCAAACATAATTCGAATTCGTTCACCGATTCGCTCGTTTACGATTATTTATCGTTTCAGACTCACCAAGCTTGTCATTCGCCGCTTTTTCGTCTCCTCGTAATACACCAAATTTTTTACACATCTTTCGTCCCACGCGTAACGACAATTTCTTCTAAGTAAAAGTGACATCGAACTTTGCGACAATGCTTCGAACTTCGCGACAGACCGATTCGCCGTTGTAAAAATCGGAAGCGAGTCGACGATCGGTGCTCGAAGTATCGAAGTGAATTAAAAAAAGAACGTTAAGAAAGATGTACAAAGGAAACAAAAAGTGAACAATAGAAACGAACTAATAACAAGTTAATAAAAGTAACGCAATTTTGGACGCTTCGCTAACATCTCCGTGCCCGACGATCGACTACGAGCGACGCTACTGCCATCTGCATTGGTTTTACAAACTTACAAACAGTGGTGCCACCTCGCTCGTTTTCGGAACATTCAGTCGTGTTTGTTGCTACGCGTACGAGCGGTATGCCCTACGTACATTCCGCTACCACGCTTTTTTTTTTTTTTTTCGTAAAAAAAGAAAACCTTTAACATTTAACAATCATTAAGAACTACGATATAAAAAGAAGGAGAAACTTAACCTAACAGAAAAAAGTCATCATGTTTCCATTGTTGTTGCATTACGTCACTATCCTTACGTACTTTTTTTCGCGGTACAGTTGTGCGTGTATCTTCGCAAATGTATTTTCTGTCGCTTGCGAGGCATGCGTGGCGCGCAAACCTTTTGCATCTGTTTTTGTCGTTTAATATTATCTCTAAGAAAATACGCCTTCAATTGCCTTAACTGGTAATCATTGTATATTGTAGTTTACCGCGGTAGTCGAACCGCCAAGCCAATTCGAGGAGGACCGATCGCGTTCCGTAAAACTTTTCGATTTATTTTTATTTTGTAATTAAAAAAGAAGAATGATGACCGATTCTCTCATGCACGGATCACGATAGTAAACCTTCGATTGGCCCAACGTTTCATAAGCGTGGGATGGTAATGTTAATAAACGAAGCTCGAAAATGGTCTGGGGTGGGTGGCAAAGGGGTAGGGAGGGTTTTCATTCGCACCGTACATCCATTTGAAAGGGTGTCGTTTTATTTTAGCGAACAACCGATCGTCGTTAATATAAATGAGACGAGCAGATCGATCGTCGCCGATTATAACGAAAAGATGCTATGTTTTGTTCATCGCGTATTTATATCGTAAAGGCGGTCCCGCAAGTTCCTGCTTAAAGTCCATTTGCAATTAATTTTTTGTTCCTATTCTTTTACTTTTATACGCCTGTCGTCATTCCTCACGTTATCCTATACGAACGCGTATCTTACGCATGTGTATATATGATAAGTACCGATTTTCGCCTGGCTTGAGCTCACTCCCTCGGCTTTGTACCGCTTTTGACTAGAATCGAATTTCGAAAATGCGACGAAAGTTCACTTTCTGACACGCTCTCGATTACTCCATCATTCACTCGTTTTTGACTTTCATTCTCTTTTTTTTTTTTTTTTT